ACACTGAGAGAGATACTGTTCTTTTTGTTACTAACTAATACATATATTTTTCAATTCATAATTCTGATGGAAGGATGTATCCTCTTACTGTATTGAATATTAACATAACACAGAGACTTGGAACTTAATTAAAAACATTTAAAGACGTTTTCCGTGGAAACAGTTGTTAGCTCCACGCGACCGTAATTGGGCCGTTAATGAAAAGTAGGTCGGGCGGGAGACGGCGTTGTCTTTATTGAACGGACTCACACACTTCACACTATAACTGTACCTATATGAATGTTACTAGTATTGATATGACGATCACTATCTATAAGTTAGTGTAGTGTGAGTCAAGTGATACGATACTATAAAGTTTGTATCAAAGAGAACGCTCGGAAGATCTGCATCGACGGCGGAAAAGACAAAGGAAAAGCAATTTCACAGACCTCTTGCGTTTTATTTGAAACACTGACATCGAGTGTGATAGAACGATCAACTTACTGACACGGAACTTGTTAACATTCACTACTATGAGGGAAATAATATCACACTATGATATAATGGATTGAAATAAATGTTTTAATATATGTATATTGAGATATATAGGACATGTAAATACACTCTATGATCATCGATAAAAATTAAATAATCACCAAACGAGAAAAGAGTACGTCTAGAGAAAATATTGAACAGGGAAAGTAAATATTGAAGATAATATCCGGCAAAGAGAAACACTTAAGACGAGATTACAACATTACCTTCTTGATATATTGAATATTAATATATGGACGATGACTACTTATATGAGCTTTAGAAAAGTATTATAATTTACACTCACACCTTCTCACACCTTCCTACTAAGAAAAGTTTCAAAAACAATATATGTATGTATATACTAATAGGTCTAGTGAGCAGCGCCTGCACTATATAACAACAACAAAGAAAATGCTCCTTGTATGATAATATAGCAAAGTCGGCGCATCGAACAATATCGTATTAATCTGGAACCACGAGGGGAACATCCATTAAAGCCAGCTGCGACACCCGGCTCTTATCGTATTTTGTGACCAATAAAATGTAAATTGAATCAACAATTAATGAATAGAAGAAACTCATACGAGAGTTCTTATTATATTAGTTTTTCTTGGGGATTTTATATGTACGTCCTCTTGTAAGGTTGTATTTTATAGACAGTAGGGAAACTTTTTAAAACACGTCGAGTCTTGAAGACTTCCATGACAAATAAAACTTTTGATTAGTCTTGTTCCATCGCTCGTAATTAAAAGTAAAGTTTGTAACAACTATCATTTAGACGGCGGAGTATTTATAAGGCTGTTACCGAGCGTACAATGGACTAGTTAAGTTACTTTAATTTCCATATAAAATATGAGCGTGGTATAATATAAATATGTGGTTCCGTGCCGCCTGCCGCGGTAAGTAAACGGTGCCTTATCTATCCCAGATGCGATCTGAATTAGCATCAAGAAGTGGGCCAACGAGTCGGTTCACGCGAACAAACACTCCGATGTTATAATAGGACGTACTTACTCTATCTTTAAATATGACCCGCCGCGCCGCTATATACTACGTTACAGATTTATATACCTTTGAAAAATACACTTTGTATTATACTTCACGAAAAAATGCATATCTAACAATATAACTGCAAAGGCTTCTAAATAATACCTTCAAAGTAATGTTCAATATTTTATCACTGTGACTTAGCTCATAATAATGGTAGTATTGTTTCATCGGCCGAAATATATAAACCTATTGCTTTAGATACAAATGCTATGTGTTTGAACCAGAGATGTTTACAAAATGTACCGCAATAATATAAGATACAAAATTATATAATAAAACGCTAGAACGGAAAACTGTAGCCGCGGATACTGATAATTTTTCATAATGTTTCTGTATGAAATAGGCGGTTTAAGGACAAGACAAATGGATGAAGACTGACTCGATTCAGTTTTTAATCCGTAATCATTTGTAAAGTGATCATGAATCAGTGAGATCCTCCTTCACCGGGTCTCATCTCTTTTTAATATTCCATTTCGTCCTCTCGAGCCTACTTTCTTAAAACTTCCGACCATCTATCAACGACTTTTTCTAATTAGGGAAGTCGGAATTCATTATTCAAGTATAAAAATGGTCTTCCATCTCCTCCGCTCCACAGAATACTATACGAAATATTACATTATTTAAATGAGTTAAATGTCCTATAAATTAAGGTTCCTTTAAAAGTTAACACCACCCTTTGAGATGGTCTGTGAAGCCACGTCATTATAACATAGTTATCACTAATGGAACTTATGATTCTGTATATAAACCTATATCATCATTGATTATCGATATATTAATTCCACGTGTGTGTCATGTGATCCTATAGTATCTTCCTCCAGACGTCACATTAATATACATTCCCCATGACCCTGAGCCGACCTGTTGATCTTGAATCAGTCCGAGGTCGTCGCCTCTCCGTTCCTCCAGAATTTTTTATCAGGTTGTGATCGTCTTTGTATTTGTTTTCATTAGTTTTCCTCGTCTCAAGTTTCGTTACAATACTACTGATAGTATGTGTACGTCTATTGTAAATATTTGTGTTGATTCTTGTTGTATAATCCGCTGATTGTGGTTCAGTAAAGGTTCGTTACAAAATGTATGTCCATTTTATAATTCAGTTGTACAGTGTCCTGTGATGAATCTCATATTAGGTTAGGTTTAGGTTTAGGGATGATTTATTTCCCATTAAGAACAAAGCTCACTTACATAAAGTTAATGGTGACCTTATTTATAAAAACATTGAAATATAATTATAAAGTTTGACAATATGTTTTTAATTTTTCATTAAATATTTCTTTCGGTAGATTATTGTACATTAGCGCTCCCTCAAATTGCATAGTGTTGTCACCACAATGTTTAGCTTTAGACTTAGGTATTTGTAATTTTTGTATATATTTTTTTAATGATGCATTATAATTCGTCAATTTTGCCCAATTTGACTAAACTTCTAACATTCGCATAAAATAATCTCATATTAAGTTTAATATATCGTCGATACAATGAATGTATGGTAAGCAGTGGTGTCTCCCACCGTCCACCGCCAGCCAACATCTACTCAATAATGTATGATAGTACACCGCTCTTACAATTAGCGATGCCATCATTTATATTCCGTTCGTTAAATACATTTCGACATTAACGGGCATGCTTTCATTATACATGAAATAAATTTGAATTGATCATAATGACATTCAGACTGTCGCAAGTATTCATAAATGAAACTAATATTTTTCGGATTACTACGCGTATTTTATAATTTCCTCACTTCTATTTTCCCGTGATCACGTTTGCTGCAAAGTAGCCGAAACGTCCTGACTAAGTAGTTTTTTTTAATAATAAATATGCAAAATAATCCGAGATAGTTTAATTTAATTGAATCGTTCACCATTTTTAAAATAATGTCTCAAGAAGTTAATACTTGAACGTGTTATTGTATAGTAGTTGGTTTATTAATGAAAGTTATACATTTAGTGTGGCAGTAGTTCTGACAACCGTGACATGCTATGGCAATGCATCATCAGGTACGATTCCATCGCTTTAATGTATTAACGACATTTGTCACCAGGACACAGACACACAGACACACCCACAGCTCCTGACATATTACAAACAATATATATTATTTATTACATTTTGATATAAAAATCAAAAGTGTATTGAGGAAATTATCGGAGACATATTAAGTTACCAATTTCGCTTTGATTTCATCGGACCGAGTAAACAATCCAGGAGAGAGGAACATTGACTCGTTACTGCGTGTGTCTGTGTGTGTGTGTGTGTGTGTGTGTGTGTGTGTGTGTGTGTGTGTACGTGTGTGCGTGTGTGCGTCGGTCTCATTTCAAAGTAGGTCGTTGTCGGGGAGGTTTTTCCTCCAACATTATATCGTAAAGGATGCAACTCGCCTGTAACAGTTAAAGTCCGTTCTAACAATTTTTCGCTTCCATTTAGCAAATTGCTACCGATTTCGTTTTAATCACGGAGTGTTTTGTTTACAATGAAACTATTAAAACAGTTATCATTGCGTTCATCTTACAATTACTTGATTGATTTATAATATCTCATATTATTGTAATTTGTTTTTTATGAACAATATTGAATAAACTAAGAACGTCAGAACAGAAACTGTGACATACATCGCGACATCTAATTTCCATGTAAAAATATAAAAAGGGAAATTTCGGTAATCCATTTACGACGTGATTTCGGCTTTGATGGATTTTTTCAAGAGAACGTGACTGAAGCGGAATATACGAAGTTAAAGTTTGACTTGTTTACACGTACGAGGCTACATATAGAGAGAGAGGCGAGGAAAGCTCTTTGGAATAAGCACTCAGAGATATGAGAGTAGCCGACACATTAAACAGATAACGAGACGACGCTGAAGACTTACAAATGAAAAGAAAACTCAATATACAAATTAACGAAACTATTAGGAACTAAGCTGATATAGGAATAATTGTATTAGGTCGAGTTACTCCCACGTGTTGACAATGACTGACTTATTATGACGAGTACAAAAGAAAGTCGCTTCTAAAATAATAAAAATAATGATAAGAATTTTTCAGTATATTATATTTTAATATGTTAAGATGAATCTCTCCGCTCTAACAGACCTTCTACCGACTCTCCTCGCGCAGTGAATTAATAACATTATTAATAAAATATTAGGAGACGTCTCGTTTTTTCAATTTGCGATAAATATATACTTTTATGAAAAAAATTGCTTTACTTTTATTAAAAGCTAATATTTAAGTTAAAAAAGTAGAATACTAACATACCAATTATATCTATTTTTTAATAACAAGACTAGTACTAGTATAACAAGTGTTCGACAGAATCAGTTCTCATGAATGTTATCATTCTGGTATCAGTACAATACAACAGGTGTCCCAGAATGTAGGAGTATAGTCATCAGGATTTTGTATTAAATATATAGTACATACAACGTATACCTAAATATTTCGGTGTGTGTGATGTACGACCTTGCCGTTCGCGGTCCGCGCTAATCTCCCTCGATAATAGAACACAATACGACTGAGTTCCCTCCCTCCTCCCTCCTCCTCCCTCCGCCTGCCGTCTCTCCCCCCGTCCTGTTCCCAGCCACTTTACCATAACGGGCTCCTTCATGAAATATCAAAGTGTTCGCGACGACGACCTCGAGGATCCTCGATGAACATTCATTAAACATTTGAGTATTATTCGTTCATATTGGACGAACTCTCAGAACATTAAATAATATTAAAGTGACAGGAGAGAGACGCGTTGAAGACGACTCCATTAATATGTTATAATATTAAGATGTGTTTAAAGTACTCTCCAGTGTTCAGTGCTATGTTTTCACTGCGAGACTATTCAAATCAAAAATTCAATGCATTGTATTTTTGTTGTCAGTCTCAAATCTCAATGCATGCTTTAAGAAGTCATAGGGACGAAAGTGGCTACACTTAATTTGCAAAACTAATCCCTCATTGAAGCCATTCATCCTCCGCGTACCTTTTAGAGTAGCGTTCAACGGAATCACGGTGTTCACGGCATTCTCGACTTTATAGTACATTATGAAACACCATATTAGTGAACACACGAGTGGGGTAACACAACTAATACTAAAGAAATGAACCGTCTCGCTGATTGAGAAAACTCAATCGACGCACGATGAATACTAACTGATCAATAGCTTCGCGTTATTTAACGAACAGCGACGGCCGCCCGATGTCGTAAGCCACTCATACGGCATACCTCACATCAAATTACTTGATTCAATAATTACAATTGGGGAGCCTTCTCTGATGTTTACAGTCGACTCGAATTATTTGAAACATATTCACAGGTCGAAAACATAACATGGCAATATCATGAAACAGAATATCTCACTTATACAAAAGCGGGCATTTGTTACAGCAAATAAAATTCACGGCGAAAGATAATAGAGGTGATAACATAAAGTAACATAGAAGGCCTTTTGAATAGATGGAGGAGAGGAGGCTCACGACTGGATGGAGTGGAGGGTACACATAAACATGAATAGCGGACACATTATCAACGAGACTCTTATTTAAACATCTAATACAACCAGCTGGTAGTTGGCGGTCAGTTTATTGTGACACTAGCACACGACCTCGACCCGCCCACCACCTATCACCTGTGACCGACCAGCGGCCGACCGACCACCGGCCTCTGAAGGTCGCCCGAGCTCGTCCCTTTATTAAACCGGTCCGTTCTGATTACACTCCGCTCGCTCTCTTCATATGGTTTCTGATTCACTTTTCATTACATACACCGTTATCTAGTTCCTGTATTCCGCACGCACACACACACACACCGACATTTATACATACATACACACATGGGTACACTATGTATGTGTTACATGAATATATGTAGCTCATTGTCAACGCTAGCCCTTTTTGGTCAACGCTAAAAATGGATTCTCCTTAATAATAATTAATGTCTCCGAGACGAATAAACGTTATTTAATACAGAATATGTCATTAAGTTGTATCTATGTGTGTGTGTGTGTGTGTGTATCTTGAATACATCTCATAGTACATTATTAATTTGATCGCATTGTTCCACGATCTGTGTCGTACGGCCGGCGCCGCTTAACGACGGCCGACGGGGCCAGCCTCCCGCCCGCGCCGGCCGTGACACTGCCTGCGTTATAAGGGGTGACTTGATGACATTCACACAACACACAGACCATTAAAGAAAACGGTACGCGATGGGATGGAATGCAGGCGGTGACGTCACCAGCATGACATCACCGATGACGACACCTCGCACATCAATTACAGATGAGGTAACCAACGTGTCACGCAACACTGACAACAGACCGACTGAGAGTTCGAAGTGAACATCAATATGTAATATTCCATGTGTTTATATTCAAGCTACATTATACATACATATTATATGTAGATAGTGTTTCCCAGTGTCCTCGCCGTCCTCACCGTCCTCTCTGATAAGGACTTTAAACGAGTTGTATTTTTAATGATAACCTAATAGTATCTATTCCCTGATGATCCCTCGCCCGCGTCGCCGCCTGTCCCTGCCCCTGCTGACTCACGGCGGACTGATTGTGTTCAATTAAACCGTTTTATATCACGATACTGATGATTTATTCAATTATATTCGTTAACATTATGACTTTTAGTATTGTACGTATGAAATGACCGACCGGATAACCTACTAACTACGTTATCATATCAACTGGAATGAAAGTAGAAAAAGATTTAACCCTGCAGCTTCATTCAGGCTCGTTCAATATAATTTGATGTTGGAACCCTTAACGACATAATAAAGAACAAACCTCACATATATTACATACAGACTATTGGACACATCGTAACAAAGGAAAACATAGTGGAATATACAAACAAAGTCAGCACACACACGACCACGGAAGAAGCATTACACTAATCAATATTAACGTCTCAACTCGTTTACACTCATTACCAAATCTTAATGACATCTGTTCTGTTACTACCTGGAGACGAACCAGTCCTACACAGACCATCTCTCATCTCAATCATCAACCAGTCTTCATTCTCACTCACGTTACTTATAGTAAACTTCAATGAATATGTATGTGGAGAACAACATGTCGTGTCTCCTTATAATATTTATTATTAAGATGCAACTTAAGAGCATCACATTGTTCCTCTACGAATGGATTTAACTTGTCACGATATGAATCCTCGTTGATAACATATTTTTTGTTTGCAGTACAATTTTTCTTCTCTCTCCTCAGGATTTAATCTTTATCTTATTTAACAATATGTTTTCTCCCATATTATAAATAAATATACACAATATTGGAATACTTCTTCTATAAAGAAGATGCTGGTTACATTATTGAGCCGTCGTTATGAATTGCTCAATTACCTAATATAAACATTCGGTAATACTTTCATCCCATCATCATCACAATATGTTTGAATGTTTAAGAAGATAATTAAATATTGAAGTCTGTTTCTTTCTTTGAACAAAATTTTTGTTTCAGTGGTTATATTGTACATACTGAACCAACACTAAGGAAGTTTCTTTCTGGCTCCAGATAGAGCCTACACTAGACGGGATGATAGCCAGCTAAACAAATATCAAATATTCGGACCTGCTGCTCCTTAGAACAATAAAAAATCCAATAACCTGAGTCAACGGATTCTGAAGGTGAGGCAGTTCACACATCGCCTATTGGACATAACTTGACGCTCACGACCAAACCCGAGGAAGATCCCCGGCGACACAGAAAAATGAAATTGTTCAAGAACAGTATCGAGTAACACGAGGGAAGGAAATCATCGACAACTTTAATTTGTAGTTAATAAATCCATTATAAAAATAACAGTATATGTCTGTATAAATGGACTGAGGATTGAGATACTTCTGTTTCATCAGTTTTCGCTGCTATGTAATTAGAAAGCAAATTCGGTGTATTTATTTGGTCATATATTCTTAAACAGTTTTTCTACTGTGTCGTCACACTAATTATATCATTCATAATATTCCTGTTAGTTCCGTGACGCCGCGCCGTCGGGTCAGACCCTGATGTTATACGAACAGATAAGTTTTGTTTTGTTTCAAAACTATATAATAAAATAACTTGTATTGTCAAAAAAACCTCATGTGAGGTCTTAGCGCAGATAATTATTATTTTCTCATTTTTATAATCACTTAAATAATTTACTTATTAGGTTTTAATCTCTATCAATTAACTTCAACTGATAATATTTATGTTTATTTATCGTCACAAGGTTTCAAAATGCATTTGGTCATATTTTCCACGACATTCTTTATCATGGGCTTATTTATTGACTAGATATATAGATATATTCGTCTAATTTTGAAAATAAACCAACTAGATTCTAAATCACAACGTTGCATTTTTTGAAATGATTTTAATTTCATTAAAATAATTGGATGTCGCGAGATTTGACGAGTTCAATGAAATGATTCGGATGAAGCGGACCCTTGACCTCTACACCCCAACAATGAATCGTAATTGTATTAATATTAGAATTTGAAATGAAATAATTATTTACTGGCATTCATTCATTTATTACGATAAAGAAATTTTGTATCAAATAACTCATTTAAATTTAAATTTTTCCCTAACTCTGTTTAGATTTAAATGTTTTGTGGGCTCTCATCACATCATCATGATCTTAAATAAAATTAAATACCATTCAGTTGATGTGATATGTACAACTAAAAGGAAAGGAGTGTGGCGATAGTAACTTAACTAAGGATTCAAAACCGCTTCTGAGATTGGTATTGACGAAGAATCCACCATCTCTGAATAGTATGGAGAACAGTGGATGTAGTTGGTATGTGGGGACAAACTTTTGTTCTTCAAAGTGAAAGCATCCGTCTCGATGTAGACAACTGTTCGATGTCGCTAGCAGTTCTGGAAGTTAGCACATACTTTAACTACTAAGCTGTTCCGACTGAACCTCCCTCGATAAGCCGATCTAGAGGAACTTAGTTTTACTAAGCTCTAGGAGTATCGTCTTGCATTTTATCGGTAGATTTATTTATTTCTGAAGTAATATCGTACAGATTTCTGATATTTTATTGATGGTTCTTTTAGTGCTAGTACCTCTAATATTCTGAATATTAATGAATATATAATATTTCGTGATAATATACATGACGCGTTAATGGCCTCGATAAAGACCAGGTTATGTGATTGTCATTAGTTATTACGACTAGGATTACAAATGTACGAAGTTGTTCAGTTAGGATTAAATTTTAATATAATTGTAATAGATTATATATTTGTAGTGATGAACATCCAGTAGTCTGTACAATCTGTTACCTGACTCGTCATTAACGGTCAATCTGATCTATATATTAACATTCTAGTGTACGGTCTATGGTCGGTGTAACCACATACCAAGGCTGTTAGTTGTTCCCTAAAATGTAGACATTAATGTCCCCTCCTGAGCAATGTCTGACACTATACTGAGATTCAGTTCGTATATATGTACGTTGTCTAATATTTTATATGAACAAGATGATGACGTCATTTAGCCTGAAGACGACGCCAGAGCAGGACATGTCATCATAAAAATCAGTTATTAACGTAACGATTTCTTTCTTTACGCCTAGTGTCAGCAACTCCTCGCTCGGTGTAATAATCATGACGTTCATAAATATTGATAAAAGTATGCACATTTGTTGCAAGCCTCCTGGGAAATTATGTTGCAGGGAAAGATAAATGGAAATGTTGAAATAGAACTGTTGTTCTAGTGCGAGTTATTACTCAAGCTGTCTTTATCAAGTGTGGTGACGATGTATCCCAAGAATATTCAAAATACAAAAATGAAACATCTTTAATTGTGACTGTTGGGTGAAATTAATGGCATCTTACTTATTAATGGGAGATAAATTATAGTTTTCACATTATTACATTCATAGAAAATTATGTAAATATGTATCTAAAACTTACTCGATATATAAGTGGACAAAATTTATTTTATAATCTTAAACTTTAACTAGAATGCAAAAACATTTACATGAGTTGTTATATGTGTTGGGTTTTTTAACTGCCAAAAAACTTTATGAATATAAAGGAACAGGCTCTCCGGAAAACTGATAACAATACAAATTTATTAGATAGCATTTAAAATTAAATTACAATCTAACATGTACATATAAAAACTGTTATTTAATTTAATCCATTAGAATTACTCCGACTGATTTATAAAAAAAAATACTTAATTAGATTAAAAGTTTCAAAGCGGGAGTTCCATTGCTTTCTTTTGCATCTCAAAATCTCTTCGGATATATAATTAAGGAAGTGAATATCTGAAGGGTCTGAAAGGTTCTGACAGATAAGAGGATCAGATATCCGAACGGAATTAATGACTTCTAATGGAATTGAGAGAAAACGAACGGACTGCCATCGACTGATTTAGATTAAAAACACAGTAGTAATGTGTGTTTATAAGGAATTTGATGATGTTCATGTGGTCTCCGTGCCCCTAGGTCCACATCGCCAATATGTTCTCCGGTTCATGTGTTCCACCTTGACCCAGTTCGTTTCGTATGGCTTGCACTGAACAACGGTTTAATGTAGTTTTTAATCACGCTTCTTTCATAATAAAACTATACGTTTCATAGCAACCTCCCTCACATTATACTAATGAACTTGTGTACCTAATACTTCAACTATGTGTGTTTAATATATATGAGATACATATTATTAAATCATCCCCGCACGTGTAGAGTCGTCGTTTGTTTCCGTGGCGTCCCCTGCACGGAGCCCTCGTTAAAGTAACTCCACGCATCATAGTGCAGTATTTATCAATCTGTTATCAGTTCAATATAAACGCAACTCGACCACCTACAGGGCCTCGTGTATGTGAGGTGTACCGCCAGCCAGAAATCGACTGACCTACACACACACACACACACACACACATGCACACACGCACACACACACATGCACACATACTACTCAACAATAACCAATTACCGATCGGCTATTGAAGATGATACCGCTAAAGGATTACACGGCCAAGGACAGTGACGTCACACTCATATCCGACTACGGAGATAATATGTCATTTTATCGCTTCCGTAAGTCATGTATCACGACTGAACCCGCCCGCGCCCGCTACAATACATACATAGTATTAGAAACTGTTATCAATAGTAATGTTTTGATCTGTGGCCATGTCGACTGTCGTGTCAACGAGCCGTAGTATACAAAACATAGAGCACGCGATCGGCGGCACGGCTCCCCACCACCACACGCCACACACACACCAGTCATCACACGAATACGGCACCAGCAGTCAGTACCGAGACCACCACCGACTACCAACCACCGACCACCATCCATAAGTAACCACTCACCTTTTTAATCTGGAAGTGATCGGGCCGCAGCGTCTCCTGGATCTCCTGCTCCGTGCCCCGCGGCGTCGGCTGCACCGAGCTGCGGAAGCCGTCCAGCACACCCTTGAAAGTGAACTTCTTCATCGCGAATGTTGTGTCGCGCGGATCCTTTGTCCGGCCGCGGCTACATCACAGCCGTCCGCTCCGGACAGCGAGCCGGTTTTGGCAGCGGCAGTCGGAGGGAGGTCGCTCGCTCCCGCGCCGCGAGTCCGCTACTGCGCAGGGCCGCCCGGGCCGCCGCCGACGCCGACTCGCGCCCACCGCCACGACGATCGACGAAAACTAGGCGAGGCACCGCCTCCGGAATGTACGGCAATGCGGTCTGCCGGCGGATCGATACGGGGAGCGGCACACGAGCGCACTCCGGCCACACGACCTCCACGACCGGCCACTACGAGCACACGACACACGGCCCGCCGCGGACTGGCGACTGGCGAGCGGAGAGCGGAGAGAGCGCCCGATCGATCACACCGCACGTGCTACGGAAAGAGATGAACGCATATTGCGCATGCAGCCTCTAGACTTGTTCACTACGATTTACAAATTACAGCTGATAGCACTGATACCGCCACCGCCACCGCCAGGTGCCGCTCGCCACGAAAACAATGTGGTCGCTAACACAACTGTCACACGAACGTCACTCATTGACAGATAATAAGAAGTATCGAACACTCCTGACGGCTGATTAGTGGCTACATCGTCCATGTAACAATAGATACATAAAAATAACATTTTGTATTGTGAATATAAACAAATTATACATAATGCCGTACAGAGTAGCAGTGAGAAGTTTTAAAACTTTGAGTTATATTGGAAGTTATAAAAAAATGAGAGATCGACCATTAGCGTAAGTACATTTTTATTAAAACCGGTAAAAAGTTTACGTAAACACGAATTCAATCCTGTTCAACAAGTACCAAGGTTTATACAACCTTCTAGTCTAGTTACCAAGTAAAGTAACATAAAATGTGGCCTGACATGAAAGTATCAGAAGTCATTGATATTTATCACATTAGAGATAAACCAAAAAAATAAGAATGTTTCGTTAGTTGTGACTGATAGATAAATAAATAAAAATGTATTAACTCCAATAATCAACAACAAAAAACAAGAAATGTTATTGTTATAGTATTTGATATGGTAGAACAAATTCCTTTAAAAGACATTGCACAACATTTTCAGAAAATGTCAGGAGTTTTTGTATGCAATTATAAATAGTTTATTTTAGTTATATCTTTATTGAATAATTTTAAAAAATCTTTAAGGGTCACAATTGATTATAATCAACCAGTTTTCATCAATTTTTATGGACACCATCCTGTTATACTGCATTCAATCTTGACCTATTTTAATAGCCACTCTTAATTGTCATAAATGTTTGCAACAATTTCAGTTTCTACTGCGCAGCAATACTTGGTGCTGGGTATGCAGCATACAGCCAACATAAACAAAACAAAGCAGAAATGAAAGAAATAATACAACTTAAAAATTATATGGCTGAACCCATCACACCAATTAGTGAGTTAGAAAAGAACCAAGATGATATGAAAACACAGATGGAATTGCTTATCATGAGAATACAGGCGGAGTTCTGCAGGGCCTTGGAGAAAGAAGAGGATGAGGTAATATATTATATATATATTATATAGGCTAAATAACTTGCACACACATCCCAAACATAAAGAAAAAATATGACATTCTATACACAGAATAATTAATAAAAGAAATACTTCATAATATTATAGTTAAGAGTGCAATAAATTTAAGCTTTCCACAAAATATATTCTATCTTTGTAGGCTTGGGAAGATGAAAAAACCCCCGATGACTTTGATTTTGACAACGATGTATTCTTACCTTCTCCGGTATGATTACTACAACATATTTTGTAAACTTTGCATGATTTGAAAACATCATTCAACATAACAGGGTCATGAGCTGTGTCTTCAAATTACCTCTCAGATAATCAGAAATCTTTACAAACCTTTTCAGTAACAAATTATTCAATGATACCTGCTTTGTGAATATTATGTGTGCTACTTAACAATTTTTTTCTGTTTTAGTAATTTTACATATCATTGAACTAAAGACGAGGAATAAGTACAATTTAAAATATATTATTATCAATATTTAATTTTAAAATTCTTCTAATATAACCATTTCCCAAGATTGTCTTTGTTCGGAGTGAGTTAATCATAAAGGGCTCCACAGTCAGAACTGTTGTTATAAACGAGCCTTCTAAAAAGATGAATATTGTATGGCCACAATATATGTGTGTGTAAATCTAATTTACCGAACTCTTTCTTTTCACTATTTCGTACAATTTCGTTATCAGATTTCTTTATAAACACAGTCTGGACAAGTCATTTATTGCTGTCATTATTTAAACATTAAGGTGCAAGCCCGCTAGAAGCATAGAATGTCAAGCAGCAATCAGTTTTAAGGGGGAAGGGGTCACGTGATATTGATGACAAAAATAAATTCTGAACTATCAAGTTATCTGTGACTTTGTCTACTTTGTTTGACATATTAACAAAGTTTCTAAATGTGTAAGAAAAAAGACATGATAAAATTTTTTAATTAGTTAGAATATCGTTTGTATTATATGAATATACATGAAACTTATACAATTAAATAATTTTAATCTATATACATATTAGTTTCAAGGATCTCTATATTTTTCTTTATATTATACTAGTTTTCCGCCCGCAGCTTCGCCCGCTTTGAGTTCGGTAATATCGCGTTTCCAAGAGAACCTTTCAAAAGTCTGGGATAAAAACTATCCTATGTTCTTTCTCAAGGTCAACTCCTTCTCTGTTATAAATTTCATTAAAATCAGTTCAGTGGTTTAGGCGTGAAAGCGTAACAGACACACAGACAGACAGAGTTACTTTCGCATTCATAATATTAGTAGGGATGACAGTTCAAGACTTTATTATGTAATATTAATTAAATCCAAAACTTTACTTCATATAGTAACTATAATAGTTGTCAAACATTATAATTTTGTAATTGGATGTGACTTTTGATGTAGGAATCAAAGTTCAAAGTGGACCGTTGGAAACGTAAGGAGGGTGGCGGAGGCATCACGTGCGTGTTACAAGACGGCCGCGTGTTCGAGAAGGCCGGGGTTAATATATCAGTGGTGTCGGGGATCCTACCGCCGCCCGCCGTGCAGCAGATGAAGACCAGGTCCATACACTACAACTATAATAACTAACACTGATACATGTATCAATATATACTACCATGAGGGCTGGGAATTGTTAGATATACAATAATTTTTCACATTTTGTGCGAATGCTTCATCAATTTGACATTAAACAAATCACAAAAGGGGGAAGAACTTCGAGAACAAGGAGCTGCCGTTCTTCGCGGCGGGAGTGAGCGCCGTCATCCACCCACGGAACCCGATGGTCCCCACCATACACTTCAACTACAGATACTTTGAGGTCCAGGATAAAAACGGTACACTCATACCAAACATTAATAGTTCACACTCAAAGTCAGTGGTGGCCTAGTGGTTAAAGGGCCCGCCTCTCATGCACGAGTGCGCGGGTTAGATCCTGGCACGGGCAAGTACCAATGTGATTTTTCCGAGTCATATGTACTTTATAAGACTATTTAGACATCACTGATTAATGTTGATTCCCTAAAGAAGGTTGATGTCAGGCAAGCGGCCGGTCGTAAAAACAATTAGCCAAAACTATACAAAACATTTAAGGCATACCCTGGCTATAGCTGGGAAATTGCCAGGTAGACGAACTCAACTCAGGGTAGGGTTTTTGTTTGATTTTTTTTTACTTTTTCCGCGTCAGAGGTCCACTGGTGGTTCGGCGGCGGCACGGACCTCACCCCCTACTACCTGAACGAGGAGGACGCGGTCCACTTCCACCGGACCCTCAAACAGGCGTGCGACGAACACGACCCTACATATTACGACAAGTACTGTACTCATTCCTGACCATTGATGGCTCACCACTTGCAGTAACAATTCTCGTTGTTCTATAACACTTATCTAAAGTCAAAACGGGCCTTAATGACTAAAATAAAATTAGTATTAAGAGTATTAAAATCGATTAAAGAAATTTCTGTAAAATTTTCTACAAAAATTGCTGTTACGAGTGTCCTAATTCTTAGCTACATGTGTACTTGACATCATACATTTGTGTACAAGATCTACATTCACTAGAACGCGAGATAATGATGTTGCTTAGACCCAAGAAAGATGGAGACATCCATGTGTTGGATGTGCTTGAAATTGATGTTTGCTTGAAATAATTTATTATAGAAATATTTGTTACTTTTATAATTGGTTATGGGCCCAAGTGTCTGACTTTATTTTCATTGTGAATACTTGCAAGAGTTGTTTTATTATATGAATTTATTTTGACGATTTTAAAACTCTCAAGTATATAGCATATGTAGCATAGCATTATCTACAGCATAAATGACGAATGACTTGAAAGAATAAGCAAAGAAATGCAAACAAAAGCCACTCGTACTTATATAAATGAAGGATAATTATTTATTAATATAACTAAGACGTTATTATAAACACTTTAGTAAGGGAACACGTGACGTTATTCACTATATATTTATTATGATATTGTAGGTTCAAGAAGTGGTGTGACGACTACTTCTTCATAAGTCACCGCGGCGAGCGTCGCGGCGTGGGCGGGATCTTCTTCGACGACGTGGACTACCCCGACCAGCAGAGCGCCTTCAAATTTGTGACCTCCTGCGCCGAGGCTGTCATACCCAGCTACATACCCCTCGGTAGATCATTATTTTTTTGCCTCGAGTCCGCTATTTAATTAGAATTTTATAGACTGGCAACACATTCAACGTGTAATTCTTACATTATATGACTGGTGAATTACTATCAATATTTAAGGAGAATACTCGGTACATGATTCTCATTCGAATTATGTAAAAGAAATAGGCACTTAATTTTAGACCAAATTTCCGTATAAATAAATAAAGTGCGGACACGTTCCAAGTGTTCCATGTGTGGACGCGTGCGGCGGCGTGCTGATACAACACCACGCCGGCGCACGCGTGTGTGTGTGTGTGTATACCTAATCTGTAGGGTGTTCACACGATGCGTAATTAATTACATAACTTTTGGTTAACTTTACTTAGAAGTTTATTAATATTTATGTTATATTAATTTTTATTCTGTCATATATGATCGTCAAATATCACGTCCTCAAGTATCGATAGTAATTCACCAGTCACCCTGTATATACTACAAGACCCGGCGAACTTCGTATTGCCCTATAATCAAGAAGTATCTGTTACGTTTTTTTATTTATATTTTTGGAGTTTACCTATTAAAGCCATAAATCTCCGTGTTTTGAAGTGCGACAGAATGATTGACATATTAGTTAGTTGTCAAATCTAATGTCAAAAAAAACGTTTGTATAAACAACTACTAAGGGACTGTCCATTAATCACGTGAGGCTTGAAAGGGGGGGGGGTGGGGTTTGATAAAAATCACGAAAATATCACAAGGGGGAGGGGGGGTGTAGTAAGATATCCCGTGTATTTATTTTTTCGTCTAACGCGCGATTTTTAAACAAATATTTAAAAAAAACTTGCAACCTGGTGTAGACATTTTTATTATGGTCCTTAATTTCAGAATAAAATAAGATTATAGTTTATACCTGTATTTAAATTAAGATAATATTCAGAAAATTTTAAGATTCGTTGTAGCTACTAAAAATACACGTGATGTTGAGAAGGGGGAGGGGGGTGGTCTTAAACCTCACTACGTATCACCAATGGGGGCGGGGGGGTTAAAAAATGCTAAAAAAAGATCACGTGATTAATGGACAACCCCTAAGAAATTAAAAATTAATTAAAAAACATTGCGCAGCGGACAAAATTGCGAATCTAAACCATTGCCAGATCCCCTTGAACACACACAAAAAATTTCATCAAAATCGGTTCAGTCGCTTGAGAGAAGTTCAGTGACATAGGTACACACTCACAGAAGAATTATACAGGGTGACTGGTGAATTACTATCAATATTTTAGGAGAATACTTGGTACATGATTCTCATTCGAATTATGTAAAAAAATAGGTATTTAATTTTTGACCAAATTTCCGTATAAATAAATAACGCGTGGGCACGTTCCAAGTGTTCCAAGTGTGGACGCGTGCGGCGGCGTGCTGATACAACACTACGCCGCCGCGCGCGAGTGTGTGTGTGTATACCTAATCTGTAAGGTGTTCACACGATGTGTAATTAATTACATAACTTTTGGTTAACTTTACTTAGAAGTTTATTAATATTTATGATATATTAATTTTTATTTTGTCATATATGATCGTCAAATATCACGTCCTAAAGTATTGATAGTAATTCACCAGTCACCCTGTATATATAAAGATTAGTAACTATAGTAAAATTAACGACCTACTTATTTGAACTCGTCTAAGTTCAAACCAGAATTCTATTCTAAAACATCACACTGACAAATTATTTTTTGAGCTCGAAAATCTTGAGTTTCAGCCAGTTAGTTTCCCTAATGATTAAGTACAAGACATCAAACTGTTCTCTCCCCAGTTCAGAAGCACGCGGACGCGGGGTACGGGTACCACGAGCGTCAGTGGCAGCTGCTCCGCCGAGGACGCTACGTAGAGTTCAACCTCATCTATGACCGAGGGACCAAGTTCGGTCTCCACACGCCCGGCGCTCGATACGAGTCTATACTCATGTCGCTACCCTTGAACGCGGTCAGTAATTTAACTAGAGAAACCTAAACACACCGAAAAAATCTTCCGAGCATTTTAAAATGTTACATTTCATTATTCATTGCAGAAGTGGGAGTACATGCACGACCCCAAACCGAACTCACCGGAAGAAAAACTCATGAAAGTTCTCAAAGAACCGAGAGATTGGTTGAATGTTCAGCAGGCGAAGAGCACTTCCACATGAACTGTCTACTAATGAAGAAATTGTGAAACAAAATATTTTAGCGATAGTCATACTTGGTTGAGGATGTTATTAAAAAGATATATATTTTTTATAAAATAAATTATTTATCGTTTCATAAGACATCTTATTTCTTTATTCGTTACATAAACAAACAAAAATAGTATAAAAATCATATACCTCATATCGAAGCTAAAATGATATACAAGAAATTATTTAACTGAACTATGTATTGAAATGAAACATTAATAAACATACTGTTGAAGGAATCTTTTTGTTCACACAATAAGTCTACATATTGGCCAGTATTAAATATATTAATGAAGAACTAAAAATTCAACTTTTATATACTAATCTTAATTTTCTTCAGTGAAAGAGTTATTCTTCAAAATGTTTCAATCATTAATTCATAATAGTATCAAAGAATTGCAATTCGTTTTGCTATGTTTAATATCAGGTTACAATGAAATTATTGTTACTGTATGTATTATATTTCTTTCTTTGTTTTCTTTGTTAATATTCTCGTTAAGCAAATTTTATATGGTAATTAATATAATATAATTTCATATCGTTCTATCAGTAAGTGAAATGGGCTAGGTGAAATATATTTAAATAAGCAATTCTTGTATATAAATACATATTTATTGGAATCTCGGAATCCGCACCAACGACTTTCAAGAAAGGAGACTGTCCACTTAGTATGGGGTTTTTGGCCTGACGTGAACAGACATTTTATCATATTTTTTGTAATTAGTTTAAAAGCACTAACTAGTAATAATGAGAATAAGAACTAAATTTTGTATCAAAATGTTTAAAAAGAGATTTTTTTCATGTGAGGAAAAACAGGTTAAAGCGAAATAAAACATCATTTTTTATGATTTATTTTTATTCTGAGACATCATATGTTATTAATATGTGTTCAAGAAATTGGACAGGTGGTGAAATGTGTTCCTGATACCTTGCCCAACTTAAAAACCATAAAATAGTCATTATATGAGCACAGCAACCCACTGTCCTTCGGCCAACCATGCAATTACAATAATATTCTTTTATAGCTTCCTTACATTATAATATATAAATTATATTTTTCGACTTACATGCCTGCTTTGTATTTTTCCACGCAATAATCTGCAGTTGGCCAAAGGAATCGGGTAGTCAACCAATAGGTCGCTGGCTATATTACGAACAAGCTTGTTTTAGTTGGTATGTTCCACATGCAATTTTTACAAGATCATTATATTCTATTCTGGGAAATATGAAACTGTCCATGTTTACATTTATAGGTTGAAAATCTGCCCGCCTTCTATTTAAATTATTATCAATAACAAAGTCAGCTAATGTGTTAGGAGTAAACATGTTTTCATTTATTATAATACAACTTATACTAATAAGGATTATAATTATATAAAACAATAAAACCTCATATTGCATTATAGGAATAGCATATACAATACATATCTATTGAAAAACGAGTGATTTAAATAATTAATTGAATTGACACTTACTCGTCGAGGAGCTATCCATTGTCTTAAAATAGACTGAATCTGATTAAGATCTAGACTATGTCGCCTTCGCTCTATCAAATCAGTTCCACAGTTTATGCATCTCAAGAGATATAGATTGGTAGGAAGTCACTTCTTCTGTGTGCAGTCTATCATGAGACACGCTTTGGTTTTGTTCAATGTCCATATTCAAGCCATGGTTAGCGATGGAGCTAGTTTCGGGGTCCATATTACGTGAGTTTTGGTCATCGTTTATGCCTTGATCGGAGTCCATAATACAAAAGCCAGGGTCATCGTTTGAGCGAAATTCGGGGTCCGTAGATGTGCAGGGGTCATTGGAAAAAGATAGGTCGGAGTCCATAATGAATAAATAATCGTTGAAAGAAAATCAACAATAAATCAACACTCTCAATGTAGGTAAACAAAGCGAATGTAAACAATCAGTCTGTGACATATCAATGTCAATTTGTATTTTTTTGTTTTATTAGTGTTGCAATAGAAAAAAATCGATCGAAAGAGATATGATTACGTTTAACATTCTTCATATTTCAGTTTATAAAACGTTTTAATTGAAGAAACTAATTAAAAACAAATATTTTTAATTGTATTAAATACATATAATTGTATTAAAAATTTATTTGAAATCACAACTTTGTGCTTTTGATCTTAAAGAACGGGCAAAAACAGACTTAAATTAGAGGCAAGCTAAATAATTTGAGCAAAATTAAAAAAAAATTGGATCAGTTTAAATTGGAGTCGTTTAAAATATGACTTTTCCTGACATCTATTGGCGAATAGTAATACTACTTTTTGCTAATTGCTTCAACGACACAGCAGCAGATGGCGTTGTTAAGTCCCAGAAAATCAATTAAGGTTTGTTTTGAGGTTAGACTAAGAAATTAATTATTGAGATATGGGTGAATATACGCTATTTGAATTCTATTAGCCTATAGACAAATTTTGTGTAAAACTTATTATATCATTGTCCCCCCATGCTTAAACAATAAAGAATATGGCATTTTATCTGGCCCACAAAGGCTATTCACGAGAATTATTTAATTTTTGTTTGAATAATATTTTAAAATGTATACATACCTGTGGCCTTCCCATTTATGAATTAAAATGAACATATGGCTGAAGACTTTCAAGAAGTACACAATTATGTTTTTTATTTAATGTGGTCATACGCTTCATATACCTGGTTACCGAGCTTTGCTCAGTATTTTAAGGCATTATAAGTACTTATTTATTTTGTTTTTTTTTTTTTTTTAATTTCGTTAATAGGCATTTTTCAGTGAACACGGTAAGAAGACACTAAACAATATAAGGGTGAATATACGCTATTTCGTTTTTTCGTGTCCCAGAAGGAAATAATATCGGTTCCATTCAATATTTACAGTTTATTTATTTGACACTATTTAAAAAATTAGTAATCACAGGGGCCCTACGATTACAAAATTTTTGAGTTTTATAAGCACCAGAGGGAAGTGTTTTACAAGAAGAGCGACACTGTTGCCAGAGTAGTAACAAAACAAAGCAGGGTATTCTCATACCATTGATTATTATTAGCTAAGAAAGATGACTAATATTAAATAAAACGTCTATTTAGTTCTATTTATTTATTTAAAAAAAAAACAAATTGTCACTCCCCTGGCTATCATGTATATAGTATGCTAGAGAAGTGACAAAATCACACATAATGTAAGTAATTAAATTAACATCACTCGCTTTTTTTACATCAGTTTAAGTTAATATATGACATCTACGAACACTAAACATTGATTATAAAATATAACAATTTAATTATGATAAAATACAAATATATATGCTTATCAAGGGAAATACTCCAACGACTGGCACAAAATTACTTTCCGAAAATTTATCGAAAACTTACGCAATTTTTTTTTTAATTTTTAGCAAATTATTTAGCTTGCCTCTAATTTAAATCTGTTTTTGCCCGTTCTTTAAAATCAAAAGCACAAAATTGTGATTTCTAATAAATTTTTAAGTCTTTGAATTCCGCCAGATGAAGTGACAGAATTGTAACATGACTCGAAAATAAGTTATACATTTTATATTAATAAATTTATTTACTCTTAATTTTGTTAAAATATGTTTCGATGTTTATAAAAGCGTATGACCACATTAAATAAAAAACATAATTGTGTATTTCTTGAAAGTCTTCAGCCATATGTTCATTTTAATTCATAAATGGGAAAGCCAGAGGTATGTATACATTTTAAAATATTATTAAAACAAAAATTAAATAATTCTTGTGAATAGCCTTTGTGGGCCAGATAAAATGCCATATTATTTATTGTTTAAGCATGGGGGGAGAATGATATAATAAGTTTTACATAAAATTTGTCTATAGGCTAATAGAATTCAAATAGCGTATATTCACCCATATCTCAATAATTAATTTCTTAGTCTAACCTCAAAACAAACCTTAATTGACTTTCTGGGACTTAACAACGCCATCTGCTGCTGTGTCGTTGAAGCAATTAGCAAAAAGTAGTATTACTATTCGCCAATAGATGTCAGGAAAAGTCATATTTTAAACGACTCCTTTTTGTATTTTTTTAAATAAAATAATTGTTTTAAAATAACATTTTCTAAAAATGATTCCTAGGTCGATCTATTAATCGCCCCTAAAATTCCCTACATACTAAATTTCATGCAAATCGTTGGTGCGGATTCCAAGATTCCAATAAATATGTATTTATATACAAGAATTGCTCATTTAAATCTATCTGTTTTTATATCGCTGCTTATTGGCTGTCATCCATTCTTTCGGAGGTTCACAAATACACAGTTCACACAATAATTCCTTTATCGGTGTGTTTAAACTTCAAATTATGTTAAAATTACAATTCTGTTTTAAACAACAACAACAACACTTTTGGCAACACAGTTCACTTTGACTGTCAGCTGTCATGTTATTTGTGATGGCCGCAATATTGTGGTTTTTATGATACCTATGTTATGTGTATTCTTGGCATTTCTATATTACTTTATACTGAAAATTGGACGTCATCATTACTTCAGTACATTTTGGATACGTTGCTTTACAGATCATAAATCGCGTTCAAATTAGAACCATATAAATATGTGGCGCGCATAACGGATGCTTCGTTTCCTACATTCTTGTGCCATAAATGTAACGTAATGTTCGTTCGGTGAATCGTGATGTTATTGCGGTTCGGGGCCCGGTGAAGTCGAAGATGCCTTTCAAGCTCAAGTTGAAGAAGACGCGGCAGTACAATGTAGCATCGAAGAGTCTGTTTGTCATAAGTGTGGAGCTGTTAGACGGCGGTGTGGCGGACTGCACTCTGTCCGTGGAGAGCACCGGCCAGGAGTGTCTGGACAACGTGTGCCAGCGGCAGGCCATCAACCAGCCGGAGTTCTTCGGACTGAGATACATAAACAGGAACCAACAGCCGCGATGGGTTCAACTCGACCGCCCACTGAAGCTCCAATTAGAAAAGTATGCATCTTCACATCAATTGTATTTAAGGGTGATGTATTACGTGATATCCGGAACGAGTCTGATCACGGATGAAGTGACGCGGTACCATTATTTCCTGCAACTGAAGAATGATCTAGTGGAAGGTAGAATTATCTGTGATTGCCAGCAAGCCGTGGTGCTGGCCTCGTACAGCCGTCAAGCGGAGTACGGTAACCACGACCGAGAGCGACACACCGTGGAGTACCTCAAGAACCTGTTGACCTTCCCCAAACAGATGTTAGATGGAGGTCAAGTACTGGACAGCAGCAGTCTGGCTGAGACGGGCCGCTTGGAGTGGCTGACGGCAGCCGTCATACAACACCACATGTCCCTCAACAACATGTCACAGGTACACAGAGGTGTTTCATGTTGAAAGGAGTTGTCATTAACAGGATCATCCTATGTAGTAGTGTGTGTGTGTGTGTGTGTCTCATGTATTATTTATTATGTGATATCACTAGAGCCAACAAAACCGGTTCTGCTATCAGAATACTTGAACAATGACATAATAGATACTGCCTATTTAAAGACAAGAAAAAACCTATGGATTCTTGATTGAACTGTGAATAATAATAGTCTCATGTAATGGTGTAGATTGCTTAATGTTAAGTATCAATTGTTTTTTCATTGATCTTCATTAAAATTCTTCATTATTTATATGATGTGTGAACAAATAAAAGATTATTAGCTCATTATTTTCTTACATTAAAACTGTGAATTGAAAAATATAATGAAAATTATAAGAAGATGCTCATAATGTTTCTTTATATAAGTGATGTCTATCATTATTGTTATCTTAGAAATTATATGATAACAAAGACGACTCACAGAACACACGCATTGCATTATCACAAGCAATTATCAAATATTAGAAAGTGTTCAAAACATTTGTTAACTAGCTATATACATTTATATTACAGTGGCCCCCGGTAATCCGGCCCCTGTCTAATCCAGCACCCCCTGTAATCCGACATGATCAATTATTTGTTTTTTTGTAAGTGCTATAGCATTAATGACGTTGATTTTATAAAAAGACGTCTATTGTTGTCTAATTTACTAAATTTGACATACATAATGAAGTATTATTTGTACTTCAGAGTACATGTAAGTATATATAATTTGTAAATATGTATATATATTATTGAATCTGTAATTTGTCGGATTACAAGGTACTCTTTTGTAAAAAAATCCGGATTATAGGGGGTCTTAGGCAGTACTCTATAATCCGACGAATTCGATAGTCCGACACTGCCCTGCAAAATGTTTGTCGGACTACCGGGGTTTTACTGTATAATCCAATACATATTTTTTTTATTGTAACACAATTATATATACATTATACTATGTATATATGCTATATGTTGTATCTTCCCGGCCAGGCCCAGGCGGAGGAAGGTTTCATCACGACGTGTCAGCAGCTCCGCGGCTACGGCCAGGAGATGTTCACGGCCAAGGACAAGAAGGACCAGTCGGAGGTGACCCTCGCCGTGTCACTGACCGGGGTCCGGGTCCTCACTGACACCAGCGACACGCCGCATTACTACCGGTAACACGAGGAGCGACCCTCGATAACAACACATTACTATTACTATTATAATATTCACGTTTAAATGTTAGTCCTTACGGCTTTGATAGCGTCACCAACAAGATAGTGGGGGGGGGGGGGGAATCCGATGGGACCAACCTATTTTAATTCGGGCCCGAAGGGTCCGGGTTATACGCCCGTCCCAAGTGTGCCTCTAAGAGGTCGTACCTCGACTTAGGACGTCGTTGAAGTGGAAGATGGCATCGTATGATACTTATATTCATGGAACACTTTTCATTGAATGAACAATCTGTTTTTTTTTCGATGTCTATGATCCCGATGTTTAAAGCTGGCATTTGCCATACTTGTATCTTAAGTTTGTAAACGTTTGAAGTAACATAGAGTGGGGTGGGTGGTGCAGGTGGATGGACATAACGAACGTGATCAACCACAAGCGGACGTTCAGCGTGGAGTGTCAGCAGCGGCAGTCCGCGGCCTTCGTGCTGCCCTCGCCCGAGGACGGCAAGTACGTGTGGCGCATGTGTGTGATGCAGCACACCTTCTACATGCGGCACCAGCACTCGCTCACCGCCGCCACCAACACGACCACCTCACCCGTCACCGACGAACACAGACCCAAGTTCCAGGTGAGCGATGATAATTATTATTGTTTACTAACATTTAGCCGATTGGAGCATTCTGACAGTTTTACTCAAGAAATATTATTATTATATATATTTCTAGTATTGTAAGTTATAAATTACACATACATATACATATAATATCATTAATAAATTATATAAAATATTGTTTGTTAAGTCTTATATAAGTAGTGTTTATATTAAAGTTACTAAATAAATTCACTTCACATACAACAGCCAATGAGCAGTTCCTTAACCATCCGCACGCCACACACATACAAACACACGCCACGTGTCACGGACCGCTGGCCGGTGTGAGAGTGTCCGTGTTAATAAACTTTCATTAACGAACCACGCGGACATCGCTCCTCTGGCGAAAGTAAAGGCGATGTGACATTATAAACACATCCTTAACATGACACTTAAAGTTTATAATATAATTATATCTCATACTAAGGATTAGTGACATATTACATTGTCTACATTAAAATATTTGTCGGCACCTTGATCCTTATATAAGAGACACGATGAGCTTCAGAGAAGGAACCGTGAACTCTGTGTCCAGCATGTAAGACGGTTGACGACACATTAATAAAATACACGTCCACTGATGACCAGATGGAGATATATTTGTTATTGAATAATACAAACACGCACACACGCACACTCACCCACGCATACTCACTCATGCATGTAGAGAAATAACTCAAATAGAGGGAAATGATAACAGACATCGGAAGTAACAAGAACATGTTTCATTGGTCGTTGAGTTTTCTTCCGTCAAGTTTACAGTGTGAAGCGTCACTTCATGCTGATGGATTCTTATCTTCATTCATAAAGTAACGGTATATAGAGTTATCAATGAAATACCAGACACATGTTGTAACTATTGCATTATTCATAATTAGGGCCCGGATAAATATGTATTAAAAAATCTAAAAGATGTACATAAAATATGGAGGAAAAATATGGAAAAAATATGGAGTATAAAATAAAATATGTACTTTCATAATTAAACATTGTTTTACTATAAGAAAAGGGTCACTCGTGACGTACATCGTTAAGTTACATTTAAAAAACGATGAAAAAAATAGCGAAATATTTATTTCTACAAAAAATAACAGTTTTATTCAACTTCCATTACACTAGCCTTATCAAATTGGTTGCAATACACAATGACGTGCATCTTTATTTTATCAAATTGAAAACCGACCATTTGGTTGAAATATAGCCTTATATCTGCTGAATGATCTCTCCACGTCACATGACGTGATGGATGCATACTTAAACATGCTGAATTCAGTAATTTTGTAAGCCATGTCTACGGCCCTCGGAACTTTCGCACAGAATTTTGTTAATTTTTTTTTTGCGTATTAAATCCTTTATTTTTATCCAAAACATTAGTGGTGGGAACGTAAATTTTATGTATTTTTGTGAATATATGGATGCTTGTGACATTTTCTTGTAAAATATGGACTTAACTTTGAAATATGGAAAAATATGGAAAATAAAAGTTGGTTTTTCACAATCTAAATATGACAATCCATGTAGAAAACACATCCTAGACTGAAAATCGCGTAAATTAAAAATATGTATTTACATATTAATCCGGGCCCTATTCATAATATTGTAAGATGTTTCGAAGCATTCAACACATTAAATGAAATAATGGTCCATGTCACGTGACATGCTTCATTGGAGTAAGTTAATTTATTATCGAAACCGAACTTGGTCCAGAGGAATCAATTAAAATGTTGTTCAGCCTCGTTGTAGTGCGATACACCTCCATATAATAATATCTAACACACTAACGTACATAATATTTACTTCATTATTTGCTACTTTCCTTAACATCGTCCTTGTGCTCAGAAGCTTTTAATTTAATATGTTTAGTTTCATACAAATCCTTACATTAAACACGTAACATACACGTTGTTCCAATTGGTAAATATATTATATTAAGTGTGTTTCGTCCAGGAGCACGGTCTGTCTGAGAGCCGTGAGGAGCTGGAGCCCCACCCCGCCGCGCTCAGCACCGCCCGCGCGCGCTCCGCCTCGTGTCTGGAACTGGCGGAACATCGACCACACATAGCCACCAGGTAACACCTTCACGACTACCAGATACATACTGGACGGAAGGAAACACTACACGAGGAATACTTCGTTATTATAGTCCGTTAGACTTAAGCTGAGCTTTGCATTTGTGTGGGTGAAAGTAAAAGTAGAGTTAGACCAAAAACTTTTAGAATTAAATTTTATTATAATTTAAATAGATACGTAACATAAGTGCGAGAATTATTCTAGATTAAAAATAAAATAAGCAAAACTTGTAAAGGCCAGATGGAAATGTTATGGAAAAAAATATTAATTAATAATTTTTTTGAAAAAACTATAAATTCTTCTTCACTTAAAATCGTTTTCAAAATTTAATGTTGCTACCAGTACAAAGGGTGAAGTGCGAAAGGTGCGGGGCGAAGTAAAAGCAGATTAAACCGGTTAAAAACTAGAAAAGAACGTAGTATTCAAAAATTTGACATCACACCTACACTATCTGTGTACACTCACACAAATGGAAAGCTCAGCTTAAATCAAACGCACTATACAACACTGACTATATGTAATGTTGTCGACTTATATTATTTGTATATTTTAAACTTGAATACAATCTCATAACTTGTTCCAGAGCCCTCCTTCCGTCGTACCGCCCAGCCCCGGACTATGAGACGGCGATCCAGCAGAAGTACCAGCAGCAGCGCGCCGAGGCCCAGCTCCGCTACCAGAACCACTCACACTCTCAACTGTTGGGAGCCAGCGCTCAGCCGCTCCTGTACGGCTCGCACCCCGACATCCCTCGCGTGCACTACCCGGACGTGACGCGCCACACGGTGTCCGTGAAGCAGCCCGTCGCCGCCGACGACTACTCGTACGGGCTCAAGTTCGTGGGGAACTACCCCGTGGCCGTCAACCCCAACGTGCAGCCCGAGCACGGCCTCCACTACGTGAACGTGTACAAGCCGCCGCCGCCCTACCCGTCCAACGGGCTGGCCTCCAACTCGACCCCGGACCTGGCCGTGGCCAGTCAGGCTCTCAACTACCACCGGAGCTACATCGACGCGCACGTGACCGGCTCCAGCCCCGACCTCGTGTCCACCAGGAGCGCCCTCAACAGGCAGTACCTCGGATACGTGAGTCCGCACAGCGTGCTCAACTACGGCCGAGCGACCGTGCTGCCCTCCACGCACGGCACCTACAACAACCTCACCTCCGTCATGGAGCCCAACCGGATCATCGTGGACCCGCACCTGGTGTCCGACAACATACAGAAGGTGTACGACGACCGGGGGAACGTGATGTACTCCATGCCCACCAGGAGGATAGTGGTGGTGCCCGCCGTGCGGCACGGGGAGACACACGAACCGATATACGAGAACGTGCCGCTGCCCTGGACCGCGGACGGCGCGAGGGGGAGGGCGCACAGCCTCACCGCCGGAGACGGGACCGGCCTCAACGACAGGAACGGGAACTGCGGCCTCACCGCCGCGCGGAGCCTCGCCGACATGGACGACTCGCACTACGTCAACGCGCAGGTCATCAAGGGAGCGAGGGAGACCAGCGACAACACGGAACAGAAGCACGGCGCCGGTGACGTCACCGAGGACATGGACAGGATGTCGCTGAGGAACGAAGACAAGGACTACGACGAGACGCCCTACACCAGCCTGTGCACGCAGAGGGTCACCAACAACACTATCAGCAAGTCAGCAGACAACGTGACGTCCATCACGGTCACCGGAGAGGAGCAGGACCCGGCGCCGGGGAAGGAGGCCAGGGAGTCCTCGTACAGCAGCAGTGTGGAGCTGGACGGAAACAACACGAGCAAGGAGAAGAAGAGGAGGAGGTGGGGCGTATTCATGGGGAGGAGCAAGAACGGAGACGTGAAGAGCGCCACGCTCGGCCGGGACCGGGGGAAGGCGGGGCAGCCCAACAAGCATCGCTGGTCCACCGGCCTGCCCAAGTACCAGCCGCTACCACCCAGCATCACCAAGGAGACGCTGGTGAGTAGTACACGACATACCATTCAATAACAACTCATCCACCTGCAACAACGTTATAGTACTCAACTAACGTTCTTTAGAAACTTAATGTTAGGGTTAAAGTGTCGTCATAGTAGCTTCATAATAGAAACAACGCTCTTATAAAAAACTAGAAGACCCAGCGAACTTCGTATCGCTCTATTATCAAAAAATATCTGTTACGTTTTTGTAATTTATATTTTTGGAGTTTGGAGTTTGAAGTGCGACATAATGATTGACATATTAATTAGTTATCAAATCTAATGTAAAAAAAACGTTTGTATGGAAAATAGAAAAAGGCTGTTTTTAGGGTTTTCCCGGAAATGAATCAATTTTTTCAGCTTTTAAACCTTCCCTGAACCTCTACGAACATTTCAAGACTAAGATAAGATAATCCGTTCAGCCGTTCTTGAGTTTTAGTGAGACTAAAGAACACCAATTCATTTTTATATATACAGTGTAAACTCTATATAACGACACTCGATTTAACGACAAACTCTCTAAAGCGTCGAAATCAGATGACTTTGGTTGGTTTAGCTTGTGTACCATACAATGATACACTCCACATAGCGTCACCCCAACTCTCAATAACGACAACATTAAGTAATAAAAAGTACCTTTTAAGTTGCTAACATTAGTGAAAACTGCGCAGCTGTGTACCTACGTTCTTTTGTCGCTTTGTTATCCTAGCCCGCAATTATCTCGATTGTCGGAATCATGCATACCGAACTTTCTAAGAAATTAGTTCTTCACCAAGATGCCTCAATATCCCAAGATATGAATAAAATAAATAAAAATACAACAACATTACTGGTGCAGCAAAAGGCGTCAAACAAAAATAACAGACTATACGCAATAGCGTTCGAATAACATTATTTTTTATGTACATAAGTACTAATACTAGTCTGAAATAAACTTTGTCTTTTTCTAATTCTAATTTTTCTTCTTTCTATTTAACGGCAACTCTCTATAACGCACTAAAATGCACGGTCCCTTCAGTGTCGTTATATAGAGTTTACACTGTATATGTAGATAGATTTCTTACAAATATCGAATTGTCATCCATACGTCATTACATATCTGTCATTATACGTCAATAACATACTTGATACTACTAATAAATCAAAAATTAAATAAAAAAAACATTGTGCAGCGGACAAAATTGTGAATCTAAACCATTCCCAGATCTCCTTGTACACACACAAAAAATTTCATCAAAATCGATCCATCGTTTGAGAGAAGTTCAGTGACATACACACTCACAGAAGAATTATATATATAAAGATAATAACTCTCTGGACTGAGATACATGTTCATCAAAATCGTGTTGATTTACGAGGGAAGGAGTTCCTCAAAGAGTGTTGTTGTTATGAGCCGGCCTGTAACGTATATTCTGTTGTTCCAAGTGTCAACTGTTGGAGCGCCGGATGTCAGAGGAACAGCTGTCGTACTCGTTCGAGTCCATCCCGCGGGGTCGCGGCGGGGAGGGGGACTGTGGCCGCCCCTACGACGACAACCGGGTCCGGCTACACCCCACGCCCGCCAACCCGCAGGGGTACATCGACGCATCGCACATCACAGTGAGAACGCGACCCCTCTATATACATTACACACTCAATTTTCTTAATAAGAAGAATAACACTTGTTTTATATGTTCATAATCAATTTTTATTAAGGACTACACTTTTTACAAAGCACACCATTTTTCATTTATAAAAAAATAAACAGGCATATCAAAGACAAACATAGAATAACAGTACCATAGAGAACATACAGTATTGCCAATATAAATATACTATTTATTACCCACAAGTTTTTCAGAGCTCATTTAGTTAACAGCTGCAGTGTCCGTGTTCGTGTTACACCGGGTCGGTGCGATCGTATCATGTTGTATTCTAATGTGGTTAATGTGGGTTTGAAAAGAAACGTCTCTGTAGCTTTAAGTCACTTTTAATAATATTAGAAGATTTTAACATAACATAAAGAAAGCTTGGGCCAATGGGTGGTCCGCCATATTTGGATGTATACATGAGATGTTTTATAAAGGAGACTTTACACTACTATTAATTCTATAATATATGTATCATACACAGTATATTTATTACACTTCAGATGACGGTGGGAGGTTCCCAGCGGTTCTACGTGGTGGTGCAGGCGAACAGCGGCGAGCAGGCGGCCCTGCTGTGGGAGTGTGTGTGGCAGGTCGGGGCCAGGGTGCTGGCGCTGGCGGACGGACAGCAGCCGCGCTACCTGCCGCACGACCAGCGGACGATCACATACGGACAGGTAGCACGGACACACACACACACACACACACACACACACACACACACACACACACACACACACACACACACACACACACACACACACACACAGACGCAGAGATCGATTCAGTTGACAGAGAGGAACTGGTTAATAGTTGTAACAATTGTCAACATTATTTAGCTGGGAATTGTAATAGACAAACATATTTTTATATATTAACTATTATATAACATAAAATTAAAACCAAAATAGGATTACACAGGTAACTTAAACATATTAATAATTAGAAGACGGTAGCATAAAAGTAAAACTTATAGTATAAAAGTAATATAAAGGTAAAACTGTTTACGGCTGGGAATACAATAGGTGCGTGTTTGCATGATTGTGTGTGTGTGTGTGTGTGCGTGTGTGTTATTATGAATTTTTATCTTCTTTAATTATAGCTTTTTTAAAAGCTAGTTTAGACATGCTGAACAGATCAATTTTTGAGTATTTTGAATTATATGTGTGGACCATGCGATTAAGGATAGAGTTGTGTGCATAGTTAGTGTTTAGCTCAGGCGTGTGGAATAGTGCTGTATGTCGTGTGCGGCGATTAGAAACTCTTAAATACAAAGCGCTTAATAAATCGGTGCAATCTATATCTCTGGTAATTATTGCATGTAGCATATACATATCATAATGTCGTCGTCTCGTTTCCAATGTTTCAATATAATATTGTTTACATATATCAACATAATCGTTAAATTCTTTAAAGTCCTTAAAGCAAAGAAATTTTATGAACTATTTTGTATTGTTTCCAGTTTTTCTTTGTAAGTTATATGTATAAATGGGAGACCATATACTACAACCGTATTCTAAAATACATCTTACATACGTAAAATATAAAATTTTTATGCATTCAATACTATTTAAAGTTGGACATATTCATTTTATATAGCCTAATTGCTTATATGCCTTATCAGTACTGAGTTTTATATGCTCTGCCTATCAATAATTTAGAATCTAATTGAATTCCAATGTCACGCACTGATTTAACTTCTAGGATGGGCTTGTTATCAATATTATAGTTATATTCAATACTTTTGTGCTTCCTAGAAAATGTTATTTTTACTGTTTTTATAATGTTAATCGTTATTTTATTTTTTTCGTAGAAATGTGAAAGATTATCAAGGTGACATTGCAATTCAATGCAGTCGGATGTGCTTCTTATTACATTATAATTATTTTTATCATCTGTCAACATTATTTAGCTGGGAACTGTAATAGACAAACATATTTCTATAAACACAGCTTTAATTAACCTTCTCCATGTGAGAAGAGGCCATTGATCAGCAGTGGGCTCTGATAGGTTGATGACGAATTTTAAATGCTTATAGAAAATTTAACATGACAACATGTTCATGGAAGAACCTTCGACTGTGATATAACATGACCGATTCTGCTTAACAAACAGTTAGTATACAAGTATGGCAGTGTCATGTATATATCGGATTTATTACAAATTCGTTGTTTTTAAAGAGAGAGACGCCAGCCTCGCTGACGTTACAAATGTCACTTCTTCTAGTACGTTCCTTTATATTTTAAAATGAAACTTCAATTGTTCTTAATGTTCCTGTATTTCTCGAAGGTTCTTCATAATCACATACTTTAATGACACGCACTAACTGAACTCTGAATTCTGCCGTCGTGCGTTCAGACGTCATATATATATAACTAGATTCAAACATAGTTCTATTCTCCTTTTAAACAATCTTTGATTTCGTGTTACTTTTAACAATAATCATGAATACTAATGAGGTTTAATAAGAATTGATGACAGCCTCAAATTATTTTCATGTCGCATCCGTTATTAAAGCTAATAGCGCCGATATATATAATAATCGGAAGGTGAAGAGCCACCAGTAGTTCCCATAACCCCCTCCCCTATTATTATATGTATTAAGTGTTATCTGTCGTGTTGTAGTTCGAGGTGTGGTGCGGCGCGTGGTCGAGCACGTCGTGGGGCGGGTCCCGCCGGGTGAGCGTGCGGAGGGGCGCGGGCCCGCCGCGGACCCTGTGGCACGTGAGCTGTGGCTGGCCCGCTGACACCAGCGGCTTCCTGGGTATTAACTCACACTATACTACATACACTGGACACCATTACGGAATTTTTTTAATACATTGAAAATACTTACTTGATTTTTACAAAAATTAAATATGTATTTTATTTATTTATTTCAATAATACATTTGTAAAAACTTTACAATGCAATACAATAAAACGTTGACGTCCACACTAGGCTAGGCCTGTATCGTCGACATCGATTCATTTCAAGCAGACACGATCCAGTAAATTTTACTACTCTTAAAAAAAAATAGTAAATAACAATCACATAGAGAGTGGTACTGTACTAAAAGTTGTTAACATTTAAAAATATGAAATAAGAAATCTTTATGATATTATGATATTACAACGTTTTAAAAATTAATTATATAAGGAAATTCAATAAATAAAATGAGAAAGTTTGTGTGTGTGTGTGTAAATATGTATTCGGAATTACAAGCTTCAAGATATTTTTTATTTTACTCCGGTGGGAGCATTTCCACTGTTATACATATGTGTAAATAACGCATACACCAATGTATTCTACTGTCCTTGCAGACTTCATATCGGAGATCAACAGTCTCCGTGAGACGTGCTCGGCGGAGGCGGCGGCCGAGCGCTCCCTCACGCTGAACGCGCCGCTGGTGCTGGCGGGGCGGGCCGCCGGCGTCACGCTGGCCGCCGACCTGCTGCTGCACGTCATCGACACCAACCAGGTACTGACGGACACTAAACAACAGGAATATTGTATATATATATATGTATTTTATTTTTATAAACGATGTGGTAAATTGTTTTCATCATAGTAAAATTCAACTTTATGCAGATGACCTGAAAATTTATATGAATATAAATAGTTAACAGGATTCGGAACTGTTACAGTTAGACTTAGACAGATTTGAAAAGTGGTGTAGCGAAAATCATATGAATTTAAATCAAAGCAAATGTTACATCTTAACGTTCAGCCGAAAAACATCAAATATCAATTATGATTACAAGATAAATGAATCTGTTTTAAATAGAGTTAACCAAATAAAAGATTTAGGTATAACTGTTGACTCTAAAATGAGCTTTATTCCACATGTAAAAGAATTGGCCAGTAAAACATTTAAAATATTAGGATTCTTAAAAAGAAGTAGAAAAGCCTTTAAAAAGTCAGATTCTATAATAACATTATTTAATTCGTTTATAAGAAGTAAATTAGAATATTGTTCCGTAGCATGGAGTCCCTTTTATCAAGTTCATATAGACAGGATAGAGAGAATTCAAAAGAAATTGCTAAAATTTGTAAGATTCAAAGATAGAAACACGATTATGCTTAATAATTATGATGCTTTATTAAAACATTACAATATGATAACGCTTAAAAATCGTAGAGATATGCTGGACTTATGCTTTTTACATAAAATAATATCAGGTAACATTGATTGTCCTCAATTACTAAAAGAATTTAATATAGTAGTACCGAGACCTAACGGGAGGCATACAAATACACCAACTTTCAAATGTCGGTTTGCAAGAACAAATTTAGCAATAAAGGCACCTTTAAATAGGGCTTTTAGAACTTATAATAATATTTCTAAAAAAGGTGGGTATTGATATATATAATGATAAACTAAAATCTTATAAAACAAAAATAAAAAAATAACTTTAAACTTTTAATGTTAAATATACTTATTGTAAATAATATCTGCAGAATAGTCCATATACCTCTTACAAAAGAGTTCTACTTTATTATATACATATATATTTGTGAATGCATGCTGAGTTAGCCTTTAACTGTAGTGTAATTTGTAAGATCATTGTACATTATGTTCCCAGGAGCTGGACATCCCCCGCACGGTGTCGTTGCTGCACCAGCAGCGCGCCGGCCTGCTGCCCAGCCTGCAGCACTACCGCTTCCTGCACCTGCTGCTGCTCCACTACCTGCAGCAGTCGCGCCTCATATGACGACTCCTCTTTATAGTCATTCTTATAAAAACGTTATATTGACGGAGTCGATAAACGAAGTTATTATTCCCTCGGCAATATTGCGAGGAATGAAGCTCGCTCGAATGTAACTCCCGCGGGGGTCGTTGACCCGTCGTGATGTTTGTATATTCTGTATTTATATATCGTTGTTGTACATTAATACTGTCGAAGTGTTCCACACGCGTCGAGTCTCTGTGAGAGGCCGGGCCCTAGGTCATGTTAAGCCGTAGGTTAAGAGACACTGTGCCTTACGTCGAGATTATTCGATCTGAACCTGTGTGCCTTATCGTAGATTTTTTTATTTTTATACTTGTGAGAGCCGAGTGAAGTGTGCCTTTCAGTATTCGGATGTATGGAACGGAAGTTTTGTATAGCTTTGTAAAGTCCGTTCCGTGGGTGCGGCGATGTGTTCATACTCTTAATGTACTCTTATCTAGTCCAACGACAGCTTCATATTGTAAGTTAACATGAATTCGAGCGGCAGGTACTAGGTGGTACCGCGACCGACCCGACAACCGTGTTCGTTATGTATTATATCGATTGATAAAAATTATGAAAAAAGTACAGTATTCAATATAATTAAAATAAAATATATAATATTGAAATGAATATTAATAATTTACAAATGCAATGAATCTAAACATGAAATTGAACCTTAAATTAGAGGAAAGTCACCAGGTATGGAATACCATTTTGTTTTTGTCATATAAAAAAAACCTTCTTATAAATTAAATCAGTTTAATGTTTTTACTAATCAGTCATACATTTATATGTAGTAATTAACAGCCTTTAATCAAATATATTAGTTATCAAATTAAAATCTAGCACAAAAACCAAAATCACAAATGAGTAACCAAATATGGAACAGGTATAGTCCATTAGACTTAAGCTGAGCTTTGCATTTGTGTGAGTGTACACGGATAGTGTAGGTGAGATGTAAAATTTTTGAATGTCACATTCTTTTCTAGTTTTGAACCGGTTTATTCTGCTTTTACTTCGCCCCGCACCTTCCGCACTTCACCCTTTGTACTGGTAGCAACTTCAAATGTTGAAAACGCAATGTCAAGTGAAGAAAAATTTGTATTGTTTTTTCAAAATTTTTATTACTTAATTTTCCATAATATTTCCATTTAGCCTTTTACATGTTTTGCTTATTTTATTTTAAATATAGAATAACTCTAGCACTTATGTATCTATTTAGATATAATAAAATTGACTTCTAAAAGTTTTTTGTCTAACTCTACTTTTACTTTCATTCACACAAATGCAAAGCTCAGCTTAAGTCTAACGGAATATACCCATATATGGAATATAAGCATAAATCAACATAACAATAACAAAAATGGACATTAATATCTTTGAGATCAATTGAATGAATATAACATATTGTGATAATTGAGAGAAGCTACATAATTACTTGCAAAAGTCACAGATCCAAGTATCAAACTCTGGACCAGCACAATCATAATGTGCCCAGAGCCCACACATCAAGCATTTAATCCAGCTTTCTCCATTCTTTGTCTTGACTAGTTTTTTTTTTCTTGTCTCTTCATATTTTTCGGTTTAAAGACATTTTTTTCTTATAAAGAACACAAAAGTTCACTTATAATAAGAAATTACAATAATTTCCATGACTGTACATTTAAAAGTCTGCCTTATGAATTATATACAGTGAAATAAAATGTTGCGGATTATATTACATAAACATGTTTAGGTAGGGATTACATTAACTTATAAATTATTTTGCACATATTCCATTACACGTTTATTGAATATAGGAAAACTTGCTATTAATGATTAAGTCTGATAATTTATTAATTTGATAATATATTATAATCCATGTTTCGGTAATCAGTATTATATGTATAGTGTTTTATTGAGAGTAATATGCATTTTACTTCATCAAATTTATCAATTTTTACAAGACTTCTTATATTTGTATATAAAATTTTTAATTATGATTTAGTTTTATGAATGTCCTCGCAACAATTCAGTTTCTGATAACTAATATTAATTATACTTTACAATTTTTGGAACATCATTTATGTATTTTATAATAAGGTCTTTTTCTCCATTTTTTTTGTCGGGATACCAGTTCATCCTGTAGTTTTTTCATGTGTTGTTGTTGACACTGAGTTTGATCGGCGTAAATTCGGATTTTGTCCAACTTATGTTTGCGTTTATTTTTAAGTATATATTTTGCAGTGTCCTTTTTCTCGAAGCACACTTTTAGAGAGAGAAGATAGATATCTTTATTAGGGTTGTATTTTCCTAGCCTAAAGACTGTAGTAGGGTTTGGGCAGTCCTCATGAATAGTTTTAATTAATTTGGGTATAAAGAACTTTATTTCTCATAAGAATGTTACATTCACTTAAAATGAGATACAAGGAATATTTGCAAGATAACAATTTTAACAAACGGGCCGTTGGACATGACAGACTTGCTACATTTACTACTACAGCGAGGATATTAAATATTTTTTTTAAATTTACCTTAAACATCCCTATACTATCACACAGTTTTATTTCGTCTGGTAGTTTATTGAACAGTTGTACTCCCTCAAACAGAATTGTTTTTTTACCATAATTAGTTCTCACGTGATCAATTTGAAGTCTGTATTTATTCCTTTAAGTTCGAAATATGCGGTCTCTCACAAATCACTATCTCCGATTGAATGGAACCTGATTTAATTTGATTGATTAAAATGCATGTATAGTATGTGTATAATTGTGATATATTAATTATTTTTGTTTCATTATAAAGTTGTGCCGTTGGAGTAAGAAAGTGATATTTATATAGAATTTTAATAATTTTATTTTGTATTCTTTGTAAACTATTTAGATTTGAAGTAGTAGCTGATCCCCAAACTTTGTATAAAATATTTCGGATTCTTTTTGGTACACAAGTAGACATTCTAGTGATTGCCCCTAATAGTGATTTCATAGCTTCGTTCTTGTCATAATCACGTCTGATTATTCTGCAAGGACTTTTTGTTTCTGAAATCCCTACTAGTATGACATTCTTTCCTCGTTGAAAGCGTTCTTGTAGCTCTGAAATGGTTTCCTAACATGAAAGGGGATATTCTTTAGGATCATCAGTTTTAGAGTTATTTTTTAAAAAACAAATATCATTTTCAAGAACATGTATTTTTTGTTGTATAGTGTCAGTTAGTGACTTCATTTCCTTTAAGTCGACTTTCGTTTGGTTTTGCTCCAATAAAAAAGATTCTAAAGCAGCATTATTAGACTTTAATTCATCTTTTATTTCATTATGTAAAGATAAGGAACATTCGTGGTGCGTTTTTGTGAAATCATGAAAAAAAAGACATCATCTCCTTCCGAAATTCGTTAATCAATGAGGCACAATCACATTCGTATTTCCTTTTTCTAAGCGTATTTTTATTTTCTAAATCATTTTTGTAGGGAGAAGATGTTATGACTGCTGCTACAGCAGCTTTTCTTCCTCTGCTAGATACTTTTCTTCGTTTCTCTGTCACTGCACTTAAGGCTTGCGGAGACACCAGACCCAAACTGTTGCGATGAAGCCCAGAAGTCGAAAGTGCAGGTTCAGGTTGTAAATTATCAGCTGTTTGTGGTGCAGGTATTTCTACCAGAACTTGACCAGTTTTAGATCTTGACTCTAGCGGAGGGATATTGGTTGTACAACAGTCTATTACAGCTTTTTGTTGCGCACCAATGAAGTCCATATCACTGAAGACATTTTTATTTAAAGGCCACAATCCAGTGACTTTGAACCCGTTGGCTGCAATTTCTCCTGTTTGTACTTTCAAATAGGATTTGCCAAACAGCTCCACAATATATCATATGGACTTAGAGGTCTGTCGTTGTCTCTAATCCACATGCGTATTTCCTCACTATAGTATGTTTTTAAAGGCCCCATGAAAGTTTTATCTAACGGCTGCAATTTATGAGTCGTATGAGAAGGTAACGAAACTATGTCCACGTTATTTTCCCTAGCAATATCTATTTTATCGATATTGTGAGTATGCCTATAGTGTCCATCTAGTATCAGTAAAACCCTCGATTCAGGAGTCGGGTTGGTGTGTTGAATAAAGTGCTTGAACCAGTCTGTAATCTTTACATTAGTTGCACATCCATCAGGGTGGATAGTAATTTGTTCATTTCTATCCACCCTGATGGATGTGCAACTCCGACTGATCCTGGTGGACAGCCTCTCATTAAGAAAGAAAAGAAAGAAAGAAAGAAAGTTTTTATTTGAGACACGTATATAGTGAGGTATAAAAATAAAAAAAAAAACAAAATAGAAAAATTACAAATTAAAAAACAAAAAATAAACATAAGAATAAAGAAAAAAAAAATAAAACTTATGACTTACTTAAAACTTATGATCATTAGCTGAGCACTCATATTTTTTCTGGGAAAAATAATGAACGGTGGCACAAAATAACCAGTAGCATTCATGCAAACAACTATTGTCACCAGAGATCCTCTTTCTGCTGAAGTCAGTGCAGCTACCTGGCGTCTACCTTTGTGGCCGATGATTTGTGGTATCTTACTTTGTACTATTGTGAGGCCTGATTCGTCCACGTTGTAAATACGATATGGTGGATAGTTATTGTCAATGTTAAGCTCTTCAAGGAGGTTGAAAAGGGCTTCCACTTTTTCTTTATCAAATCCAAATGCTCTGGCAAATTATGTACCAGTTGGTCTTCTTATCGAAAGTTTATCTTTATGACAATTTAAAAATAACTTTAACCACTTTTTCCAGCCATTCCTGATTCACCGAAGGGACTCTGCAAATTGTTTCGCTTTGCTAGCATGAACGCCATACGGCGAAGATCAGTTCTTGTTAAACCGTGAAACTTGTTCTCCATTATTAGTATGTATTCTACTAGCTGACGTTCAAGTTCGGTGCCCAAGATAGTTTTTCGTCCTAATGTAGTGGCTGCTGCCACTTCTGGAAACTGTTAATCTTTTAGACAGAGACGAAATAAAGTTGTCCTAGGCACTTGTAAATGCTGTGCCGCTTTCAAATGCCCCATTTTCTTTTCCCGGAAAATTTTATTGCTTGTGCCATTTTTTTTCTTTTGGTTGATTGTGAACCGGACATCCTAAAAACAAATATTACATATATTTTTTTAAAGACATACTTAAAAGCAAGTATCTATCATGCTAAAAAGTCCCAAATTAATTCGGAAAAAAAAGTATCTATCATATGAAATAATAAGACCTAATTATAGAATATTCCATAATTAGACACCGACTACTGTCCATATTTGGATTTTTATACTTGTTTAAACTCTTCTAAATATTTTTCCAAGTCACAATATTTTAATGAAAAAAGATCACAAAATGGTGAAATAAACATAATACCGATATACTAAATAGTATAACACTTATGTATACAAACATAACAGCTAGTAATTGACAACTGACTCGATAGTTAGTAGACCGAATGAAACAGAAGATGGTCGATTGTTGCGTTTCATACTTATAGTCTTAGAGAAATTAAGGTATTCCATATTAGGATACTATTTCATATTTGGTGACTTTCCTCTATTATATCGATTGATAAAAATTATGAAAAAAGTACAGTATTCACTATAAATTAAATAAAATATATAATATTGAAATGAAAATTAATAATTTACAAATGCAATGAATCCTAAACATGAAATTGAACCTTAAATTACTTATTATATATTATATCCAATCAGAGAACCATAGTCTTGTGTCATATTTGTTTTGTGTCCAATGTTTATGATATGTATTATTATTATAATAACGATGTGTTCTTGTGAATCAAATAAATTAAAATATCAAAGTTAACAAGTCTTTAATTTATGACGACGTCACGTGAACCCGACGTGCTGGAGCCGATACCTGCGTGTGACATTGAATCCTCGTTTGAAATAAAACAAAAAATATGTCTATCAATTATATTTCCGTAAAAAATTATATTATATCCTATTGCTTATATTATAGGCGTCCGTCACGGCGGCGGATAGTAGGGTCGGGGCGGCAGTGGAGCCCGAGGCGGCGGCGGGCGCTTCCCTAGAGGAGGGAAGAAGTTGGGTGGGGGCACGTTGACGGGCGGGAAGCGAGCCCCCGGTGGAGCGGGCGGAGGCTCCGCGTACACCAGCGGCGGCGGAGGGTGCGCGGGCAGCACGGGCGGCGGCGCGGTGTACACGGCCGGGTACGGCGGCAGGCCCGGGTAGCCGGGGTACGTGAACCTCATGTCCATCTTGGCCAGCTCGGGCTTCAGCTCCGCGCCGTTCTTGAGAGGAGTCACCGCGGGCTTAGCGGGGACGATGACAGGCGATGCTGAAGTGGGCGGTGTAACGGACGACTTGTCGTTTTTTGGAAGTTTAGTTGAAGATGCGACGGGAGGAGAGTCACTCCCGGACGGCTGAGTCTGTGGCGAGTACAGGTCCAGCACCTGCAGAATGAAATGATGAAGCTTGTTGAGATCGTAATATATATTGAAATAAAGTACATTTTGTAATAAGTTTCTTTGCAATTACAACACTCTAAAGATATTTATCAAGATGGCCAAGAACAACATTATTAATAAACTTGTTATTACTTGGTGACAAATATCCTCGAGCAGCTCCATAGTGATATCTTCCACAAACATGTCCCACCAGGCTGTATGTTTAGCTGATCGTCCGTTCCAGTCGGCCACCTCAAATTTGCTCAACTTCCCCGCCAGGAACAACAGAGCCACAGCGATTACCTCCGGCTCCCACTGGAGGCACAGGGTTGTACATAGACTGAAATAGACAATACTGATTAAATAACTAATGATATTTATACAAGGCAGTTCCAAATGTGATACAGTGAATTAAACATCCCACTTACTTAAATGTCTTATGGGGATGGAAGTGTCATATTAAATAACTGAGATTAAAAAATTACTAATTCCTTTTAATCTGTAACTACACTTCTATAAGTACAGTTATTGTATTCCAGTTTAGTGACATTAAACATATGACTTTGGATAAAAACATGGAACTCACTAATACAATACTTTCAATACAAATAAAAAAAATAAAACCTTCCTAAGCCTGTGTATCATACTGAAATATTGTTGACATAATATACAAATATACAGAATCCAAAATTAAATTTGTTACAACTCAACTTAGTTTATAAACAAACATTTATAACATGTTAAGTAAAAAGTATGAATAAATATAATACTGACCTATCGTTAACGAAAGTCCAGGCCATTTGTACCATTTTCGGTAACTTCGCTTTATCCCCTTTAAGGCACTTTGCATATTTGAGAAGGTACCCATAAGGATGCTCCACCTGCAGATCGAACTTGATCGTTTGCAGCAATATTCTCTCTAATGTCATAACTTCCTCCTTAGGGTCCTCTCCGAAAGAACTAAACTTTTCTTCTGTCAACAACGATTTTGCTACTTTAATAATATCTTTACATTTCTTTGGCGTCTCCTCCACTTTGCCAGCCAGAAACAGACAGCAACAAGCGGTTATGTATCTCGGGAATGTCCTGAACGATTGAAACATGTAGAAGCGATGGAAATAAACAACACCAGTCGCAACAGTGTTATAACCTAAGTCCATTTTCGATCCAGTATCGATGATGAACCTCGCGCCCTCTTTCCGATAACGGTTTTCTGTTTCAGTTGGGATCCCATCACGAAATGATGGTGTGTTTTGCAAATCTTTTTTATCATAATACCAATAAGGCATAATTAAAACTTAATTTATAATAAATTATTCAAACTATGTCACTCACTACCACCGCCATTTATTTACTACTGACAGTGTCATCGTGTTTTGACAACTAGACTCTAGAGTCTTAAATTGAAGATTGATACGATAGCATATTAGTGTAGATAAAATAGGAGGAATATAGATAAAATAAAGAAAATATGTTTACTACTTCATTATAAATAAGTAAACAGATTTGATTTTTATAATAACAACCACCGTATAATTGTCAACTGTTTCTTTTATGTGATTTAATATCATAAAATACTTTATTTGGAAGGTTTTAGTTCGAGTTTTCAAATAATTTATAATTATTCCAAATAAGTAATGTATCATCTTTGCCAAGTATTAATATTTCCTAAGCTTTTCAATCGTACACGCATAAAAAGCTGAACTTGAGCTTTAATAGTTAGTACCCCCGTAAAAGTATCAAACACAGAATGTAAAGTCAAGAAAAAATACATGTTTACCATAAAAACATTTTGTAACTATTTACGAGTATTATTTTTGGTCATTTTAATGAGAAATAAACATGTGTTAACTATTAAAGATTTGATTTTATACGACTTATCTTAATTATTTTTTATTTTACACACACTAATGTTATCTTATCAGTTAAATGAATATGAAATAAGATTGTTTCAGCCACTACTTTTTGCATTTAAAACAATGGGGAGCAGTCAAAACTATGAAAAGTTTTGCTTAAAAGCATTAGAGAGCGTCTTTATATCGTCCATTGACAACATGACTTCATATTTTTATATATTTAATAATATTTATGAACTACGACCTCCACATGTGTAGCTAAGACCGCGCTCCTTATCAAACTTGCTAATGTGATTGAATAAATACGCGATAATTACAGTCGTTACACGACTCACAATTCAGTCAGTCTTACGATGGCGCTCAAATGTGGTGTTAGTTTTATGCGGCTCGCTCAATTACACAAGACAATCAGAGTACGTATGTAGGGATAATTAAATACAGGTCTATTGGAAGCCTATTCTATTTCATTATTTGTTAATACAAGCTCGATTAAAACATACCCTTTATAACAAAAGTAAGTAGATTTAATGTCAAAGAACAAACGCACGACTGTCATGAGTTTTCTGTTTTTTTTATGTTAATTTTAAAGTAACGTCACTCGCTTATCTACATTAAACAAAATGATCTTAAATGAATATTTTTATATTTATTTTTGAATGTTCCAGTACATATCTTCATATAACAAAAGCCCTTATTATTTAATATGTTAATTTTAGTTAAGATAAAAGTGTGAAACAAATGTCTTGGATTGCAAAATGTACCTACCATAACAGATAGCAAAAACAAATGTAGAAAACAACATTTCAAAACAATATTATTAAGTTGAGATGAGTCTTAGACAAAATGTAGATTAATTAATATTGAGTTTTCTTTTAACATAGTACTCAAAATACACTAATATTTACTTCTTAAGAACGTAAATAAAATGTGTCAATTCTCATTTCCAGTGTCTTTCAACACGCACCAGACCAGAAACAATTAACAATGGTGGAAGTCACGCAGCTTTTCCCGGAGTGAAGGCTCCATACACTACGGAAATAAAGTTCCTCAATGAACATAGTTATGAACCTATCCCCATATACAGAGTCCTCGATAACAACGGAGAAGTTATCGACAGTAGGGAGGAGCCAGATATCGATAACGACACACTTCTGAATATGTACAGGACTATGATACAGTTGAACCAAATGGATAAAATACTATACGAATCCCAGAGGTACAGAGAAACATTTTGGTTTTTTATATTGAGCTGAAAATCAGCAGAGGGATAAAACCCTCATAGCCTGAGCTGTCTCCTTTTGTCTGCATACAAGTTTCATATCAATTATATTTATTTTCTTTATTTTTGTAATGTTGTTTTATATCCTTTTTTTGTATATTTTGTTTTTGTGTGTATGTCAATAAATGTCTTTTCTTTCTTTCTTAATACGAAAAATGACCAAAAACTTTTTAAATACATATACTTAGTTGCTTCAAGGAGACGTTTCGAAGCTTAAATTTTGCCGGAATTATAACATGCAGAATACTTGTGATAGAGTCAATAGTTGATATTAATAATTCCAGACAAGGTCGTATATCGTTCTATATGACGAACTACGGCGAGGAAGGTATCCACGTGGGCAGTGCGGCGGCGCTGTCACCCTCGGACCTGGTGTTCGCTCAGTACCGGGAGGCGGGCGTGCTGCTGTACCGGGGGCTGACGGTCACGGAGCTCGTGAACCAGTGCTACGGGAACCACGAGGACCCCGCCAAGGGGCGACAGATGCCCGTCCACTACGGAAGCAAACAGAGGAACATCGTCACCATATCCAGTCCCTTGGGTGAGATGGGAACTAACAAACTCAACTTTATTCCTTCTTAAAATTCATTTGAAAGAAAAGAAAGAAAGAAAGAACATTTTTATTTTTGGGACCGTACAAAAATGATGAAATAACAGTTATTTCAAAAAATAAGAAATAAAACAACAAAAAAAAGAAAAAGCAAACTAAAAAAAACTTATAACTATTAAAAAAATTAAAAGAAAGATAAAAATAACACTACTATGTATTACAATATACATATGTACATGACGTGTCCCAAATAGGTATACCATTCAGCAATTAATAGGCGTGGACACCTAATGCTGGTTTTCAATGGTACCCTCTTTGATAACTACTGACGGGCGGTGATCAAGTTAAAATACAAATACAAATTAATAAATAAGAACAATATACATTAAATATATAATTTATTAATAGTAATATCATCTATATTTCGTACAAGTCAAAACTAGTTACTGGGAATGTATTTCATTTCTTAATATATTTTAGTTGCGAATGTTACTCTCCCGATAAACACATTTATTTTTTATTGACATCTTACTAGTCATATCGTCACAAATCATAAAATGCGGATATATACAGGGTGACTGGTGAATTACTATCGATATTTGAGGACGTGATATTTGACGATCATATATGACAAAATAAAAATTAATATAACATAAATATTAATAAACTTCTAAGTAAAGTTAACCAAAAGTTATGTAATTAATTACGCATCGTATGAACACCCTACAGATTACGTATACACTCACACAGACGCGGCGGCGGCGTAGTGTTGTATCAGCACGCCGCCGCACGCGTCCACACTTGCAACACTTGGAACGTGTCAACACTTTATTTATTTATACGGAAATTTTGTCAAAAATTAAGTACCTCTTTTTTTTACATAATTCGAATGAGAATCATGTGCCGAGTATGCTCCTTAAATATTGATAGTAATTCACCAGTCACCCTGTATATACCTATACTTCAGATGAAGATTCGTACGAAACAGTTATCTTTCAGTTCAGTCATTACATCATACTTGAAACCATTCTGGATACTTAGGATGTTTTAATAGTTTTGATTGAGTCGTGATGATTATCGTCATCATTTATACACATATCATCATATTCTTAATCTCCATTACCTCAACTCCTCCTCTTCAGCTACTCAGATGCCCCAGGCCGTGGGCGCGGCGTACGCGTTCCGTCGCGCGGGCTCCGGTCGTGTGGTGACGTGTTTCTTCGGCGAGGGAGCCGCCTCCGAGGGTGACGCTCACGCCGCCTTCAACTTCGCCGCTACACTCAACTGTCCTATCATTCTGATGTGGTGAGTCGCTCTAGTACACTCCGCCTCGTGACTCGTGTCGTGTGTAACTCATCTCCGCACCAGTGACGTGTAAAAAAAAATTCATATCACAAGGATTGAAAATATTCAAAAGCGTTTCTTGCGGCAATTATCATTTAGATTTAAACTAAACCTTAAAATTTATAATGAGAGGTTAAACTACTTTAGCGTTTGCAAGCTTGAAAATAGAAGAAAAATCATATCATTGATGTTTCTTTACAAACTTTTGAACAACGAAATTGAATGTCCAGATCTTTTGAAAAGAATTTTATTTCGAATCCCATCAAGAGTTCCTCGTTATCCTTCAAAACAATTTCAAGTTGCAACGTACAGGACTCATTTAGGTAAAAACTCACCAATACCCAGAATGGCGACAGTATATAATAACATTTCTAAAGAAATAAATGATTTAGACATATGCCACGACAATTTGGTACAATTAAGGAAAAAATTTTTGGCCTTTTTAAAATAATACACATAATGCTTTTTTTTCTTTTTTAAATAACTATAATAAAATTATATATATATATATATATATATATATATATATATATATATATATATATATATATATATATATATATCTGTGACATTTTAAAACTTTGAATTATATTGAAATGTTAAATTGTATTTTTGTTATTATTGTATTGAAATAATAAATTGTAATAATGTTATTAGTTATGTCAATTTTAGTGATTATTATATAATGTTTTATTAATTTATTATTATTGTTTTTTTAATTTAAATTTTGATTTACTACAATTATTATATGTATTTTGCATGATGTGATAGCCTATAATTAAAAGGACATTTAACTTATTATTGATAGTTTGATAATGTAATGAATGTTTTCTTTTGTTGGCTATCCAAATAAAATAAATAAAAATAAACTGTTTCTTTACCTGAAGCCGTAACAACGGGTACGCGATCTCGACGCCGACCAGCGAGCAGTACCGCGGGGACGGCGTGGCGGCGCGAGGACCCGCGGCCGGCCTGCACACCGTCCGTGTGGACGGGACGGACGCCCTCGCCGTCTACAACGCGGTGAAGAAGGCGCGCCAGCTGGCGGTCTGCAACACGCCCGTCCTGCTCGAGGCCATGTCCTACAGGTCACATGTCACACTGGGTGTCCGTCTTCTGCGTGTTCACCAAACGATATTAAACCTTATTGTTGTTGATGCAGGGTCGGACATCACTCGACATCCGACGACAGCAGCGCGTACAGGTCCACCGACGAAATACAGAAGTGGACGCAAGAGGAGAGTCCCGCTAGAAAAATGAGATTATATCTTGAAAGAAAAGGTTAAAAGATCACACGCAGTAAATAATAACACTTACTAGTAAATAATAACATTTGATATCAATATATTACGTACTTTCTCTAAATATAGAACTTAAATCACAAATATATAATCCCTTCCTACAATATTTTGAATTGTGTATGGGTTCACCCATACATTAACATAATTTTATTGTACGTACACATTAATAAGCATATATAAATGTAAGCATTGTCATAATTTAGTCAGTATCAATAAAGCGTTCAAATAAACAGGTCGTCCTCATTACCTAAACGCGATACTCACAAACTTGCTGGTCTCCATAAACTATCATATCTAAAGGGTGTGTGGTATCAAACCCATACATCGTTTTGGTCCTTCGAGCCGGATTCATCGTTTTGGTCCTTCGAGCCGGATAGCATAGCACTTCTACATCGTTTTGGTCCTTCGAGCCGGATCGCATAGCACTCCATACATCGTTTTGGTCCTTCGAGCCGGATCGCATAGCACTCCATACATCGTTTTGTGGTCACATAAAAGTGGAATAGGTCAAATAATGCAAGCATAATGATAGACACTTCAAGCTTGTAAAGTTTTAATTATTATCAATATTGTATCATTTTATCTTTATTTTATATAAGTTTTTTGGTTTTCTTAAATATTACTTATATCTTATTTTATACCATAATTTGTATACCTTCATAGCATTTATAGTTTTTCTTTGTATTTCTTCCTGTCGGGAGTATGTATGGGTTCACCCATACATTAACATAATTTTATTGTACGTACACATTAATAAGCATATATAAATGTAAGCATTGTCATAATTTAGTCAGTATCAATAAAGCGTTCAAATAAACAGGTCGTCCTCATTACCTAAACGCGATACTCACAAACTTGCTGGTCTCCATAAACTATCATATCTAAAGGGTGTGTGGTATCAAACCCATACAAATTGTGAAATATTATAAAAGTTTCTTTTTATTATCGACGTATTTTTAGTATCCACACTAACCTGTTCGTGCCCTTCTCGGTGTCAGTTAACTTCAGTCTAATATGTTCTCAATATATAAAGTCTTTATTCAAACTTGTTCCTGTCACCAGGTCTGTGGAGTGAGAAGCAGGAGGCGGAGCAGGTGCGTGAGGGTCGGGAGGTCGTCATACGAGCCATGCAACGAGCTGAGAAAGAGAAGAAACCCAACTGGAGGGAGATGCTGCACGACGTCTACTATGACATGCCGCCCATACTACTGTAAGACACACACTTACCGTTTAGCTCTTTGATATCATTATGGCTTGATATCCTCGTGGAATTCATCAAAAATTATTACATCCACGAAGTTTTGTGACGTTTTACTTAAAATAACAAAAATAATAATTGTCCCCAGAAAACAAATGAAACAAATGGAGAGTCACCTCGAGAAATACAAGGAACACTACCCGCTGGAGCAATACCAGGACGAAGAGAATACTGCTTAACATTAATTAATTGTTAGAAATAAAAAACCTTTCTAGTATTTTTTTCTTTTTTAAATATTACATTGAAAAGTTTCGTGTGAAACCTTTAAACCTGTCCATACCCCTACAAAATATATTTATATTCTATAATACATAACTAGAAGAAACTAATTTAATCTATCTATACTAATATTATAAAGCTGAAGAGTTTGTTTGTTTGAAAGCGCTAATCTCCGAAATTACTGATTCGAATTGAATAATTCTTTTTGTGTTAGATAGTCTAGTTATCGAGGAAGGCTGTAGGCTATATAACATCACGCTACGACCAATAGGAGCAAAGATATAGTGGTAAATGTGTAAAAAACGGGAGAAATTATTTCATCTTTGAAGCCTTCCGTTGCGTGCGCTGTGAAAACGGTTCAGGATACACAAAACATACATATGTATTAAAGAATAATAGCTCTTTTAATGATCTAAAAAACAGTCCGCGACAGTATATGTCTATCTTTTAAGATTAACTCACAAAAACCGTTGTTTTGGTACCTAATTTGGTCGAAATAATTTGTTTAAGTTGTATCAACATAATAATATTAATCTTTATTCAAATAAACAAATAAATATGTTGTTGGTTAAGAGTACTTCATTGTGAATAAAATTGTCTTTGACATAACTTAATTTCAACAAAAAACTTTAAAGATTATAATGATAAATAACTCCGAAACAAAACCAACTCGCTCTCTGCGCTGGCCGGCGCGGCATAAGAGAGGCGGTGCTTATGGGCAAGCCGGTTGAATGCAGCGTTAATTTGTTTATGCGATATAATTATCATCGTAATATTACTTTTTAAACACAGTTTCATTTTATAGTTGTTTTCTATATAGTAGGTACTTTATTTGTTTTAGGATAGTATTTAGTAACACAATAATACCAGTTTTTTGTTTTCATGTAGATTATTAATTTATAAGTATGTGTTTTCTATTAGTATAGTATTGTTTGTTTTAAAAATACTATTCAGTTTAATTTTTTTTTTGTGGTATATAATACCTGTAGGTACCTAAATAGGTGTCGCCTACTTAATTATTCTTATTAGATTAGGGTTTAGTTTAAAGTATTTAGTTTCTAATTTTTTTTTTGCTTTAGATAAAACCTGTAAATAGGTGTGGTCTACATATTTATTCTCATAAGATTAGAGTTAAGTATAAAGTTATTTTACTTTATTTTCATTTTCCGGTTGTTCTTTTGACATAATCGTTAAAAATAAAAGTAATTAGGTTCCTAATTATTAATCTTCTTAATCTTACGTTTCTTTTTTTTGTTACGAGATACGCTTTAGCTAAGTTTTCATTTTCTACGTTTTTTCTTCATCACTATAATGCCGAGAAAAAGAACTCTGCTTTCAGACTGCTACTGCAAAGCGGCTGCGAGAAACAAAAAAGTACTACAGAAAAAGCTCAAGCAAAATGTTTGGATGTTGCAGTATATACAATTAGTGTGTAAAGGAAGATTTTTAATTCCCCTAGATTATTTTTGCCAGTCTTTTGTGCAATTCAAATAACTTACGGAGTTATAAGATTACGGAGAGAAGAACATCTCTGAAACCTTCTGATAAGTATGGTTTAAATTTTCTAACAAACAAGACATCTGTCTTGTCTGACCCTTTTATAATATTTAATAAGTTACATTCTCTATTTAGTTACGAACTTTTTTTATCCCAGAGACCATAAATACTTTTTTCCAGTTGATGTTCTCTCTACTTAGTTAAAGAAGTGTGCCCTTGAGACAATTCGTTTTTTAACGCAACTGACATCATTATTTTCAGTACAATCAAGTTTGCTTAAAAATAAGGCGGCCAACCGTCCCGCATTCTGCGGGACCGTCCCGCAATTCTAGACGAAATCCCGCTTTGAAATTATTAGTAAAATAGTCCCGCAAAACGTTGTATGCGTCCCGCATATCCCGCATCCCTTTTCTACCAGACTTCTACACAACACCCATACCACGGGCAACAGTGCAGGAACACAGATTACCTAAAATAGGGACAAGCGTGTCGCGCCCGCGCTAATTTCGTTTTCTTCCTTTCTTCTGAACTCATGACGCGTAAGAGAGTACTTAAATTTAATATAGGCAGTTGCGAAGATTTTTATGACATTCCCAATCCCTAACACTCCCCCCCCCCCCCCCCCGCCATTCACGAAAGGTTAAGTCCCGCATTCAGTTTTCGGAAAGTTGGCCGCCTTACTTAAAAGGTACCTTATGTTTACCCTCTCCCCGAAAACTTATCCACATAATACCTCCAACTAAGGCTGAGAACGATAATTATAGTGACAAAAATATGATTTTCATGACATCTAAAGAAATTTTCTTTATTTAAGTAAATCCATTGGCCTCCTAGGGGTCGTTTTTCAATTTCTAACTCATCTTGAGAATAAAGTGATTTATTATTCAGATTCAGTTTTTCCAACAAATCGTTGGAGTAACTGAGTTAAATAAAAGTTTTGAACTGAAAGTTTTGGCGACATAATAAGTAGTATTGCTCTTATCTCCGATACGGTGAAGCACAGTACTAACGTCTACAAATTAACTCCTTATAAATAAAACTAATATATTTTAGGATTAGTATATGTACTAATACTATAGTAGCTCCCATCCCATACCGACGAATAATCTAAAATGTTTAAGCCACCGAAGGAAGCAGGATTTCATAACATAATCCATAACTCTTGTAAGCAGGAATATTTCTGGACATTGTTGATCATGATGATTGATGAATCATTTCGGGTTTTCTTCTCACGATTAGTCGAAAGAAAGCATCTCCTTCACAACTCTTGGTGTGATTTTCGACAACGACTAGGCCATGGTCATATTTTCCGTAGATAAATGAAGTTTGGTATACCATTCTTTTTAAAAAACAAATAATTGTGATGTTATATATAGAAACAGTATTTGTATATTTTGCGCATATTGTAAAAAATTAGAAACGTGCAATAATTTTATTATAAATATTTAGAAGAAAAAGATGTTAATATCACAAAAGCAAAAACTTAAGAGTTCAGTTCACATCTTTAGTACTGACATGTCATGTCAAGATCAAACAATAACATTAGGTTGTAGGTTCTAGGCACTAATCTACCAAGTAGTTATTAGTATTTAGGGTGTATTGAATATCAAAGTTAAAATTTAAAAGATGAATGAATTCACATCAATAGATTTATAACCTTTATTGCCTTGTATTAGTTTTAATGTCTGTCGATAATAAACTACAAGAATTATAAAACATACATATCTTCATAACTTACTATGTCCACTCTAATACGAACTGATGTAACATCAGTAAAATTATATAAAGACATTATTTTAGCAGGTACGATAATAATAATTTAATAAAAATCCCACATGCCTGGTGCTCATTACTTTATCAAACTATCTGACCTTCAAATCATTTCATGTTTTATTCTTTTAAATGATGCATAAGTATTTCGCAATGCTTCTTCAGTTACATTTAAAACAGCAACAAATATCAGTGTTGTTCATTATTTGTTTACAGGTATTGGTAGTTTCCTATGCACATTCAATATTAAAAATAGCAAACCAATTCAGAAAATTCAAGCATTGGACGGACAAAAGATACATGGAATTATTCCATCAAATTGTCTTACTAAATTACTTATATTTGGAGGAAAACAGTTTGTAATATTCAATGAAATTGAATCTATATTTAAACCTCGAGGTGATGCTGTAGTTTATGATGATTGGATTCACACAGCAGTTTGGTTGTCAGAGAACGAAATAGCCCTGTTGAGTGCACATAATGTGGTGACGGTAGGAAGAAACATTATTAACATATTAATAATACAGTACATTTAACAAATTGGTGCATTTAAAATACTATAAATTAACTAGTATACCAATTTTGTTTGTATATAATAGTTTTGCTAATTTGTTTTTAGTAGACTTGGGACATTACAACAACAAAACTCCTACAGCAGCATATTAATAAAGACAACTCTATACTCTACAGTGGACTACTTCAGCCACTACAGCATGACATCCTGGTGTTTAGTGGCACCGTGTACTCACAGGTCATCCTACAATGGTTTGGTGATGAACAGCCTTTGCACTATTTAAAAGGACATAAAGTAAGTTGTTGTTGTTTTTTTTATTCATATGTTCATAACATATTATATTTGGAGTGAGGGAAATTTAAGTTTGTAGTTCAAACATTTATCTATAAATTTTTTATTTTTTTTTCAGGGAGTTATATTCTCTATCAGATGTAACCTACAAAAAGGCATTATTGTGACCACATCAGATGACAGATCGGTTAAGATTTGGTCTGTAACATCAGCTTGTTCTGACTACAATATTAAAACTTACTGGAAAAATGCTCATATAGATTGTGTTCATGATTTATACGGTCACTTGGCACGGGTGATGAGGAACACTCTTACTAATTTATACATAATATCAGTGGGTGAAGACTCAGCAATATGCTTTTGGGATTACAACGGGAACCTGCTGAAGAAAACTATATCTCATCAAAACTCCTGTATTTGGTCTTTAGACGCCGATGAAACTAATTTAGTCACTGGCGGAGGCGACTGTGGGATTATGATGCATCCCCTCTCATCTGTAACTCACAATAGTCATGATGAAGTCATTGACATCAGCGTCACACCAAAAAAAATTCTCTTCACAGCTCGAAACAATATTGTCATAACCAGGGTTGACAACATTTTAAATTATTATAACTCTAACTTTAGTAAAATACAAGAAATTAAATTGAATCACACCTCTACCTACCAACTGGTCGGCCTGTCTTCATGTAAACAACTTATAGCTGTGGTGGACATGGATGGTCACTTAGACATAATTATAGAAAATTGTAAAGGAGACCCGGGACTGACAAAGATTATAGAAACACAGCTGCATCTAGGAAAAATTCTATCAATGCAGTGGGCCGGGAACAGACATTTAGTTTTCTGTTCTGAAGGTGGTGTTATTACAGTCGGAGCCTCCAAAAGAAATACCATCGAGATCATTGCTAGGTACCTCCTACCGCCTTGCAAAGAAAGATGGCTGACTGCCAGCGCTCTCAATGACACCAGAGACGCATTGGTCGTAGGGGACCGCTGTGGACACGTACACTTGTATGAGTCGCGACGACAACAACCAGCTTATACGATGAAGAGAGTTCACGGAAGATACGGCCCTACCTCCATCGATATAAGAAACGATATCGTCAGAACGACCGGCAGAGACGGGACGGTCCGGTACTTGAAGATTATTGAGAGTGGACTCAAGTATATGAGTTGTAAAGACTTGGAGTTCGAGTGGGTTGAAAAGTTTCTAGACTCGCAAGGGAAGTACCTCTGTGGCTTCAGGGAGAGGAGTCTGGTCGTTTATGATGTAGAGAATGACCTGAAGGTAGTGGACGTGTCGTGCGGAGGAGGGCACCGGGCCTGGGACGCCGAGCGGTACATTGAGAACAACCACGGGTGTTACGACGAGTGGCTCAGGATCATGTTCGTTAAGAATACGCAGGTGTACGTCCACACGTTCCGTCTGAGAGACATCGTGTCCACAGTTATATTGCCCGGGACACATTCTAAGGAGATCAACTGTTTGAGGACTTACCGCTGTCGAGACGACGATCCGGTCACGTGGTTCATAACAGGAGGAGAAGACACCACACTGAGAGTGTCCACCTCGGAACAGGAAGCAGAGTTCAGAGACCGAGCGGTGTTCAGGCATCTGTCAAACGTACGGGCGGTGAGGCTGTTGAGTGTGGCAAAGGACGAAACGCTGGTGGTGTCGGCGGGAGGCAGGGCGCAAATATGTATCAGAAGCATCACCTTCACTGATAGGAAAGTGACGGCAGAGGAACTCGTTGACTATCAGATAAAAGGAACGGACAAGGAAAGAAGGGGAAACCAAAACTGGAGAAACTGTTCCGTAGACTTCGACCCGGAGACCAGGATCATGGACGTGGTAGTGGACGAACTGAATGAAGACAGAGTCGTGATATACACGGCGTGCTCTGACGGTGAGGTGAGGGTGTTCGAGTGGAACAGACGAGGAGGACGGTTCACTATGACGCAGGAGGTCAGACATCACAGGACCTGTATACTGAAAATGAAAATGTTTACATGTTGTAATAAAAAAATAATAAGCACGTGCGGGACGCGAGGAGACGTGGCCTTCTGGGAGGTCAGCTCGGACGGGACCCTGGCGGAGGAACCGGCCCTCGTCCTTAGGACCAACGACTCGGGGATCAATAGTGTCGACGTTAAGGTGACCGGCGACTGTCAGTTCCTGTTGGCCACCGGCGGAGATGATAACGCGGTCCATATGAACCTCGTGCGAGTGGCCGGAGAGGGGAGGTGGGTGGTGGTGACGTCACACGTGTACAGGGACGCGCATTGCTCACAAGTGACGGGACTGGCGCTGCTCGACGGTCTGTGTGTGACGACCGGCGTGGACCAGAGACTCACCTCGGTGTCGTGGCGTGTGGAGGGAGAGGAGATCAAAACGGAATTCATCGACCAGAAGTACAGCGACGTGTCCGACATACACGGAATGGACGTCGTGCGGGACACGGGGTGAGTCACACGGTGCATGCGACCTGATGATGATGTAGCTCCTAACAGACGGGCGTGTTTTATAATATACGTTGTCATCCACAGAGACCGGCTCACGGTGTGTGTCTACGGTAAAGGCATCCAAGTCTTCGAGTTGCTGAGACCACCGTGTGTGGCGTGACAGGCGGCCAATCAGCTGATCCTGTGCCCGCTGATAACTGATAAAGTATCACAGCTCACACGCTATCAGACTATCTCGAGTGCATCTAGAATGTACCGCGCTGCATCCTCGATATTAAATATATTCTGGAAAATATACATTTTAATATTATTTGACAATTTGCTGTTTTATAATTTACTAGCTGCGCCTCGCGGTGTTACCCGCGTATTCCCGGGATTTCCGAGATTTCCGGGTTGTAAAGTAGCCTATGTGTTATTCAGCTTCCTGTATACAAAATTTTATCAAAATCGGTTCAGCCGTTTGAGCGTGAAGAAGTAACAAACATACACACACTCACAAACTTTCGCAATTATATTATTAGTAGGATTATTTTATTTTTCCCGGCGCGGCAAGACCTTCCACCAACAGACTCCTCTTCTTAACTAACATCATTATATGCGGTCGAGTCTGTTCAGACACGTGTATGTAAGAGGCCCTCATACAGACAATGCTATAGTATAATATATATATTATATGATAATGGTTCTATGATGAGTTGTAAATAACTATTAATGATGGTATTAACCGTGATCCGCCGGTTAATGGCGAGCAAACAAATATAACGCGAGGATTACGAGAATTAAAGGATCGCTTAGGATGAGCTGTTATCATACAATAACAGGTACAGGTACAGGCAGGCGCAGTGAGAGGATAAGATATACATTTATATATATTTTTATTATATTAATTTTTAACATTTCACAGACGACCTGCTACTAAGCGACCTATTTAGATATGTAATTTCTTTGAAATAAAAGAAATAAATGAAACAAAAAACTGAATATTCATTTTATTTCATAATTTTTATTTCTTTATTTTTTATCAATCGTCGATAAAGACGTATTATATATCGCGTAAGGTCGGTTCGACTCCGTCGTCGTAAGAGTGGCCGGGCGTGATCGGCTCGTTCTTTAATCTTATCAATAAACGTCTATCCGAATCGTTTTCCTCAGAGCGAGGCTCGTATGTTTGGTGAAGCTATATCTGTAACTGAATGTTTGATAATAGCGAGTGCTGTAAAGAGATTGTCTCTGATTAGATACAGCGACCTCTATATATATTAATGTGAACATATCTCTCGCTAGTGCCGCGCGTTACTCTCCACTCGCTTCATATTAACTCCTGTTGTATTTTCAAATGTAAGTTAATATTATTTACAAGTACAACTAACTTCCTAAACAGACCTCACAGTATTTTCTCCTCTCTCTCTCTCTCGTGACACTCTGTCGTACATTCTCATCTGACAATTTTATCTTTCGTAATGTCATTGTTCATTTATGTTTCGTGTCACTGACTCAAGGTTCTGTTTAATATTCAATAACTGATACGTACGTACAGACATTCGTTGTAATCGTAATGGAGCATTTCTTTTATATTATGACTAACCTCAATTAAAATTGTCTCCGTTTTGGTCTGGTTGTTCTACGGCGTAACCTTTTCAACGATTATAATATTTACCTATATTATTGTATGTAGCTGAGGTTTTTTATTATGTATTTCTTCTAACTAATCATACTAGATGTAATCATGCTTATTTATATTTTTAAAAGTGTCTCAATATATTATCACGAACTAAGAACTTAAAAATTATGACGAATTGTTATACAATAAAAAAGGTCCACAGACTATGTAGTTCAGGTTGAATGATTAGTACTATATATACATATAGGTACTTACTGTTACACGTTTGTAAGTCAGTGGTGGCCTAGAGGTTAAAAGGCCCGCCTCATTCATGAGGGCGCGGGTTCGATCCTGGCAAGTACCAATGTGATTTTTCTAGTCATATGTACTTTCTAAGAGTATTTAGACATCACTAATTAATGCATTCCCAAAGAGGGTTGATGTCAGGCAGGCGGCGGGTCATAAAAACAATTAGCTAAAATTATTCACAACATGTAAGGCAGACCCTGGCTAAAGCTGGGAAATTGCCAGGTAGAAGAAGAACTTACTATTACACGTTTGTATCACACCACTTACGAAGCGTCCCCTTTTTCTAATTACAGTACGTCACTTATTAGCACTACATATGAAAACTCGAAACGCTCGGTGTGTAGTATGTGATGCAAACTTGTGGTAGGCACGCCGGTAACACTCGTTGTGGACCCTGGTTCTACTCATGTAACAGAATTCAGGCACACTAACATTATATACATCAATCAGTTTAATAAATCTATCTTTCTCTATAGTCTTGTACTCAATGTGTTTTTTAATTCTCCCATCTTGTTTATCATTATTCCCTCTATGTCCTGTAGTTTCTTCTAATATTGCACTGTGCACATTGGTTTAACGTTAGTTTTTTAAACTTTAATTTTTGTGCAACGTTAGTTTTTTAAACTTTAATTTCCTCTTGTGTGTTCATCATTATAACGTAATGTCGTATACTTATGTATTTTATATTTAGTACAATACAGATATGACATAAGCTAGTCATTTACAGTAAATATTAATCTCCGTAATGACCGAACTCTATATGTATATTGTATATATATTATTAATTCTAGGAACCAGTCGAGCGCTGGGTCACTAGATTTAATTTTTTATGTAGGTATGTACATGTCCCGGCCTAAACTTGTTTCTATTTGTTAATTTCATTCGTTACAAAACGGATTAAGAATTTTTACTGTTTTAGTTTGAGTTTTGTAATAGTAATTTTTAATCTTACTGCGTATATTTATTTATAATGAACCCGGTGACGCTCACGCACACCAAATCTAATGTTATGATGCGAGTAACATAACCTTCTTCAGTTATGTCACAGTCAGATAGACGGGTTTCAAAGGTAGTTATATAATGAACATTTGGAAACTCGTTCTGACATGAAATTTAAAATGGTCATTGACCCTGTACGATGTTTGAATGTTCGTTGTCATTAACCCACTTCACGGTTATCGTAAGTCGTCGTCTCGTAGTAAAGGCGTTACCAGCCTCACGTGGTGGTCGTGTCAACTGTCAGACACTAGTCGTGTTCCTGACACTGAGCTGAGAGTGTGTCGAGTGTCGCGTTTACTGCCTCACAAGTATCGAGAACAGATTTCAAAGTGACTAGGTTTGTTAACGATTTGTTTTGACGTCGCTCGCCGTAATTCAATTAAACATCGAGCTGTAAGACTGGTCGATAAACCAGTAAATGAAGTATTGTTGAAGAACATACGATAATAAACATACAGGTGTGATATTTTGTATCTTTTTAATTTAAATAATTTTTATTACTTATTCATGAGAAAATTTACTCTTTACCCAAATAAAAAAAAATAGAGAAGGGACAACGATCATCTTCATACACATTATAAAAACTAGCATCATCAAAAATTATGTTACATAGAGAGATTAGAAACATAGAAGGCTTGCAACGTGCCAACATACTGTATTCAAAGAGACTTAGTTCATTCTAAGAAATGTTTTAAATGTTTATATCTAATAATATTTAATCTACGAAGGAATAGATTCTACAAACATTGTTTCCAAATTCATTCAATAAGGATATTTTTTGTAATTTCCTGTTCATTCATCTCCAACCCGATGTTTATGTATTTGTCATCATAGAAACATTAGTGTTACGTCTCTGACACATGACACACCACTCTCATTCCAACGCTCCGTGTATTTCCACACATGTAAAAATCCCCATCGTCAACATTCGCTCCCTCCTGCCAAGTTTTCCTATTACAATACTATACTTATATGAGATTCATCCACCATCTTATATGTTGTAGATTATTCTTTACTATATTTATCGTCACAAAAAAAGAAACAATTATCAATCAAATGTCATACGTAGTCCCCAAAAATATTTAAGTCGCTATTCACTGGACCAATTCAGTTTATAGGTACAGTCAGTATGTGCATGTAGACAAACGGACACGTATCTTTTGATCTTTTTACTTGAAGACACGAGTATACCACAATATTCTTATTTATCTCTGTCCGTATATTTAATATTAAACAATTTTTTTTTTTTATTGTTTAGTATATGTATTTATAATTCCCTCGTAAGTTTTATTCTTCCTTATATAACGCTATCAACCTGTGCCTTCAATCCTTCAATACATCCCACATACAACTCATTTTCCTCCAGAATTATTGAGTATTGACGTTTTCCTTTCACTGCCATAAATTCATCAATGTGTTCATGTTCTTCATTCTGACTGTCCATGTGTCCATGTATTTATTATTGTATTTGTTGGTTGTCGTAATATTCGTATGGTCAAATGTATTTCTGTATCCGTAGACATTTATTATTTCCAACACTATGAATGTTCCACATATTCGTCATACTAAGTATTTATTGTTCTAACAGAATGTTCATAATACATTCAGTGTCTTGTCTTCATCATAACAAGTATTTTTAACTTATGTAAATAGTTTTTTAGTTTTAAAAAAAGCTTTGTTATTTTAATATAGTTCTCATTTATAATAAAGTCTTTGCACCTATATATTAACAAACTCGTATGTATTTAATTCCATGTTTTACAAAATATATTTTACATCCTTTTATTTTTTATTATATTTCACAACTTTATACAGTTTCGTTAACAAGAATTTAAAATTTTCTAATATTTTATATAACGTTTTCAATTCGCGAATGTTTTATTTATTTCATATTTTTATTGTCTTCAAACATAACTTTATGAAAATTTGCTCTCAATACTTAACCGGCGAGCAAGTTTCCTCTCTCATATACAAACATGGGCCCACTAGAACATACAATACTGTAAGAGGATGTAGATATAAGTGTATTGTTTAACCATCAGATGCCCCCTCAAGTGACGGCGGTGACGGAGCCCGTGTGGCTGGGCGAGGGTCCTCACTGGTCCCACGACCACCAGGCGCTGTTCTTCGTCAGCATCTTCGACAAGACCATCCATAAATACAACCCATCCAACGGAAAACACACTAGAGCCAAGCTAGGTGAGTCTACAACATATACATGAGAATCCATATCAATTTTATAATTTATTTATACCTTCAAAAGAGAAAAACAACTTTAAATGAGATGGATTCGATAAAATGATTGAAATCGATACTTTAATTCGCGTTTATAATTATCGCTACATCGTACGCACGTCATGTGAAAACGTTTTGTGAGTTGATTAACACAAAACGATGGTAAGAAAGTACATTACAAGAAAACAGAGAACGTTATCGAAGATGTTATCGAATGGATTGATATCGATATTATGATAAGGATACAATCTGGAGGAGCGATACTGTATCTGAAACAGAAGTAGCTTCTAGAAGACGAGTGTGGAGGGAACCATCGGCTTTATATAACACTAACACATAGACGACACTAGTTACATACTGACATAGCTAATACTCTGTTATCAATCTGAAAATTCTCTAAATAAGGAATAAAGTAATCTTATTTCACTTTTCTGTAAGTAGAATCTCACACACAATTTAAAATAAAAGCATGATTCTTCAAAACTCTTTAACTTCATGTACCTAATATATGTTTGTGCCATATATAAAGCGCCATTCCTCAGAGATAGATTAAGTTTCATTATTTCATTACAGGGAGACTGATACATGAATGAAACTTGGTTTTAATATGGTGTGTGTATGTTCAGGTGACATGCCCGGTTTTATAATACCGGTGGAAGGGAAGATGGACCGCTTCGTGGTCGGTCTGAAGAGGAGGGTGGTGGAGGTGCAGTGGGACGGGGAGGGAGACGCCACCGAGGTTAGGGAGCTGGCCGAGCTGGACAAACACAGCCCCGATAATAGGATCAACGACGCTAAGGCGGACCCCAGGGGGAGACTGTTTGTTGGTAGGACGACACACACATACACACACGCACACACACACACACACTTACAAGCACACAAATACCTACGCGCGAACAAACAATAATTAAATAGCAACACGTCTATCTCTGGTCAGGTACCATGGGTCACGAGTACGAGCCGGGTAAGTTCCACCTGAAGCAGGGCTCGCTGTACCGTCTGGAGCGGGACGGCAGCGTGTCCCGAGTGGCCCAGGACATCGACATCTCCAACGGGCTGTGCTGGGACGTTCAGAGGAGCGCCTTCTACTACGCTGACTCCTTCGAGTACGCCATCAGGAGATACGACTACGACGTCAACACGGGCAACATCTGTGAGTGACGACGTTTATACTGTTTATAATGGAATACAGACACATATAATATACCTAATATAATAACATTCCAGCGAACCCCAAGATCATATTCAAGTATTCGGATCACGGCCTGGACGGCATCGTGGACGGCATGTCCATAGACACGGACGGCAACCTGTGGGTCGCCAACTTCGACGGGTCACAGGTAATGGACACGCACACATACACAACATACAACACATGTTACACATACAACATACAACGAATATCGGCACGAGCTTTTTGACGATCAAAATATGTCACACACGCCAGCAGATGAAAAAAAAGTAATCAAATAAGACGCTGTTACAGAAACATCATTTATTTTGTAATTAAATATCCGTATTACACAATAATGAATGTTTAGTTTATTGTATTATTCCATCATTCCAGGTGTTAAAGATCGACCCGGTGAAGGGCGCCCTGCTTCAGCGAGTCCCCATCCCGGCGCTTCAGACTACGTCCGTGACATGGGGCGGACCCTCCTTGGACGTGCTGTACGTGACCTCCGCCTCCATGAACAGGGGACAGGAGCAGAAGCCCCCCTGCGGCTCCACGTTCAAGGTGACCGGCCTCGGGGCCCGCGGACACCCCAACAACAATGTTAAACTATAATATATTATGATCAACACCCTTGACTTTTATTCTCTGATAATATTTGTGGTTCGTAACCTTCTCCCGCGATCTGAGACGACCCGTCCCTCGACGTTATATAATGTTTGATGTGGACTAATTTCACCAACATATATCATAGGAGGCGGACGTACCTGGAAAACTCGTTAATGACGGCAGATTCCCTTGTGTATGTCTTTGAAATAAGAGTGGATCTGTTTTTATGTATTTTTATGAATGTAGTTTAATCCTATTACATTGTCAAAACGTCCAACACAAATAATATTCTTCATCTAACAATTATATTGGTACAGTCAAAGCACTTTAAAAAATCTAAACTAAAATGGCTTCTATTAATTATTCTAAATAGAATTGACACTCACACACTACTGGACAGAAATTCAAAAAATGTAGCCAGGAACCGCCGAAAAAAAGGCATTGAAATAGGTTGATCGCTCTAAGAGAGCTACGATGACAAGAACAGATAAACAGACCACAAACATATTACACCCCCTTTTTGAGTCGGGAGTTGAAATATAAGTTTACTAAAATTAGTTAAAGCTATGTACCTAACATTTAAATGAAATGAAATCTGAAATATCAATGATACTATATGAATTGTTATATATATTGTTATTGTCGTCTCGTATTATGGTTATGTGAATTATTATTCCATTAATCATCATTACATGTCACAAAAACATTAAAATTAATTTTTTGTCACCAAAACATTGACTACATTATATTAAGATGTATATTTAAGTTGTCGAGAGACGGCTTTAAACATTCCGTCGTAAACATTTAATTAAAACAATGGATCGCCTCAAAAATAATATAAACTCCTTTCAGAAATTAACCTTTGACATGGTTATTTATAAGCAAAGTTCATGTGTGTGCTCTGTATCTTAGGTAATTATAATCAGTGGCTGGACTCACATGTTATTTAATATTTAAGTAAAGCAAACCATCGTGACTGTGAACTATACAAACTGAAGTCTTTAAACAACTCTGTCAATACTATTTAAAGAACCTGTCTACATTTCTAACTCACACACTCCATACTCAGATCTTCGTTATCTTTTTGTATTTCACTAAATTCTCAATTCTAGTTAGATCTAAAACTTTCTCGAGTATTCATTTAAATGACACTAATATTTTCAGATTAAGTACCTACTTCGCGTATTTTATTATTTTTAAAACTACATTCGGTTACTTTACGGCAACCGTGATTAAAAGGTTTTTTGTTACAAACTCAATCTAAGAGTGTACAACGTTAGTTTCTGTATCAGATTCAAATATAATCTAAGTCTACTGTATGATATATGAACTCCTAAATTTGTCACAATAATTGAAATGCGTGAGTGAGTGAGTCAGTTACACTAAGGCGATGTCATCCAATGTTTTATAATTATTAATGACACTTGTTTGAACTGTTTTATTATAGACGTTACCCATCTCTATTAGTCTTAAAAGATTTCGTTTCATTTAACAAGGATATGTAATGATCAACATAAGTGCCAAAATTTATCGCTGGATTCTATTTGTTGCCCTTGCAACAGCCTATAGAAACATCATGTCCTATGAATTGTGTAAGCTGCAAATGAATAATACAAAAAGTATATATTATATACGTCCCATTTATTGATATTACTATGTACCAACAGGTGTGATAAAAAAATAATTTGTTAAATGTAATGAACTGCAGTTAGTCTCCGAGGGAGTCTGCTGGGAGGAGAACCTTCATCACCAGTCCTCCCGTCACATTCATAGATCCGTAGGTACAATATAATTAAAACCTTGTAACAGCAAATAATTTTAATAGATTAAAAATGTATAGTTACTTTTTGAAGTTTGTGTAGTGAAGAAAACTTTACTGGAGCTTGTAGCAAACATTACGGAGACCTTTGGCCCCGACGCCTGTGACCATGAAGGTGCAGCCGCCGGGAGGTTCCTGGGGGCCGGTGTAGTCCACACTGGCTGACGTCACGAACATGATGTCGAAGTCCGGACCTCCGAAGGTGACGGAGGTCACCTGGCTGGCGGGGATCGACAGCTTCTGGATCAATGTCCCTCGGACGGGGTCCACCTGGAGCACGCAGGAGCCGGAGAACACGGCCACCCACAGGTTACCCTCCGAGTCTATCGTGGCTCCGTCAGGGAAGCCTTCCACGCCGTTGGCCTGCAGGTCGAATATATACTTCATGTTCGCTGAAAGAAAAAATATATATATTAGATGCTGCCCGCTTACTGTAATTACAAAACAAGAATCAAATGAAAGTTTTATATAACGTATTACACTACTGATAACTCACAAACATCCCCGGTGTCCACGTCGTAGTCGTATCTCCTAATCTTCAAGTCCATGCTGTCAATGTAATAGAAGGCCTTTCTCTCGAGGTCCCAGGCCAGTCCGTTGGACACCGTTATGTCTCCGCACACTTTCTTCACTTCACTCTTATCCAGACGGTACAGTGAACACTGTTTTGGCACAAACTTACCAGGAGGATTTTCATAGCCTATGGAGCCTATACACAACACAGAGAATATTTATAAATAATAATCACAAACAAATAGCTTCAGTGATACAGAGGTCATTCCAACTAATACATTACCTGCAAAAATCCTTCCTCGAGGGTCAGCCTTGCCATCATTAATCCTGGGTTTGGGAGACACGTCCTGGTCCACGTCAGCTAATGTCTGTAGAACCTTCGCCGGGCTGCCTTCCTCGCCGTCCCATTGTATTATCACAAAGGACAACTCCAAGCCTATTATAAATTGGTCCGTTTTACCCTCTACTGGTACTATGAAGCCCGGTCGACCGTCTGAGAAACCAAAACAATGATCACAAGTACAATAAAATACAATTACAATACATAAACACATCTAGTTTAATGTGAGTGATATTTTAATGTTACCGAGTTTTGTCTTCGTATGTTTCTTGGAGGACAACACGTATTTGTGTATAGTACATTCGAGTATGTCCACAAAGAACAGCGCCTGCTGCCTCTCATCCCAATGAGGACCCTCGCCCAGCGTCAACGGGTCAGTTATCTTCTCAATCTTCACAGGCATATCTAGAACATGTTATATATATCATACTACTAAATAAATAAATAATATCATATTTAACGTGCATTCTACAATTATCTAAAATTGCTTAATTAATAAAGAATAATAAAGTGAGTAATTATATGCAATTATGTTTACTTCAACTGATGATAAAACAAATAATATTATCAGTATAACTTGTATAAACAAGTCACGTTTAATAGTTTATTAAGGATCGCTTTCAATGTTAATTGTTATTTAATGTTTCGTCTCAAGCGAATGATTTCAACTTTGCGAATACTTTTTGATATCTTAATAATTACATATATCTTTTATACGATCACTTCATAACGCGATATCGCCGACGTGATACAAACACACTTCAAATCAGCTAACCATTCTCAACATAACAATAAAAACAAACGTTACATTACAAATGTTATAACTCTGTTAATATCCACCTTGAACTCACCTTGCGTTTCTTAGAAAAACTTGTTTAAGACCAGACACACTCGTAATTATATTATTATCTATTAGTGAGGTACGTGCCGGGTACTAACACTCACTGACGGATGTCTTGATCTCAGGAGGGAGCAGTCAGCAGTGAGAGCCGCTCGTTGTAACTGGTCATTACCATTCATAGCTGTTTGTATAATCCTCGGCCATTGGTCCTTTACATGATTGGTCAATTTCATTCATTGCTGTTTAATTAAACTTGCTTTTGCTATTATCAACTATTAAATGATTATTACATATGTATATAAATAAATTTTTGGATGTATACATATTGGTGGGACAGTATTGAATTAACGTACCTATTCACAATTGTTTTCAAGATTTGAAATCTACTTGTTGAAAAGAAAAGCAAATACACATATTTTAACATTAATAGAATAGAATAAAATATGAATAAAACAATCAGTTGTGATGTCCCTCCAGTATGTAAATAACTACTAGACTAATGTTATCACTTATCAGTAATGAGTTTATTTATGATAATACCAAATATTCTGACCACATGTTTCTGTAACTGTATCTCTTTTTAGATTAAATATTATCCTATTTCCCTTTGTCATTTTTAATTAAAGTTTTTTATTTATTTATTCCATTGCCGTCATGTCCTCCTCTCTAACTCCTCTTTAATTACTTATTTATCAATCTGTTGTCACACATCCAGGTCATTCTAACTATTAACTCTCTTTTGTCTGTAGCATTTTGACTGACGAGAGACTTGAACTTAATGCCTCTCGAAACCATATTCCCCCAAAACTTCTATAATTTTTTATTCTTAATCGCGATCACCAGCGTCATGTTTATAATAATGTCAGGAATAGGAACTAATTCCTATTTCTTTCACATGTTCTCTTGATCTAATTACATTGAATTTTCCAAGTCGTCGTGGTCCTCAAGAAGGCAGGCTATCGTAAACAGATGTTATCAATTATCTAAAATCCATAAAATATAAATTTTCTCAATATCTAACAATTGTATTTCCATATCCTTTCTAGTTTAAACTTCTAAAATCCTCCGCTTTTGGTAAATTTCCATTTCCCCCTTCTTTCATAGGTCGCCGTTCCGTCATACCACACCGTGTTCCACACTAGTCCCTACCTACCTTTGCTTAAACTCAGTTTACATTCCATCTTAATCACCATAGACAGAAAATAAGTCAAGACTTTTACTTTAGATATCTGGATTCATTTACATTTTAAATCGTGTTTACGAGAGAAACTCGTTGAGTGAGTTTAAAGTCTTATACAGCCCTATGTTTTTTATGTTCACACTTCGGGAGTCTAATGGAATTTATTACTTATTAGAAGTAGACGATCTGGTAAAATTGTTAACTCGTGAAGTATTGATACATTGGGACAACTTCTAAAAACTCCACGCTCCTCATATTTTCAAATAAATTGACTTTTTATTTGTTGTATACCCTAATCTAGTCAAGCTATCTATGTATATTTCAAGTTTTATGTTTAGCAAACTTAGACTGTTCTTGGAAACATGATCGTCGTACATGATATTAATCTTGTCAAGGTTGATTCTGAAACTAATACAAAAAACTTAGACTGACAATAACAATTGTTTTTCGTTTTACTCCTATGTTCGTATTAAAATTATGATTACAGTGTAATTATAATGTTGTCGTGAAAAAATCCTATATATAAGAATTAAGAAATGTTTAATAATTTGGTATACCTTTTCTATGTTTTAAATCTATACTAATATTATAAAGCTGAAGCGTTTGTTTTTTTGTTTGTTTGAAAGCGCTAATCTCCGAAACTACTGGTTCGAATTGAATAATTCTTTTTGTGTTGGATAGTCCAATTATCGAGGAAGGCTGTGGACTATATAACATCACGCTACGACCAATAGGAGTAAAGATATAGTGGTAAATGTGTAAAAAACGGGAGAAATTATTTCATCTTTGAAGCCTCCGTTGCGTGCGCCGTGAAAACGGTTCAAGATACACAAAAAATATGTATTAAAGAATAATAGCTCTTTTAATGATGTAAAAAACAGTCAGTGACAGTATATGTCTATATTTTAAGATTAACTCATAAAAACCGTTTTTATGGTACGTAATTTGGTGGAAATAATTTGTTTAAGTTGTATCAACATAATGATATTAATCTTTATTCAAATAAACAAATAAATATGTTATTGGTTAAGAGTACTTCACTATGAATAAAAAAAAAACATAGGTTTTATCCTGAAAATTCTACGGGAACTCGACCATTCCGAAAACCCCGCAAGAATGGGAACTATGTGGGACGAACCAAAAATCTGGCGGAAGTCACTATTCCACGCGGACGGAGTCGCGGCAAAAGCTAGTGTATGTATATATGTACATACCGCGTGAAACAATATAACTTATAATCAATATTATAATTAAAAAGAAATACACTTTCATAGTTATGTATGTCCTTATAGATAGTTATGTATTTACTTACATAAGTATTTGTTTGTCTAAAGATTTTACAGAACATGAAATTTTGGTGGAATTACAATATATACCTACTTATTACGTAGCAGCTGTTCATTGGTCTTTTGCCAGTACTTTTTATTTTTGGTATAAATATTACCTGTGCTACAACAATACATACATATGTACATACATAAATATACATGATTGTGTAATTTGATGATAAAAATATTACTAATATTTCGGTTAAGTGATATATCATCTTGAGTCTGTCTATAGACCGTACTTACCGCACAGTAATCGGATTTCAGCATTTTATTTCAGTTTTTGCAATTTTATTTTAAACAATATTAAATATCATTATTCCGTTTTGGTTTAAATATGCTTTTATATTACTATTAATATATATTCCTCTATAGGAAGGGGTGGTAATTTGGAACCCCACTTTGTTTTTTGAGTATTTTAAGAAACTTATTTGACTATTCATTATATGACTGTATCTTTATATTTAACAACTTATTAGCTTTTATATTAGAAACTAATTTATAAAATAAAATCACCCATTATAAGAAATAATTTGTTTTATTTTTAAAATGAAAAAAATGTGTTCGGAGCTGGTATTATGGAGCCCTGGTTCCAAATTACAAGTATGGAATTCAATTACTTGCAAAAATCACATACATACTCCGTGTCGCATGCTGAGCACTCAATATGCGCCCACAACCTACATGATTGGCACTGAATCCAAGTTTCACCCTGTTGGTCGTTGGAGTAATTTTCACAACAAAGAATGCAACAGGCGTCATCTTGGTTTGTGGGCTGGGCTTACACGTCATTATTTTCTGATATTACAACCTCATCGGGAGGCTGGTCACTGTGCACAAATCTTTGCAAAGTAGTTTTTGGAACGCTATATAGTTAAACTGCTTTTTCAAATCCATTTTCTTTTCTCTCAATGCTTTTACAGCTTCAATCATGTTAGCCGTAGTCCAACTCTTTCTTACAAATAAATAAATAAACTCTAATAAACAAACTCTTAAGCGAGCAAATATGAGCAAGAAAAATCAATAACCCTGCAAAAGTAGGTACGCTAGTATTTTGGAAACAACTACTCTGTTTATTCAAAGAACAGGTCATGGTTTTGGTGTGAATACTTACTGCTGTCATATTTTAGGGCGGCAATGAAAAATGTCACCCGCGGCTTGGTTAAAAGCAGCGATTGCTGCCTGCATATCTAAACCAGCTTTTTAAATCATTAGTATGTAGCCGTTACTTAGCTGTAAGGTGAATGTATATAAGGCTATCTATCACTCTGCTATCTTTCAATAACAAAACGATTTGAGAAAACGCCAGAGTAAACTTACATTCATTCTTCCTGTGTTAAAGTTAAAGCCTGTTAAAAAGGGGGCCCAAGTTCCAATCGGCTAATTGTTTACCTAAAAAAGGGTTGAAATCCAATCCAATGCCAAGTTTAGATGCATTTTGAAATCGATCATAATCATCTTCATCAACAGCATGATCCACTGGTAAACATTTGCCATTCCCAGACTCGCCACCACACCCAGTCCTCTGCCTTCCACATCCAGCCACTACCCGCCACCTTATTCACGTCAACGGTCCATCTGGCTGAATTTCACTTTACCATACACCCAACTTAAAATATGGTATAGTTGTGAAAATACGTAGGTGCTTGGTTAAAAATATCTAAAATTATAATACTTCTAAATTTGAACTTGGCAGGTTAATTTAATTATATAAATAATAAATTAATGATACAATTAATTAAGTTTTTGATAATCTGTCAGTGAGTCAGTGCCAAAATTAGCTATTTTGACAGGGTCATATTTCAGGATCTAATGAAGCTTTATCTATGAAATTTGGCATACTGCTTTAGTACTAGTATATGATTACGTAAGTACAATTTTATCTCTGTACTTGCAATAGGCACTGAGCTACAGGGGGTCAAAAGTGGGTCGAATTTATTAAAAATTCGATATTAGAATTGAGGCAACTCACGCTTGACCGATTTCTTAATTTTTTTTTAATCTACATATAACACACAACCTGTGTACCAAATTTCATAATGATAAAACAATGGGAAGTGGCCTAAACGTTTTGATTACCTGTCAGTGAGTCAGTGCCAAAATTAGCTATTTTCGCAGGGTCATATTTCAGGATCTACTGAAGCTTTATCTATGAAATTTGGCATACTGCTTTAGTACTAGTATATGATTACGTAGGTACAATTTTATCTCTGTACTTGCAGTAGGCACTGAGCTACAGGGGGGTCAAAAGTGGATCGAAACGGTTCGTGTAAATAGTGCACGGCTTGCGCGTGGCCTGTTGCTGGAACTTGGCCGGCGCACTACCGTACGCTTAAATAGTGGCATATGCTTTGAAAATATTAAAACAACATATTAAAAGAGTTACATTAAGTAAATATCTAAATATGTTTTTGAATAGATTTTTTCAAGTCCATAGACTGTGGTTTATTTTTTTCTGTATTTTTTTACATGTATACAGATTATGCGATTTCTTTCTTGACGATTACAAATAAAAACTTAAAAACCGAAATTGTATTGTAGAGGGATAAAAAATAAAACACTCTCATCACACCGTCGACATCAAAGTATTATATTATAAAACGAGTCCCCGTCATGAGAACACTATGTACAGGTGACGGAGACACGGAATAAATACTCATTTGTATTAAACCTACTTAATATATGTTATAAATATTTACAGAACTAACAAAACAACATGGCACAAATCTATTACAATATTTACAATGTATCGAGACATTTACATTCATACAAACAGAAGTCCACGCGCTTACATTATTTTAATGTTTCTTTTTCACTTCTATGATATGTTAGAGACACACGTCACGAGACAGCTCTTAGTACAGATCAAAAATATACAGATGGCGCCGCCGGCGACTACGACAGCTACGATTCACTATTTACTAGTTCATTTCTTAAACATAATGTTATTATTCTAAGCAGCCGATCTGTTACACTTATTATTCGTTAAAGACGCAAACGTACATTCAGCCATATTTACAAAGACTTTTTTTGGCTTATTCATCTAAAGTCTAAACTATAACAGAGATTTCCGGACGCTAGCCTCGTGAAGCCACTCCACGACACGAGTTCCTACCTCAACTATCGACTCCGATATGATCTCGACGTATCACACGCCTGGTGGAGGCGGGCGGGGGGCGGGTGGAGGGGGGTGAAGTCGGTTCACTTCTTCTTCGGCTTCTTCGGGTTCCTGGAGCGACTCTTCGCCTTACACAGAGGACAGATGGGCGCGTTACGGTGGATCTGCTGGTGACACGACAGGCAGGACTTCATCGGCGGCGGCTGCTGTCTGTGGGTTGTGGGGCCCGACCGGTTAGAGGTTACACACACTACCACATAACGAGCGCTCGCTTACGAGGCCGACATACTACGATCGGTAAGTAGGATAAAGAAATAATAAAAATATAAGCAGCGGACGCCGGTGTCGAAGGAGAGAAGGATCGGGGAGATGGAGGGAGGGAGGGGAGGGGGGAGTGTGCAACGAAACAAACGGAACCGAACCTGAGCGAGACTGTTAGGAAATCTTGGTCGAGAGCAGACCTGAACGCGGGCGGCGGCGGAGGAGGCTTGCGGGGAGCAGGAGCCAGGAACGAGCCCGCGCCCGCCGCCCCTACCGCGCCCACCGCACCCACGGCCGCGCCCACGGACAGGGACCGTGAGCCCGACAGACCCGCCGGGAAACGACTGCGGGCCGACAGATAACGATAAGGACACGTGCAGAGGACACCCTGACCACATGGCCGGAACTAGGCCAACGAAACAAGATAAACATTGTAAACAACGAGACTTACTGATGCAAGTACAGGGAAACGAGCCATAGTCGCTAATGAACACAGTTTAAATATCAACATAAATATTAACTTCAAAACCAAACATGATTTCAAATGCTACTTTATATATTATATAATTTAATAAACTTATTGGTTGACTGGTTCCACCTCATTGTTTAAGATCATTGTGCACTCTTCTTGTAATTCCTATAATTTTGGTTACAATGTTTATCTTATTTCTTTGGAAATTGTGAAAGTGTGCATAGGAAGTTCTAAAACATTTGATTTGTAAAAAAATATGAAATAGTGAATTTAAAATCTTTCATATGTATTCCTGATATTTGGTTATCTTTCTACATCTTCATCTGTGTGTAAGTGTTTGTGTTTGTGTCCGTGTGTGTATGTGTCCGTGTGTGTGTGTGTCCGTGTGTGTATGTGTCCGTGTGTGTGTGTGTGTCCGTGTGTGTATGTGTCCGTGTGTGTTTGTTTGTGTCCGTGTGTATGTGTCCGCGTGTGTGCTAACTCAGGCGTGACGGGGCTGCCCTCCTCCTCGTGCAGCTCGGGCAGCCGGTCCAGCCCCAGGCACTGTCTCCGCAGCAGGTCCACCTCGTGTTTGAGCGGCCGGTAGTCTTCATGGAGCCGCGCCGCGCTGCTCAGCTTGCGTGACATGCTCTCCTCCGTTTGTTTTATCACAGTCTCCATCTAAAACACACAATACAAACCTCTTACAATCCAGTTATATCACAATTAAAACTAAGATTGTAACATGTTCCTTTCAATGCATTTATTGAATGGTTATAGAAAAACAAAACATATTCTATTCAAACAAGGACATTAGTCCAGTCAAAATAGACAAAAATAAGTCGTAACTTAGCCAAAATTCGCATAGAGCTGAAAATTGCCAGAGACGTTAAATACATCATTATAAATGAAATACCAAAAATCCCCTTCGATCCTACTTCTGCAAAAAAATTTATTCAAGGTCAAAAGTATAAAATTAAGGTTTTACCATTTTCTCGAAAACAGTAAGTATTTTCGTGAAAATAGGTCAGACAACAGTTGTAGATCATACAATTCTCTACAATAATGGTCTAGTCATTTTTTCTCTTACAACTCACCAATCATGAGATATCGCTTTTTTAATCATCAGAAAATTCATATTTTAAGACGAAGAAATACTTAATTGTTGAAGTAGAAATAGACAATAATCTTATATAATGATGACATGTAGAAAATAAACAACCTATTCCACATTAAACATTAGCAATATTACTATTCTTTCAATTAATAGGATACGGTCTGATCAAACTTTCTTTATTACATTAGATCATGGAGTATACTTACTGGGGAAACCACGTTAAAAAAAATGCGCCAAGTACCTAGCCTCATAGGTTGTGCGGAAATGTGTGTCATTATGTCAAATATGAATTTTCTGACCTATTTTCACGATAATACTTACTGATTTCGAGAAAAATGGAAAAAACCTTAGTTTTATACTTTTGACCCTGAATAATTTTTTTTGCAGAAGTAGGATCGAAGGGGATTTTTGATATTCATTTATAATGATGTATTTAACGTCTATGGCAATTTTCAGCTCTATGCGAATTTTGGCTAAGTCAAATGTCTATTTTCACTGGACTATATTGTTATTTTAATGGATGAGTCTTGGATTGGATGCCTTTAAAAACAATGAAAAGTGAAAATAAGCTATAGTAGAATGAAACTCATTAGAAAAGGAGGGGAATATTATAAAATTAAAGGAAAAATAATTTACGGGCAATCTGAGGTCGGGAAGGGTATGGGGATAGGTATTTAAGGGTAAAAAATAGGTTTTCTCGATTTTCGGCAAAACTAAAAGTCCTACAGAAAAAAAATATATGGTTAAGTTGTAGGTAATAAAAAGATCTAAAACTTTTGTACAAACATATTTTTCACATAACTTCAAATTTTACGTGAAAATTCGAAAAACAAGTTTTTCGTTTTTTATTTTTACCTCTTCCATAAACAATTTTTTGTAACGAAATTTGGTGAAAACTTTCCTTTTGATATTCCAAATACACTGTAATTTATTTGATAAGAAATATTTATTTTTTCAGCTTATTTTCAATAAATACCGAAAAATCAGCCTCATTTTCAATCTAAAAATCACCCGTCAAAATAACAGCTTTTTAAAAAAAAAATGGTATGTTTTCTATTTGTTGAAATCTCTATTTTCCGATGGTGAAGAAAAAATATAAGTTTTTTACTTGCAGTACCAATTTTGGCTAAAATAATCATGTCCCTTTTAATGAAATGACACTCGATATCGCTTGGAAAATGCTCCTTCAATTTATTTTTAATAGTTTTAGCAGCTTAATATTAATTTTCTGTAAATTACTTAACAGAAGGACTATCTAGAGAACTTTCAGAGTACACAACTATAAAAATAAATTAGAAAGAACATTTTCAAAACGATGTCGAGTGTCTTTTCGTTAAAGGAGACATGATTATTTTATCCAAAAATGGTACTGCAAGCAATAAACTATTATTTTCTTCACCATCGGAAAATAGAGATTTCAACAAATAGATAACATACCAAATTTTTGAAAAAGCTGATATTTAGACGGGTGATTTTTCGATTGAAAATGAGGCTGATTTTTCAATATTTATTCAAAATAAGGTGAAAAAATAAATATTTCTAATCAAATAAATTACAGTGTATTTGCTACATCAAAAGATAAGTTTCCACCAAATTTCGTGACAAAATATTGTTTTTTGGAAGAGATAAAAATATAAAACAAAAAACTTGGTTCTATGAATTTTTCACATAAATTTTGATATTATGTGAACAAAATGTATGTACAAAAGTTTAGAATCTTTTTATAACCTACAACTTTGTCATATAACTTTTTTCGTAAGACGTTTAGTTTTGCCGGAAATCGAGAAAACCCATATTTTACCCTTAAATACCCATTCCCATACCCTTCCTGACCTCAGATCACCCGTAAATTATTTTTTTTTAATTTTTATAATATTCCCCTCCTTTTCTAATGAGTTTCATTCTACTATAATTAAATTATGTTTTAAAAGCTATCGGCACTGGTCTTTTAGTCTTGTAAAATAATAAATTAATTATATAAGTAAAGAACTCAGCCTTAGTGACCACATTCATATGAAGTATAATGACCTTTACCAGTCCATGAAAACATTAAAAGAAAATCATTTTCTAACTGTATGATAGTCGACAACATTGTTATACATCACAAGACTCATGATACTTCTTTCAATTCAATAAACTAAGATGACTTTGTGAAGTTAAACTGACAAAAACATATTTTTAAAGTGAACCTGCACATATTAATGATAGACAGACAGTTCTTTGATAACAATATAACTTGTTTATACAAAACATTCTTATTTTAAAGTATGGTAAAAATAAAACAGGAATGTGAATGGTGATATTCAGATCCAGAAATAGTAAAACATTCAATAAAACATAAAGTGTGCGGACGAGGAACAACTACTGAACAAATAAACATTGAACAAGTAGCGCTCCTTACAATAGAACAAATAATAAACACCAGTTGGGACCTGTGACTCAGATAACATACACATTGTGTGCTTTTGTTAGACGACGATACAACACACTGGACATGCTCTATCATTTGGGTTTGTCTAAAAAATTATTATAACATTATATTATTAAAATTTATACAAAAAAAATTCTTGTCAAAATTAAATATATATCTTACTTTATTCACAATAATTAACATATTGTGTTATATGAGTTTGGCTGTAAATATTTTTCATGTTATATCACTTTTAGTCTCAGTAGAGTGTTACTAGACATAATCCTCGTATGTTATATCTTTAAAATGCTGCACTCTCTAACATTCATATATATGTTAGAGTGTTCATATGATACTATATTAATGGTCGCACAGTGTCTACTCACAGCGTTAATGTCAGCATGTATCTGCCGTAGTTCCTCCACGTGGCTCATCTTCTCCTGCTGCAGCAGTTCCATCTCCCGCTTGTACTGCGCCAGACAGCGACCCTCCTGGTCGCCTGACCGCACCTCGTTCAATATACTACGCTTCAATCGCTCCAGAGTTATGGTTTTATTTCTAAAAATAAATATCTCCATTCAGTCTCCTTTATTACTCGAGAGCAATAATTTTTATTATATTATTAGATTGTTTCGTTTGATATTGTTTCGTCTAAAACCTTTTTTTCACATAAGGAATGTTTTATCAAAATCAGTGATATATGTGAGAAAATAAGATCTACTAATTAATAAAGTAACCTTTAATGCTATTAAAAAAATACTCTCTGTTATCTTTTATAATAATATATTTTATAAGTAAAAATAACAAATATTGATGTCAAGTGTTTATTGATCGAGTCTACAGGTATGAAAACATTTTAAGCAATATATACTAAAAAGCTCACCGAATCTCCTTCATGGCCTCTAATTTATGATATATTTCCCTTTCGTTCTCTGCGGTCATGTTTAGCAAAGCGAAAATAACTTCCCTATGAAAAGGAAAATGAAAATATAACGCGGCACACTCGTATGACTAAGACATCAGATTATGATATTGAAATATAAGAATTAGTAAAAAGTGGTAACTAGTGAGGGACTAGACACAGGTTACACTTAATAGTATAATCTGTTTCGATTACATTTTACATTAAATAAATCAGAATTCACATACGATGAGAAGCAAATTGTTATAATCGATTATACATCGACATCCGTTGGTATACACTCTGTATTATGAAAACTTATATCTTAACGTTTAATTTATTCAGCGAGCAAAAATTAGTACTTTATCGATCAAGTGTTGTGTATAATATCACCTAACATATATTTTCATATTTAATAAAAACGAGCTAAAATTGTAGTCTTTACATGTTTTAGTCAGTTTTTATCTGTTATGTAGATAATGCTTTCAATAATTAAGAGCGACGAATCTGTGATCTGTCGGAATGAAAATGGCGGAATGACCATTGAGAGCGGCTTGCTGTCAAAATATAAAAATACTTTTTATTATCGCGTATGTTACATTTGTATGTAATTGAACAACTAACATACATATATTATTATGAAAAAACTGAATGATTACTATAGCATTCTCCATAGATGTCGTAAAAGCTAATACGCAAAGGTCATTTACACCTTTGCGGACTGCTTCGTGTCGCGCGTATTAAGACATTTCTTGTACGCTGTGTTTACGAAGAAGATGAGTGAGGAAGGTGGTGATGAGTCGCCGGTTTGGCTGAAACGAAAGATTAAGAAAGTCGTGGTGCTCTCGGCAACATCAGATTCTGATAGCGATGAGAGCGTTGGCGTGGCGGGGACACGTAGAAAAAGATTGAGGGTAAATGTCTCCTCTTGTAACTATTTCGTGCAGTTTGAAAAGTCGTATAGGACTTAACATACTGGTGGTGATAATTTTCAGGTCATCAGCGATGGGGAGGCAAGCGACAGTAGCGGGAGCTCCGTCGTTTGCGCGGGCAGTCGGCGGAGGCGCATACTTCCTAAGCTACGAGACTCAGACGCTGAAAGTGATAGCTCCGACTGGGCAACAGATCGATCAAATCCACCAAAAACGAATGTTTCCACAAACAAAACAAATTCCGGTTTCGCCTCCGACAGCTCCGAAGGGAACTCTGACAAGTGTTCTATCTGTTTAATGCGGTTTACAAATCAAGAGATCGGCACGCCCGAGATATGTGAACACATATTCTGTTTGGATTGTATCACAGAATGGTCCAAAAACGTAAACACCTGCCCCGTAGATAGGCTAACATTTAATTCTATAATTGTGCGAACATGTATTGGAGGGAGGGTGCTGCGAACAGAGACTGTGAGGACGGTGCAGCGCAGCTCCTCTGTGGAGGCACTCGTTGTGGAGGACCCTACTATATGTGAAGTGAGTTGGATGTCATCTATATGTCACATCTGACAATAGTAGCATTCCTAGGGAACAGAATCCCAACAATAAGTTTTGGTAATTAATAAACAAAAGCACTAATACTTATTACTTGTAGTACAGAAAACTTGTATATCTTAGGAGTAGGTTTTTAAAGTGAATCTTGTGACTTATGTGTGCGTTATATTGTTTTGTACTCAATATAAAGGTTTCATAATGATTTACATACTTAAAATTGTGTATGTTTTGGAACAAATTGCATAATATTAATCATCATGTTCTTATAGTTTTGTTAATGATAATAATTTTTCACAGAGCCTTTGTTTTTTTTTGCAGATTTGTAGAAGCATGGAAAGTGAGGAGACGATGCTGCTCTGTGATGGCTGCGATCTCGGCTTCCATATGCACTGTTTAAGTCCCCCTCTGTTGGAGGTCACTATTTGTTTGAGTTATATTGGGGTGTAAGTTGGAACATTAGATTGATTGTAAGTGTTGTGTTACAGGTGCCGGCCGACCAGTGGCTGTGTCCAAACTGTTTTGTTGATATTGATAATGACCAGGAGCTGATGGACGCCATCAACCTGTCTGAGGTGGAAGACTTGTTTGATGGGATCATTGAGTTCGACCTGCCCACCGGGCCCAGGCCTACACCCTTGAGGCAGCCAAGGAATGTGAGGAGGTCATCGAGAAATGTGAGATCAGGAGAACAACCTTCTACATCCAGTGGCAGCCACACTAACAATGGAAACGAACTGCCGACAACCTCACAGGCAACCAGGAGTACATTGAGAACAACGACCCGCTCCATCAACAGAAGACCAACGACCACCCGCAGACGGAAATATAAAAGAAGACGAACTAAGACTGTCATTATAGAGTATGAAGTACAAGAAAATGGAAAGTTCCCCATCACAAGGAAAATCAAACGAAGAGTTAAAAAAAGAAGGGTGAGGATTTACTATGATAAAAACTGTTAATTCATCGGCCCTTCGTGAATTGAAGCGTCAGTGGTGACCTAGGGATTAAAGGCCCGCCTCTCGTGTACGAGGGTGCGGGTTCGATCCTAGCAAGTACCAATTATAAGTTCCAACCTGTCTTGAGCAAGTGTGGTGATTAATGCTCAAACCTTCTCCATAAGAAAGTGGCCTTTGCTCAACAGTGGGCTCTGATAGGCTGATGACGAATTGAAACGTAGAAATGAATTAAATGTAAATAATAATGAAAAACTTTACAAGGTATAATTTTTCAATATTTTAGGTAAAAAAACGTCAACCTCGTACTGCGGCTCGTAGGTCGTATGTACGTGCGAGCGTCCAGGCCAAGCTCGCGTCCCAACGAACTCAGAGACAGGAAGTGTCATCGGTGACGCTCGCCAGCCGCGGGGTCAAGGACCTCACCGTCCACAGACACAGGGCCGGTATACCGTCTCTGAGTCTGCTGGGCAACCCTAATGAACTGGATTATTTCTCCGATGAGGACAACACCGTCTCGGAGGACGCCTCCACGGCCGTCGCAGTCAGACCCTCCTCCAATATCTTCAGTGCTTACAGACAGGTGAGTGCTTGATAAATCTCTCACAAAAATATAAGATCCATACAAGGATTATACAGGGTGACTGGTGAATTACTATCGATATTTGAGGACGTCATATTTGACGATCATATATGACAAAATAAAAATTAATATAACATAAATATTAATAAACTTCTAAGTAAAGTTAACCAAAAGTTATGTAATTAATTACGCATCGTATGCACACCCTACAGATTAGGTGTACACACATACGCGCGCGGCGGCGTAGTGTTGTATCAGCACGCCGCCGCGCGCGTCCACACTTGGAACACTTGGAACGTGTCAACACTTTTTTTATTTATACGGAAATTTTGTCAAAAATTAAGTGCCTATTTTTTTTACATAATTCGAATGAGAATCATGTACCGAGTATTCTCCTTAAATATTGATAGTAATTCACCAGTCACCCTGTATAGAGAATCTCATAGTTTATCGAAAATGTCATAAAGTTCGGACTACTATCACCATATTTGTAGATATGTGTATTAAAATGAAATATTTAAATTTTTAGGCGAGAAGGAAAATCGTGTCGGTTCCGTCTCCCCCGCACGCGTCCTCGGCGCCGGACCTCCTGTCTAACATCTTGGAGAGTCAGACTTTACTGCACTCGAAGAACTCCTTAGTGTCGATAACAGTAGACGGAAACATCAATATAAAGCTGCAGACGAAGAAACAGAGCCAGCAGAAGAAGACTGACACAGAAACGAAAGAAGACGACAAGCTGGACCTGTCCAAGGCCAAGGAGGCTGTGAAGTGTGCGCCCTCCTACCCGGGGCAGGGGCGCGGCGGAGGAGGATGGGGCGGGGGAGGGGGCTACCGGGGCGGATACGGAAGAGACACGCATCACGCTAACGGAGGGTTCAACCGAGGAGGATACGACGCTGGATACGGAGCACCAGGCTACCAGGGACGGGCCGCGGGCTACGGCGGGTACCAGAACAGCGGCATGAGGCGAGACGAGCCCGACTACTACGAGCCCTTCCCCCGCAGGCCGCAACAGTTCACCAACGCCGATGACTCCTACTACGACCGAGCTCGAAGGCCGGTCATGGACAACGGACGAGGAGGCTTCTCCAACCATCACAGAAGTGACGGTGGCCGATACAGCGGCGCGCCCGGCTGGCCCTCCGCGCCCGCCCCGCCCGGACCCTCCGCCGGCCCGCCGCCGCACGCGAGACACTCGTTCGGAGGCTTCGAGAACCCCGTCGACATGAGGATGACCGATAGACAGATGCCGCAGTCGAATCCTACCGTCGATATGTTCTCTGGCATCGTTCCTCACCAGGACAAGCCTCAGCCTCCCTCCTACCGGCCGCACGCGGAGCCGCCTGCCTTCCGATCTTCTCCGGAGCCGCATCCCTTCCAATCACCGTCACAGCAACAGAGTTTCGGTTATCAGAAAACATCGGAAGTGGAGAAGTCGGAGGACGAGAGGAGCGACCCCGGACTCATCATCGACACGGAGAAGTACGACCCCACCGAGCCCACGCGCGACGAGGACAGCGGGGAGGAGGACAAGACGGCGCTCGGCTCACACGCACCACATGCACCACCCGCACCACCCGCTCCACAAGTACCACCCGCTCCGCCCTCGCCTCAACACAAGTCATACGAGCCGCAGTCGACGGCCGATGAGAGCGTGCAGAACATACTGGCGGGTATCGACCCCGGTACCATGAACGTGCCGCCCAGCGTGTTGGACAGCGCGCTCCGCCAGGTGCTCAAGGAACACCGGAACCTCATCTCGTCTCCCGGACTGAACACGAACAGAGACGGAAGCGAGGACGAGTCGGACGGCGAATGTCCAAACTTTTCGATTTATTCAGCCGCGAGTGTTCACATCGCGAACTACGTCAACGACCTGCCTGACGAGCCGCCGCCGGAGCCCCGACCTACCGAGGGGCTGGAGGACCTGGTGCAGGAGGACGACGACACGCCGCCACACACCTCGCCCGCTCACAACAAGGACGCTGAGGACAAAAAGGGGGATGTGGGACGGACGCACGGCAACAATGAAAAGAGAAAGTCCGAGGAGGAATATAAAGAAAAGGTATCCAAACGATGTCCGATCACTACGAACACTAGAAACCCTATCAAAATAAAACTTAACACGCCATCCTTGATAAAGAGGCAGGTGAGCTTATATGACGAAGAAGACGCGAGCCAGGATGCCGGGCTGGAGGAGAAGTTAGACGTGAACACTAAAACGAATGAAAACAAATTAAATGTAAAACATGACAGTCCGAAGAAAGAACATCTCGATACAACACTTGTTAAAAATAAAGAAACTACATTGAGCGAAGAAGACTCACAACCGAGTGAACGAGTCCAAGAATTAAAGCAGAGTTGTAAACGTAAAAGTTTCGAAGAAACTAGTAGTACGCCTTCAAAAGAGATTAAAGAAAACGACGGATCACGAGTTACAAACAAAGAAAGAAAACAGAGTCCGTCGAAAAGTAACAAGGAGAGTCATGATAATAATATTGATGAGGTCGCTAAACATGGTGATGATACTTCAGGCAGCGAAATAAAAAGAGAGTGTAAAGTAGATCATTCATCAGACGTAGAACCTAACAAAGATACTAGAATTAGTAATGAAAACGATCATAAACTTGACGACAATGTAGAAAAAATGACAGAGTCTATAAGCGAGACGGAAGACGAACGCAGCTACACGCCATGCCTAGATGAAAATAAATCTAACAAGGACGCCTCCTTCGACAACGACAGAGACAAAGGACTAGAAGGACTCGAAACTGAGATGATATCAGAAGACGAGGGAAACGAGATGTTCTCCGAGAACGAACGGGCGCCCTCTAATGGATCAGGAGCCTCACCTGTAAGGACGAGGACTGAAGAGGGACAGGCTCACGAGAAGAAAGAGGCCAGCAAGAAGACCACGGCGCGAGAAGAAAACGTCAAGAAGAAGAAGAAGAAGGACTCGAAGAAAGAAACTAAAGACAAGGACAAGGGGAAAAATAAAAAGAAAACAGAAATAACCTTTAAGAAACTTAGCAAAAGTGGCAAAGAAAGAAATTACAGAGAGAGAGATAGAGATAAGGGAGAAAAGAAGTCGGGAAGAGATCGGCGGGACTCCGGAGACAACGACGTGCGGCAACGACGACGGAAAGAGAAACGGAAAGACTTGCAGAGATACGATGTGCGCTCGCTCGTGACCGAGAAGAGGCGGAAGCTCAAGGATCCTTTCGGACGAGACGTGTCACCGAGGGAGCGCTCGCCCTCGCTGTCCCCGCCCGAGCGGTCCCCCTCCCCCGCCGGCCGCAGGGACCTGTCTCCTCGCCGCACGCCCACTCGTCTCCGTCGAGATCCCTCGCCCGTCCCCGCGTCCCGCTCGCGCCGCTCACCCTCAAGAGTTCGTCGTTCTCACTCCCGGATCCGCAGGTCATCGTCCAAGACTCGTCGGTCACATTCACGTCCTCGTAGATCATTCTCCAGAGGTCGAAAGTCACCTTCCAGACCTCGGGCTTCACCCTTGCGGTTGAAGCGCTCCGTGTCCAGAGGACGACGCTCGCCGAGCGCACCGCGTCAGGCGGCCTCGAGAAGTCGGAGATCACCTAATCTCCGGAAGTCCCCCTCTCGACGCAACAGCGTCATCCGCGGACGTACCTCATCCCGCGGACGAACGTCACCAGGCCGCGGTCGCCGATCTGCCGCCCGACGCTCCCCCAGCCCGCGTGTGGGGTCCCGCCGCAGCCCCGCGCGCAGTCCCGCTCGTAGCCCCATACGTCGCAAACGACGACGCTCCAGCTCCCGACCAGCCCGCCGTCGATCTGCAACCGGTAGTCCGCCCCGACGTACCGTCAAGAAGAAGAAGCGAGAAAGATCGACTCGCCGAGTTCCGCCGGCCGCTTCCCCTGAGCGGAAACGACGACGAAGCGAGAGCGCTCGGCCGGCGCCGGCGCCACCCTCCCCGGCTTCCCGCCCGCCCTCTCCTCGCACGCCTTCACCTGAGCCCGCGCCGTCGCCTCTCCCGCTCGAAGAGGTCCCGGAACGTCCCGAACGAAGACGTCGAGACCCGGAGAGACACCGCAGGAGACTCCGGGACGCGCCCGGGCCTTCTAAGGAAGTGTTCACGTCCGGCGATAACATCCTCGTGAGCGTCAGCTTTAAAGAGCAGGAACGAGGAGAGGAGAGCGAGCGACGGAGACGGAGGGAAACGCGCCGCGAGAGGAGGCGGAGGAGACGAGCGGCCGTCCCGCCCGAGGTGGAGGTGGCCAAGCCCGTGGCTATCATAGACCTCGACCGCTCGCCCTTCCGGGAACTGACTCCGTCGCCGAAGAACGTGATCGTGCTGAGCGACAGCGACCACGGCGAGCGAGAGGCGGGGGAGGAGAAGCCGCCCGTGGAGGAGGTTCCCGCCGAGGCGCCCACGCTCGGCCCCAAGACACCGCCGGAGCCCCTCGCCCCCGAGCCCGCCGCCGCCGCTCCTCCCGAGCGCGAGCACACGCCACCCGAGGCGGAGCCCCACTCGCCGGACGCGTACGATCCCTTCGAGCCGACGCGCTCGGCCTCCGCGTCCCCCGGCTCGGGCGCGTCGGCCGCTTCCGCCGCGTCCCCGGCGCCGGCGGCGGCGCCCTCCCCTCCCCGCACCCTCATCACACTGGAGGCCGCGCAGCGGAGCAACCTGTCGGCGGATGAAGTGATCGATCGCCGCCCACTGTCACCAGTCGAGAAGGTCATGGCGCTGTTACAATCCACTCGTGACGAGAGCCCGGAGCCTCCGCCGGGCGCTCCGGAGCCTCCGCCCGCGCCCCGCATCGTGCTGCCGTCTCCGACGCGGGTCCCTCCCAAGCTGTTCCCGGGCAAGCCGTCCCCAATCAAGTCCAACCCGGTGAAGCCGATGCAGGTGTCCCGCCTGCCGCGCCCCCCTCCCCCCTCCCTGCTGCCCGACGCAGGCTCTTCCCCCTACTCGCCGGGCTCGAGCGACTTCGGTGAGCTGTTCGAGCCGCCGACTCGCCGCCCGCGGACCGCTCCCAGACACGAGCGGAAGAGAGGTGAGTTATCTGATTGATGTCCGACGGGACGCTGACAAAACTTCGAGTAACATGATTCAAATAAAATATATCTTTGTTTAGGAAAAACGCAAGTCGACGTCAGAATAGACGACGACAACCTCATGATCCTGGACGAACTGCCGAGCTCTGCCGTCGCGATGCAAGTCAAGAGCAAAGTGAGTCACGTGAAGCCGTTATCAGATTATCGAAAACAATAACATATTAATTATTAACTCCGTGCCCAATAATACAACAAACCGCAGATATAAAGCTCCAAGTTTTGCAGTAAAAACTGCTTTCGCAGCTCGGTTTTCTCCTTTTCTCTTCCCCTATATTTACAATAAAATTAATATGATTTGCGACCTCAGAAACCTGTCATACAGAGAAGTAAAAATAATAAATTGGTCTTACGATGACTCTGAACACTTTTTAAAAATAGTGAAATAAAGTAATAAAAATAAAGCAATGGTAAGCCTGCTTTCGTTTTTGGATAAAGTAAGAGACCCAGACACACACACACACACACAGACAGACACACACACACACACACACACACACACACACACACACACACACACACACACACACACACACACACACACACACACACACACACACACACACACACACACACACACACACACACACACACACACACACACACACACACACACACACACACACACACACACACAAACAAACCAACACACACACACAAACTCTCATTTTGTTTATTCAGTTTTCCTTATATAAAACGTTGTAATATCATAAAGATTTCTTATTTCATATTTTTAAATGTTAACAACTTTTAGTACAGTACCACTCTCTATGTGATTGTTATTTACTATTTTTTTTAACGATGTCCACGATACAGGCCTAGCCTAGTGTGGACGTCAACGTTTTATTGTATATTGCATTGTAAAGTTTTTACATATGTATAATTGAAATAAATAAAAAAATATAACATGTGTATAAAATATGTTTAATATCTCATAGAAATTGTTTTTCATGAGATTCACGCGCTCCAAACTAAGATGTCGATGTGTTGTTTGTGTTTTCAGTACCTGAAGAAGTTAAACCGTCAGGAGCGCGTGGTGGAGGAGGTGAAGCTGGTGCTGAAGCCGCACTACAACAAGAAGAGGGTCACCAAGGAGGAGTACAAGGACATCCTGCGGCGAGCCGTGCCCAAGGTCCGCACGCACACACACATACACACGCACACACACATACACACGCACACACACATACACACGCACACACACATACACACGCACACACACATACACACGCACACACACATACACACGCACATACACACGCACACACACATACACACGCACACACACATACACACGCACACACACACACGTCACACTAGTCGTAGTCGAGTATTCTGTGACAGTAACGTGAGCGTCGGTTCTGGTTCCAGATCTGCCACAACAAGTCCGGAGAGATCAACCCCACCAAGATCCAGGCGCTGGTGGAGGCCTACGTCAAGAAGTTCAGAAAAAAACACAAACTGGGAGTCGTCTAGTGATGTGATACTCTAGTGTAGTGCAGATGATCTATCAGATTATTGTAATTATAATTTATGTACGGACATTTATTTTACTTAACGTTTTATTTAAATATTATAGATTTAAATAAACAATCAACATTGAATCATTTCTATTCTCGCTTCCGTTCTTAGTGTGGGGACTTAGGTGTGAGGTGTCGGTACAGTAACAACACGGTCTGGTGTGAAAGTTTTTATTAGTCAAGTGCAAAACGACATCTCGTCGTGACTATCACTAAAGAGAGCGGCGTCGCCTCGACGACTGACAGCATTGTTTTTACAAATCTTATCGATCTTGGGTAGTCGGCATCGAGCGATATAATAATAATATGCAAAAAAACGAAAATAAACTTTAACATCTACAAGTATTACACTTTTTAAATATATGCGACTAAATCGACACTAAAATATACATTCTACAATAATAATAAAGTCATCTAAGTATAAACAAATCATGAATGTTCGTGTTCGGTCGCCTAGCGTCTAGAGGGCGGGCGCGAAGCCGATGCGTTTGTTGGCGACGTCGAACTCTGTATAGTAGCGACCGATGAACACGTCTCCCAGGATCCACAGCGGGCCGGCGGGCGGAGGGATGTCCAGCCCCATGAAGCCCGACAGACACACCGTCTTACCGAACTGAGACACCTACACACACACAACAACCGACGGATTAGCATCATATACTATGTACATGATATATAGACCAGTGCAGATGCCTTTAAAAATAATGAAAAGTGAAAACAAATTATAGAAGAATGAACCTCTTTAGAAAAGAAGGGGAATATTATAAAAATTAAAGGATAAATAATTTACGGGCGATCTGAGGTCGGGAAGGGTATGGGGATGGGTATTTAAGGGTAAAATATGGGTTTTATCGATTTCCGGAAAAACAAAGTCCAACAGAAAAAAATATATGGCAAAGTTGTAGGTAATAAAAAGATCTAAAACTTTTGTACTAACATTTTTTTAACATAACCTCACATTTTATGTGAAAAATTCGAAAAACCAAGTTTTTGATTTTTTATTTTTATCTCTTCCAAAAAACAATTTTTTGTTACGAAATATGGTTTTAACTTTTCTTTTGATATTCCAAATACACTGTAATTTATTTGATAAGACATATTTATTTTTTCAGCTTATTTTCAATAAATATCGAAAAATCAGCCTCATTTTCAATCGAAAAATCACCCGTCAAAATATCAGCTTTTTAAAAAAATTTGTATGTTTTCTATTTGTTGAAATCTCTTTTTTCCGATGGGGAAGAAAAAAATATAAGTTTTTTACTTGCAGTACCAATTTTGGGTAAAATAATCATGTCCCTTTTAATGAAATGACACTCGACATCGTTTTGAAAATGCTCTTTCTAATTTATTTTTTAATGATTGTGTCCTCTGGAAGTTCTAAAGATAGTCTCTCTTTTAGGTAATTTACAGAAAATTGACATTAAGCTGCTAAAACTATTAAAAATAAATTGAAAGAGCATTTTCAAAACGATGTCGAGTGTCATTTTATTAAAAGAGACATGATTATTTTATCCAAAAATCGTACTGTAAGTAAGAATCATGTGAATAAAAATTTTGTACAAAAGTTTTAGATCTTTTTTATTACCTACAACTTTACCATATAATTTTTTTTTTGTAGGTCTTTTAGTTTTGCCGGAAATCGAGAAAACCCATTTTTTACCCTTAAATACCCATCCCCATACCCTTCCCGACCTCAGATCGCCCGTAAATTATTTTTCCTTTAATTTTTATAATATTCCCCTCCTTTTCTGATGAGTTTCAATCTACTATAATTTAATTATGTTTTAAAAGCTATCGGCACTGGTCTAATATACAAAGGAATTGATACGGGTCGAGGTGGTACTGACCCGGAGCACGTAGTCGGAGCCCTCGAGAGTGAACTGCTGGTTGGCGATGGTGAAGGTGACGGGCGGCAGGTGGGGGATGAGGGAGCAGTCCAGGGCGAACTGACCGAACGCCATCGGGGTCGCGCCGATCTTGGCATTCAGGGCTGCCACCTCGTCCACTGGGCCGCCTATCAGGGAGGTGCCCGTGTCCGCGATGGCCTGGCAACCCTGATGAGAGAGGACGTTCAGAGACAGATTCACAAATGATGAAATGATTATCAGCTTATATGAAGACTCACTCGTTTGCAGAAGCTGGATCCGTTGACGAGGACGCCGTCCATTTTGAATTGCCAGTATGTGTCCTTGGAGAGCGGCACGTAGGTGAGCGGCCCGCGGTAGTGAGCGGGGTCCGAGCCGCCCAGCACCAGCTCACCGCCCTGCGCAGCTGACGCGTCCCTAACACACGGACCTTGTGTATTAACATCTGATACAACTCAATCAACCGAACGTATATCACGGCACCGAGACGGGAGACAAAGGATTTAAAAGCGCACATCGTAATGTATATAAAACATTAGTTACTAAAATCTTAAAAAGTATGTTACCTGTTGAGGTAGAAGCTGAAGACGGGCGCCACCAGGCCTTGCTTCACCATGTTGTCGAACACCGGCGTCACCCCGTCCACGGCGATACTACACGAGTAACACACATAAAAATAAATAGCTCGAATTTAATTGCAAACATTCACATTCTGACACAAATAGTTTAAAGTGTTAACAAAGAATGTTACATATTTTTAGAATGTTGTGTATATTTAGAATGTTATATATTTTTAGAATGTCATAAATTTTTATCACCTGGCGAAGGCCATGCCAAGAATGCCATCAAACTTGGCGGCCACGAACGCCAGCCCCGGCTCCGACATCGCCTCTGCGAACGTCTGCGACTTGACCGTCATTCCTCCCAGCTGACATATACATAGACATGTTATAATAAACGTACAACACTACATTGGTCAAACATTAACGGAATCCATGTTTACTCTAGATACGATCTCCATATAACATAAACTTATTAATTTAGATCATCTTTTACAAACAATGACTAACGACTTGATTCATTAAGGACGAGCTTTGTACTAACTGTGACGTCATCGACGGAGAGGAACCCTGACAGGGAACCGGAGCCGTAGTGGATGGAGAACTCCGTGCCGTTCTTGTGATAAGACTTGGACTTGCTGCTGTCATACTTATTGTGAAGAACTGACAAAAAATGGACTCACATTATACACTATCTGAGACTAAGGCATTCATTAAATTGTTAGCTAAAACAACACACACTATACTTAGCATATTACTTATTACAATAAACCCTTGGCAATATGACTCGGAAACCACTTACGACAAGCAATATTAGTGTAGTGGCATTTCTTGGACGGAACCCAGAGATTGGAGGAGCCAGTGTCAAACACTACCTTGAATGTCTGGGGAGGGTTCCCGATCGAAATGGGGCCATAATATTGAGCCTGGAACACACACAATGATAAAAATGATCACATACACTCACAAGCACAGTTATGATAAATATACAAACAGTTACAGGACTCAAACACAATATCATGTCTTTATATCATTATTAATAAATGAGTCATTTGATTTGTATTGGTTTAGTTAAAGTGGGTGTTGTCCTTATATGAGCTTTATTTATTTTAGCTGAAATAAAGTTCTGGTGTGTTTGACTGGATGAATTCACAAAACAAAAAACTATGCTTTTTGTATAAGAGGGAAGTTGTTATTAAAACAATGATTATGAAACTTCAAAACTTGACAATGTTTGCTCTGACAATTTAAAGTTCACTAAGCAAGTATATTAAAGTTGTATGACGAAGATCTCATCCAGTAAATGGACTGTAAAATTATAATTACAGTTTTTATTATAATATTGAGACACATTAAATCCTGTTATTCTACATATTTCGTAAGTTTAATACACATAATATTTATTAAGAAATGTTTACACATAGAAAACAAAACAATGAGTTCAAATCAGGCTTAAGAGTAAAATGGTCAGTGACACAGATAAGGTGAAGATAGAGGAAGGTTATCAATGTTGTTAAGACAACAAGCCCAGACAATAACACTTTAACAATCATATTTATTAGTAATTAACTGTTTAATTAGATTAAATTATGTCAATAAGGGTGACATTTATAGTGAAATAGTAACTAATAAACTTTTGGGAATAAAATTAACATATGAACTACATACATCTAAATAGTTGGAGAGAGGTTCAGGAGCGGGCCCACCGGTCGCATACTTGATGCGGGCCATGTGCAGCTCCGTGCCCACTTCATGGAAGTGTTCCCGGACGGTCTTCATGCGGTACAGCGGCACCCTGCACATAATAATTGATAAACTTGTTCTTTTATCGTCACCTCATCATTCCGTCAATAACACGCTATTTACCTCATAAGACTGGCTGCGCATGTTGCCGTCAGCGCCGTTAATAAAATAAAATATTTTCCAAACATATCTGCAAGTCACTTTGGACTCTGTAAGTAAAAATAAATTTGTTATTTTAAATAAGAATTAAATCGAAAATATGTAACAAATTTTACCAGTACGCACTACTAATAAAGAAATCGCCGTCTCCTAGTGGGTATGCGTATTCCAGACGTGGTATTGTAACTAAATACTGAATATATTACCGGCACTGCTACTTATACGATCGACAATTGTTTAATGTTTAGTAATTTCATTATTTGTGACAATCACTTTGACAATTGTCAAACGTAATGTAAAGATGTAAACACATTAAATATTATTCGTTTTGACATTAGCATGTAATGCGTAGTGTTCACATATGATACAGTCGCTAATAAGATAACAATTGCTAATGTAACTTCATAAGTATTTAAAGAATATTTTAATGTCACTAGCCTTAAGAGGCCAAGAAAAGAAAGTTGAATTAAAATTATATTTTAAATTGCATCTTAAATGAGAATTTAAAGATACTTCAATTGATCCTTTAAAATATCTGGTACACAGGAATTAGAAAAATTTGTATTTTAAATGATTAGGAGGAAATGGGCAAGTAAATAGCTGATTTTGTGCAAAATTATTATTGTTGGTATCGTTAATGACGCATAGATTTCGTAAAAAATTACAGAAGCGACCTCCACGACGCGAGCCAGTAGTATTACAATCTAATCATTACCACCTCAGAGTCTCTACTCAGTTCCTATGAACAGGGAGAGTATATGTAGTATAGGATTTCAGGGACATATTTATTTTCTTGTAGGTAACAGATATATTCTCGAAATGGAGAAGACACCACGACAACTAAACTCAAACCATTTATTTCTTTCATATAACAAAGAATACTAGATATCATTAAGAGCTTTGCCGAAGAAAGATAATGGCCTACTAGTTATTACTGTCATGCTAAAAATTGAACATTGCTTTCATCTCGTCTGTCTATGATCACGATTGTTGTAGAGAAACTGAATATTCGGGTAAAAATTAATAACGTATTATGTAAATTTTATCTATTTTGAATTAAAAATGTCTCGCAATTCTCTTAGAGTAAATAAATATATAATTAATATAATTGCAAAAAAACGTTAAAAGACTGGTGAAGAAAATTGGATTACTATGAAACTGAAAAAATAATGGAAATTGTGTAATTCTTATTTTTTGTTTGTATGTAATTTAGTACTTTAAGTTATTAATAGATCGCAGCAGTAAAAAAAAATTAACACGCAAGTAAAATTCTCAAAGCAATGCATATAACTTAAGTTAATAAAATATAATCAAGATCTGGACCAACAGTGTGTTTCATTTGCTAAACCCTGGAGTACTTATTACAAGCGTGGAGGTGTCTTGTAAAGAAATAATTATATAATTATTTAAAAACTGATGTAATTATTTAAAACAGTACAACTGACTATCATGCAAAATTAAAGGAAAAATAATTTAAGGGCGATATGAGGTCGGGAAGGGTATGGGGATGGGTATTGAAGGGTAAAATATGGGTTTTCTCGATTTCCAGCAAAACTGAAAGTCCTACGGAAAAATGTTTTATGGCAAAGTTGTAGGTAATAAAAAGATCTAAAACTTTTGTACTAACATTTTTTCACATAACCTTAAAATTTATGTGAAAATTCTAAAAACCAAGTTTTTGGTTTTTTATTTTTACTTATCTCTTGCAAAAAACAATATTTTGTCAAGAAATTTTATGAATACTTTTCTTTTAATGTTACAAATACAGTGTAACTTTTTTGATTATAAATATATATGTATTGTTTCAGCTTATTTTGAATAAATATCGATAAATCAGCCTCATTTTCAATCGAAAAATCACCCGTCAAAATATCAGCTTTTTTCAAAAATTTGGTGTGTTTTCTGTTCGTTGAAATCTCTATTTTCCGATGGTGAAGAAAAAATATAATTTTCGTACTTACAGTACCATTTTTGAATAAAATAATCATGTCCCTTTTAATGAAATTACACTCGATATCGTTTGGAAAATGCTCTTTTTATTTATTTTTAATAGTTTTAGCAGCTTAATGTATTCTGTATTCTGTAAATTAACTAAAAGTGGGACTAACTGAAGAAATTCCAAAGCACAAAACTAATAAAAATAAATTGAAAGAGCATTTTCAAAACGATGTCGAGTGTCATTTCATTAAAATAGACATGATTATTTTATCCAAAAATGGTACTGTAAGTAAGAAACTTATATCTTTTTCTTCACCATCGGAAAATAGAGATTTCAACGAACAGAAAACACACCAAATTTTTGAAAAAAGCTGATATTTTGACGGGTGATTTTTTGATTGAAAATGAGGCTGATTTATCGATATTTATTCAAAATAAGCTGAAACAATACATATATATTTATAATCAAAAAAGTTACACTGTATTTGTAACATTAAAAGAAAAGTATTCATAAAATTTCGTGACAAAATATTGTTTTTTGCAAGAGATAAAAATAAAAAACCAAAAACTGGGTTTTTCGAATTTTTCAGATAAAATTTGAGGTTATGTGAAAAAAATGTAATGACAAAAGTTTTAGATCTTTTTATTACCTACAACTTTGCCATATAATTTTTTTCTGTAGGTCTTTTAGTTTTGCCGGAAATCGAGAAAACCCATTTTTTACCCTTGAATACCCATCTCCATACCCTGCCCGACCTCAGATCGCCCGTAAATTATTTTTCCTTTAATTTTTATAATATTCCCCTCCTTTTCTAATGAGTTTCAATCTACTATAATTTATTTTCACTTTTCATTAATTTTAAAGGCTTCTGCACTGACCTATTTGGTGAGTGTACACGGATAGTGTAGGTGTGATGTCAAATTTTTGAATGTCACATTCTTTTCTAGTTTTGAACCGGTTTATTCTGTTTTTACTCCGCCCCGCACCTTCCGCACTTCACCTTTTGTACTGGTAGCAATATCAAATGTTGAAAACGCAATGTCAAGTGAATAAGAATTTGTATAGTTTTTTCAAAATTCTTATTAATCAATAATTTTTTTCACAATATTCATAATATTTCTATCTGAACTTTTACAAGTTTTGCTTATTTTATAGCACTTATGTTATGTATCTATTTAAAATATAATAAAATTGAATTCTAAAAGTTTTTTGTCTAACACTTCTTTTACTTTCACTCACACAAATGCAAAGCTCAGCTTAAGTCTAACCAACTATACCTGTTTAAACGATTCATAATTTGTATACCTAATAATGTTATCTTTTCACTGTGTTTACCTTGATGTACTTGATTCCGTTTGTGGAAGAGCGGGGACTCCTAACACAAGTTAATTCCATTACCTACTTAAAAGGAGCTCCCCAGCTGTATCTGTTGTATCTAGGTATAAGTTACAGGAATAAACAAATTTTATTATTAAATATCCTAAATCGTTTTTGAAATTCGGAACGAACCACAGCGAATTTACTAAGCTTTCTCGAATTGCAAAGATTTTCACCATAATACATAATGCGTTCATATGATGACAGTTTTTATAGGTAACTTGGTAGATGTATATCCTAATTATTATAAGTATACATAAAAAATGCTCTTGAGTATATAACCGATGAACGCACTAGTCCTGCAGCTGGATCTTAAACTATACATATGTGCTAACTCCGCTTACAGAGAAATCTTTATTTCCTCCCGGTCTCTTAAATATCTTGACTGTCGATACGAACTACGTGAAATGGTGGATCTTTCTATGTTACAAACAGAGGAGAGGAGGGACTAACCAACAGCCCATCACACAAACGTTTGCATGATAATACCAACGATTACTGAGATTCGGTTCTCATTCCACTGCGTTTTAATATTACAATATATTTAAGCAAAAATAAGAAAACACAATGGAAATTAATCTGATTAAGGCAAATTTTTAATCCAAAAGCAATAATCGAATTTTAATTTTAAAGATGTTTGTGTTAAGTACGTAGTACGTACTATAAGATAGTAGTGAGAACAATTCAATGGATCTGTAACTATTCAATTCAGAAGGGTCAGTCTTGTTTTGTTTTGGGACGATCTCCTATCGGAGAAAGTGTTAGAGGGTAAGGTATCTATTCATTATATCAATGACGTATTTAGAGTACTCCATAACACACTATACTTATAATAAGCAAATGTCAGCAGTCAGTCCGTCGGGTCCGGCTGCTCTTTTAGAATATATTCTCTTAAGTGCCTCCAGTCTCGCCTCAGACACATCCTCCATAAAGTTTGAGTAACCATGTATTTCGGAGTTGAAGGTTAGGTATAGGATTGAAAAATATCAGTTTAAAGGGTATAAGTTGAAGTAATATACAAGGTAGAGACATGATTATAAAACCTAATAATATCTCTATAACTTAACTAATATGGAACCAGCTTGTAGTCTCACAATAAAATACTGTTTTTATTCCGGTCGCCGTGAACAGGAGATAGTCAGTAGTGGCCTAGTGGTTAAAAGGTCCGCCTCTCGTTGCCGAGGGCGCGGGTTCAAGCCTGGCAAGTACCAATGTGATTTTTCGGAGTTATATGTACTTTCTGAGAGTATTTAGACACCACTGACATACGGTGAAGGAAAACATTGTGAGGAAACCTGGACTTATAGTTTCACAATTATAAGTTTGAAATCACCAACCCGTCTTGAGCAAGCGTGGTGATTAATGCTCAAACCTTCTCCAAGTGAGAAAGAGGCCTTTGCTCAGCAGAGGGCGTTGATAGGCTGATGACGACGAGCAGGAGAACAATCACCATCTTGAAAGGAAGATTTCTTTTCGCGCTATATATAAGTGCTAATTTACTTAGAACGGGATTTGAAGCTCAGTGTCATGTAGGTAACAAGTAAAATGGTTCTTTTTTCAAAATTGGATCAAAGAAGAAATGTGTCGAAAGCGCTGGAGCAGAAGTAAGTTTAATCGTATTTAATTGACGTAATTATTATCTTATTTGTAATTTATTTTGCACTTATTGCTAGCTGAACCCAATTAAATACATATTGACCTTTTATTTTTTGAAATAGAAGAATATCTTGCATGTTATATCACATGTTTTCTCTATACCCTGCTCAGGACATATACAGAGTATTGAGACAAGATAAAGCATTTAATATCCTATATGTAAGACATTAGCAGATATCAATGTTACAATGTTTTTTCTTTTTTTCATAATTAAAAGATGAAAATATATTGGATGCCTCCTATTTGACACTGATATTGTCTATGGAATTCAGATTCATGGAACTGGGATAATTAACAGGAAGAAATAATTAATTAATAATAATAATTAATTGTCAACCAATCAAAACTTAAAACAAGGGGTTGTCTGTTGATTTTGATACCAAATTTTTTATTTTTTTTTAGTTTGGATAGTTGTACTAACTTCATTGTAATCGGTTCAGAAAAAGACATTATTGTATAGAGTTAATTTTTGACTAACAATGTTAACTGGGGCTTGAAATATTTTTATTTCTGTGGAACAACAAAAAATTGTTTTTGAAACAATTTTGTGCTTTTATGAATATTATTTTAAGAAATTGGTAAGTTTTGTTAATATAGTAATTAAAATGTTTTATTCTTCCGTTTAAAAATAAACAATTTTTAAACAAAATTGACATAAAAAGTAATATCCTTTTATGTTATTTGAGTAGTACAACCCTATTACAATGACTTTGTCCAATACATAGGACGTAGAGAAAATAGAAATTTTCAAGACATAAATTTTTTTATAAAATTTTCCATGTATTCTTGGACCCTAAGTAGCAAACTGTAAAAAAAATTCAAAGAAATTCCATAAATCCAGCATTCTGTAGTCAGGAGGCTATACCGACGCAGATCCTTCATTAATGCGTTGTTTATAATATATCGTGATAAAAAAAAAAACATTAACACATTATATTTTATTAACAGGGAACCAGGTTATGATTGTATAGCGTATTTGATTTAAGCTGAGCTTTGCATTTGTGTGAGTTTACACGGATAGTGTAGGTGTGATGTCAAATTTTTGAATGTCACATTCTTTTCTAGTTTTGAACCAGTTTATTCTGCTTTCACTCCGCCCCGCACCTTCTTCACTTCATCCTTTGTACTGGTAGTAACGTCAAATGTTGAAAACGCAATGTCTATACTATTTGCGCTGTAGCTTGGTGCGGGTGACATTTGCCTATATGACGTTGATATCTGTCAGTACCATATGACTAGTGTTGTTGCGTAATTCATTTTTATCATTAACGATACTCGCAGTATAAATAATATAGTACTTATATAAAATAATTAAAATCGGGTATGAGTAATCTGATATGAGTTTAGACGAATAAAAACATTTTTATATAAGATCTGTTGTTTCATTAATATAATTATAGACTTTGTACAATAATAATTGAACTACAGCCAATATATGTATATTTTTTATTATAAAAAAAACATCGACTATCCACTGTAGCAGTACATCCCATCACTAAATACGTCTATGGCATTACGTTAAACGCATAATACTTTGCTTAATTTTTCTTTCCATTAGATTATATTTGTACACTAGAACATTCTGGTTTGGTTTAATTTAAACTACTTCAGTAATTAATTATTTAATTTATAACGAATGTGGTACAGCTGAAATACTAAGTCATAATTTGTAAATCGCGGCAACTTTCAAGAGTGAAACGAAACGATACTGAAACTGTCACCCGCACCATGCTACAGCGCAAATAGTATAGTAAAGAAAATTTGTATCGTTTTTACAAATTTTTTATTACTTAATAATTTTATGCCATAATATTTCCGTTTAGCCTTTTACAAGTATTGCTTATTTAATTTTTAATCTAGAAATTAGATCTAGCACTTATATTATGTATGTAGGTATTTAAAATATAATAAAATTGAATTCTTTAGGTTTTGTCTAACTCTACTTTTACTTTCACTCACACAAATGCAAAGCTCAGCTTAAGTCTAACGGACTATAGTCACCTACTTTTCGTCTCTTTCGTCTGGTCCCAAATAAAAAACCGCGACCCCTCGAGCCCCGGGTGTGAGCTCTGGACCTCTGGGTAAGCTCGGAGCTCGTTTGTCTCCATCCTGAGCCTCGTAAATTATCAGACCACAACCTCATGTTACTCGTTTCAATATTAGGTACCTAGTCCTATTATGTTGTTATATTCCTATACAGATCTGAAGGTCGTAAAGGCTATTTTTATTATTCTGGCGTTATTAAATCATTAAAATCATGAAATATGTGATTTCTGAATTATTTTTTATACAGATAAGACACCTGGAAAACTACTCTCATCTAGTTGGGGTAATAATAGAATACAAATATATAGGTACAGAGGAAGTGTTGTATGTGTGTATGTAGAAAGTCCGACACGATCACCATCAGCATCACCATCCGTTTCTTAATCTATAATAAATAAATTAAAACTATATTTATTTAAGACCATGTAATATACGAAGGGGACACCAGGAGTCGTCCGTCAGTGGTCCCTTGAAGTGTGTTCTCTCGCCAGAGGCTACATCATGACAGACTTGTCGAGTGAAACCATTTTGTGTATCGAGAATAAAGTTTATTTTATAAATCGAATAACAACTCTATTATAATTTGGCCTCCCTCACATCGCCGACCTACGTCCCCTCGTCCTTATAGCCTTATCATAGTCACATCGAAACATCAACTTATAAAAACTCGCGAAACTTCGAAATCGGAACCCTAATACTAGTTTGGGCCAGGAAAAATTGCACCATCGACTACCGACTAGGGCGGAGCGTCGCCCGCCTTAACCTAAGAGGTTCCGACGTCCAAGCTTGGCTTAAAGTGCACGCCTCATATTGGAAACAGAAGGCACAACACTTAGAGGTTTGTGCTTCACTAACACTAACACTACCGGATGAACCGAGCGGTGACCGGCGAGACTACTCCCAGTCGATCCTCATACAAAAAGTTATATAAATTTAGATCGAAATATAATATACTTCACTTACGTTAACAATTGTCAAAAAGGACGGTTCAAATTTAAACACAATACTAAAATAGAAAATACTTTGTTTTTATAATATATGATACAACGACGTAGAGATGTTCCACGTACAGCCGAGTGTACACACACACACACACGTCTTACTACTATATGTACAGACACGTGTAGTGTAGGAGCCCGCCGACTCACCGCCGCATGTATTTGGTGTGCTTCGCAAATGTCAAATAGTAAGAATAATCTACATATATTACAAATACCGATCAATTTAATATATTAAATATTTAAAAAAATGTAAAATAAATATGATTTTATGTATAACAATATTTTTTCGTCCAAAATAAACTCAACAATTCTTATTTTTTCTCTTTGTTATTTTTCTTCATGTATATTGAACGCTTTCGTTCCTCTATATCGTACAAATGATTATTTTTAATGATTATGCTCATTTCTCCTTATATGTTTTTTTTGTTATTTAAATTCCCGAAAATCTTTTTCTAAATCACAAATTATTTTCTTTACATTTAAAATGAAACTATAATTTATACATGTTACTTCTCGCTTCCATTGATCCATCCACGTCGTGTGATGTACTCACACTGAACACTTAAATTGTTTAAAATTCAAATCGAGAAGTAAGTCTGTAATTCAAAGTTTCATTTTGAACGTGTTCTCGGGAAAGTCTCAAATATCATGATCGTCTTTGTACATTATCATATATACACATTTATAAATATACTTTTTTCATCTTCTGGAAATATTCAAAATATAGGTTTCCAGGTCCCGTCACCGTCGCTCGTCCCTCTCAGTATACAGTGTGTGTGTGATATGTGTGTGTGGAGGGGCGTCACTACCGCGGCGGGGGAGGCTCCTCCACGGACGACAGGTACAGGCGCTCGTCACCACACAACACGCGCACACTGAACGAGTTGAGGGACAGCGGCGCGCCCGGCACGATCTCGATGGAGCCCGCGTTGGCCTGAGAACGGACACGGTCAGTATATATATATATATACACATACACAGGGGGGGGGGGTGTCATACACACCAGGAACAGCGCGGACAGGAACAGGCGGGACACGTCGTGCGGCTGGTCGGCGGCGGCCGCCAGCACCGCGTCGAAGGAGGCGGGCGAGGGCAGCGCGCCGGCCGCCTCCAGTACGGCCCGCGCGCCCGCCTTCACGTCCGCGCCGCGCGCCGCCGCCGCCGCGCTGCGGGACACCACCGCCTCGCGCCAGCTCCACCACTCGCAGCCGCTGCCCGGCAACGACTAGAACACGCGACCGTTATACAACTGACACACACCCGCTACTACACCAGGTCAGGTGAGTGAGTGTACCGAGAGCGTGGTGGCGCCGGTGTCGTCGGCGCGCGAGGTGTCGGAGTCTCCCAGCGAGCTCTGTTCAAAGAACCCGTCGTCGTCGCTGTCGTCGAGGCGGGCGCCGCTGGCCGCGCTGAGAGCCGCCGCCGCCGCCGCCGCCTCCGGCCCGCTCCAGCCCAGGAACCCTGCACAGACCAACGTCAGAACACTTGGCGCACACTCTGAAAATTAACAGACACACATGACGGAGCTCACTCACCTCCGACGTCCATAGAGTTCGTCACGTCAAAGCCACGGAATTCTGTAAAACAAATATGGTCTCTTGTAATCATATCTTAACGTGTTATGTTCCATCTCTCTTCCTTCTCTACATGTACAGTCAATCTGGGTAACTTTGATTCATCGGGTAACTTTGACAGCAGGACCATGAACTATACTCCAGCCAAATTCGATGTGGAATGTTTAATAACAAAGCGTTGCTTAACAACCAACGTCAGGCAGATGCTCAAAACATTTTTAGAAATATGAACAAAAATTATTTTTGATGTTAATGAAAATTAAAATAGATGATTAATAATAAAATATTTAAGACAAAGGACTAATTCTTTAGTTATAATTATAATACTTATGATCATCTGAAATAATGTAGATCTCAAAAATAATACCTCCAATTTTAAAATGATATCAGAAATTACCTCGTAGTTATATTATTCGCTTTATTAACTTTATGCATCGCCTCCCAAACGACAGGACTCATTTAAATTAAATTTTGTGTATGTTTAAATTTCGCTACAGATACAATCCCACTCGGACCAGTATTACTCATCATAATCTAATATAAACAATATTAGATAACAACAAACTTATAACAATAACGAATTTAAACAAAATCTAATAATTAATAACAAAACGGAACAGAACCAGAATCAAACACCCGCGAATTGTAAGCAAAGTTAACAACAAAACATTAAAATTAATTTAAATGTAATCGCAATAAAATTTATTAAATTTTTTATGAGATATATGTAATTTTATATATTTGTTTATTGGATCGCCAACAAAGTATACACAAATACAACCATTCAAATTATTACAATTGAGACGCTATGTGCTACCTCAGTTACAGGAAACCACTTCATGCTGAAATAGTAACAGAGTGCATGTAATCACAAGGTTAACATTTTGGTTTTAATACATTTTAGTTTAGATACAGTGCATGAAGAACAAACAACTAAAAAGTGAAATCTAAGCTTAATTAGTTAAACATTTTTTAATTGTTTTTTTGAATTCAAGAGACCTTCCCGAGAATATATCAATTTTAGTATTTTTAAAAAGAGAGTTAAACTTTAATGTCATTCTATTCAAAGGAGAATAATGAGCGAGATTACTTTTGCACGTTTTTTGTATTGAATGGAGTATACACGAGCCTTCTTGGGAGTTTAACTGGTGCATTAAAGTATAGTTTTGAAAGTAATTGCGGGCTGTCTATATCTTTATTTATAATTTTGAACAAAAATGTATGATCAAGTATTTCTCTTCTATTTTGTAGAGAATCAATGTTAAAGTATTTTAATCGGTCAATGTAATGAGGGTGTTTTAGTTATGTTACAACTACAAGACAGGTGCCACAAAAACCTCTTTTGAACCCGTTATATTCTTTTTATAACATGGATTCCAGACATTGCTACAGTATTCTAGCGTACTGCGCACTAAAGTATTATAAAGATAAATTTTACTTGACACCCTTTTAAAGTCCCTACCATTACGTAATATGAATCCTAGTGTTTTAAAGCTTTTATTAATTATGTGATCAATATGTAGGTGAAAGCGGAGCTTTGAGTCGAAGATTACTCCTAAGTCCCGAACACTGGTAACTTCCTCAAACTTTTTGTAAAAGTATAATAGTACACTAAATCAGATATATACAAAAATTCCGTGTCACGTGTTTGTCCGCGATGGACTCCTAAACCGATTTTAAATTTGATTTGCATTCCGTGTGCATTTTAATCTAACTTGAAACATAGGATAGCTTACATCTCAATTTATAGTCACAATATTATTTTATTGGAAATTATTTGTCTATTAAAGAAAATTATTTTACATTATTACAACTATTATTATCTGTTCACTGAGTTAAGTATTCAATAGATGGCGCTATGTTAAAAATACAAACGTCTTATATGAGCGACTATTTAATAATAGCCATAACAACCACGTATTAATAATTCTGAGGCTAAGGTATAACCTAAATTTATTTATTAAAAAACGTAACAGATATTTCTTGATTATACGGCGATACGAAGTTCGCTTGGTCTTCTAGTATAGTATAAAATATCTCCCTTATCTGTCAAAGTTACCCATATTGACTGTAATGAGTCCCCCCCTGTATGTCTGTCCGTGTACCTGTCTCCGCGTGTCCCCTCAGTCCCCGTCGCAGCTCCCTCACGGCGCCGGCCCGTCCCTCCACCACTCGCGACACCCAGTCCCGAGGCAGGGTGAACTCCTCCACACGACGCAACTTACCTCGCAACTCTGGAAACAAAACACACTTATTATTGATGACTGTTCTAAGAACGCCAAGGTAAAATTTTAAAATTATATACAGTATACAATATTCTTATTAAAGTTTAATTTACATAACATGTTAATCTAAAAATGACTGAGAAATAAATTTGTTATATAAATATATGTCTATCTTTTACTGTTTGCTCACAATAACACGTGAAACTCCCGATAGCTTAGCAATTCGGAGATATCTGATTGTATTTGTCTACTCTAACGTTTACAACACTATCACTCATCCCTAATTTAAAATATTAACATTATTACCTATTCAATAAAAAAAGAATCATGTAAATCGGTGTAGAAATCCACCAAAGGTATCTTCTTCTATCTATGCTTATACTAAATCTGTACAGCGATCAATTCTGTACATAAAATATGTTTAAAAAATAACTATCAGGGGGTAGTTAAGGATCGCTACTGATGCTAAAAATGCAATCAGCAAAATTTTTGTCTGTCTGTATATTTGTTATGGAATATAAAAACTACTGGACGGATTTTAATGAAATTTAGCACAATTATTCTTCATACTCTTGGGCAGGTTATAGTATACTTTTCATTACGCTACGATAAATAGAGCAGAAACCTAAACTGACAGGTAAAATGCGGTAAACACGCGACTGAGATTCTGCTCCATGTTTTTTAATAAAAATATTTTTTTAGACATACTAAAGAACTGTACCTGAAAACAGATTTGTAATAATAATTTATTAGTGTTTTCATATTTATACTGTCGCATGTCTGTTAGTCATTTAAACAAAATAAAATTAACTTCCCATGTGTTCACATTCGAAAAACAATATCTGAAGGCTTTTCCTATATCAGTACTGAGAATATAAGTTAAGAGAGGTCGCCTCATACGACTAAGGAAATATTACCTTTGCTGATAAGTAATTTAACTCGTCCTTCCACTATATCCTCCAGTTTGACTTCGCTCCGTCGCTTCCTCTCCTTCCTTTGAGGCAGAGGAGTCGAACATGAGTCAGGGGGGGGCGGCGGCGGGGACGGGGGCTGCTCCGGCGGGGGCGAGGGGGCCGCCGGCGGGGGGGAGGGCGGCGCGGGTGGAGGGGAGGGTGGCGCGGCGGCTTCCATGGCCGCACGCAGCTCCAGCAGCGGTGCCGGCCGCAGCCCCGGCGCGCCTCCCTCGGTACTAGCCAGCTCATCGACCAGCAGTCCGTTCTACAATAGTTTAAAAAAAATTATTGTTTAAATCAGTTTGTACAGCAATAGTTAGCAACAGGAATTTTGAAGTAGGTTTAACCTGTATCTCAAAATACCCGCTCCTCCTCCTGGATATACATATACCGAAACATATAATTTTAAAGTAACAGATATTTAACTTATTTTTAAGATTAAAAATGGAACTGGAAAACATTTTATATATGTGTGTGTGAGTGTGTGTGTATTAGTGTGGGTGTGTATTATATAATTTTATTTTTATACCTATTTACTTTTTTTTATTATTAATTGATATGAATATTTCTATTAATATCATTATTTCTTACGTTTGTACAGTTAACAATTCTTCAGTAGCATGATAGTCTAAAGCAGTGATTCCCAAAGTGGTCCAGGTGGACCCCCAGGGGTCCACGGGAGACTTGCTGGGGGTCTACGTAGGCGTGAACAAAAAATGGGGGTCCACGAAAATTTATCTGCTTTTGATAGTAAAGAGCAAAAATGTAAGCATAGTTTTTATAAGGGCCTACCTACATTGTTTTAAGTACCTAACTAAGCAGATAATATTTTAATAAGGCAAGCGACTGTTACTTGTCCAAACTTGCGTATTCGATATTACGTACAATTTCGTGTACAGACTTGCAAAGCGCTATCCGCCCGACAATGCTTAATGCTTGTTCAGACATGAACTTGATCACCACTATAAATACTTGATGCCAAAGGCAAACACTCATTCATTTGTTTCCAAAATTACTAAAATTTTATTTTACCTATCGGAATATAGAGACAGAACTCAGAAGTGACACAATTTTTATTTTTTGGCGAATTTAAGAATGTGGTAGAAATGTAGCAGCAGGGGGTCCACCGAAACCAATAAAATTTTGAAAGTGGTCCACGAGAAAAATAAGTTTGGGGACTACAGGTCTAAAGTATAAAGCCAATTAGTTAATGTTTGTTTACACTGATGATATTGTAGGTCATAAATGTTAATAATCCTATTTATTTTATTATAAAGGAAGGAAGACTGTTTGTTGTATTGTCTGTTAGCAAATTGTGTGTTGCAATGTTGTAAATTAATTACTGCATGATTTCGTCTTCTACTCTTGTCTGGTTTATTATACGTTATTGACTTATGAACTCTTAACACAGTTTGTAGAACGTAAAGTTGTCTGATTGTTAATATTTTGGTTGTTGAATATAGATTATATGTTGCGAATCCATACGTTTTAAAGAACATTACTTTTAATAATGATCTGTGGGCTCTTTCTAAGTGAAGAAGTTGGGTTTTGCAGGTACCTCCCTAGACACATACAATACGTAAGAATTGACTGTCCGAGAGCCAAGCAAACTGATTTTAACAGATCGGGTTGTAGAACGTGACGGAGTTTTTTAAAACCCAAATTAGATTTCTTGTCCTTTTTATTAAATTATCTATTTGTTTATACCAATTGAGATGTTGATCAATTATAACACATAAATATTTATATTCTGTTACTCTTTCGATATCTAGACAACTACACTTATTAATATATGGATAGGAGCATGTATGGCATTTTATTTGAAAGTTTTGTGGGGGTTGGGATGGTTTTCTAATCGTAAAAGTTAGGTCTTTAGTTTTAGTCACATTTAAAGTTAATAGATGTTGATTTAACCAATGGGTGTTGTTTAGACCAAAATTAGACCACCAATGTTTAGACTTTTCTCAGCAAATAATTTTTTTATCCCAGGAGTTACCATTTTACCATTAAAGATCAAGGCTGTGTCATCTGCATAAGAGTAGATTTTACAATTATTAATTATTAGCATTAATAAGTCGTTAATAAATATTAAAAATAGGGTCGGCCAAAGGACACTGTCCTGTGGAACACCATATGTAACTAGTGTATCTTGGCTATAGTTATTTTTAATTTTAACACGCTGTTTTCTATGTTTTAAGTAACTTTCAAAAAGTAAAAGTTGTGTACCTCGTATTAGAATTTTTTCAAACTTATATAGGAGAATAGGAACAGAGACGGTATCAAACGCCCTGGCCAAGTCCAGAAATATGCCTAAACATTTCTGGCCGTTGTCAAGTATCCTCACTACTTCGTTCGAAAGATCTATGACCTCATCTTCAGTAAAAATTTTAGTCCGGAAGGCATATTGCGAATCGGAAAGTATATTGCGATGTTCTAAGTATTTGATTAGCCTTTTATTAATTAATTTTTCAAGAATTTTTGATAGTGTTGGCAATATTGATATTGGTCGAAAATTTCCAATCATGTCTCTGCTCCCACTCTTGTGAATGGGATGTATCACAGCTAACTTAAAAATGTCTGGGAAGATGCCTTTATCAAAACAGGTCTTACAAAGATGTGTTATAATTGGGACAAGAATATGTCTAGCGAGCTTAATAAAATTAGTAGGTATGTTATCCCATCCAGTAGCACAGTTATTCTTTAAATTCACAATTATAGATTCTACTTCGGACTCATCAGTATGAACTAAACCGAAAGATGCTAAACCACTAGATGCTGAAAACCTACAAGTAACATCGTTGTTGTTGTTGTTGTTGTTTGTGTTCAACACAACAACACAAACAACGTTCTCCCTAGCGAGGAGTGCTCGCTCACCCGCAGCCTCCAGGACACGTTAAAGTCCGCCAGTAGTCCTATGTGTTCCCCGAGGTAGTCAGTCAGCTGGTGGTCGTGTGAGGACACCACCCGCGGCTCAAGCTCCACATACATCCTCGGCAGGGTGGGCGGGGGCCGCGCGGGCCCAGCGTCCCGGCGCGCTCCCCCACAAGCCTCCAGCGTGATGTAATCGAAGTCCCCGTTAACGGACGCCTTCCGTTTCCTCCGGCCTCCACTGGGCGTATGTGGCTCGTCCGCCGACACGCTCGCTTCTCTGTAAAGTACAAATACTCATCTAAAATATTGCATTGCCCCATTCAAATGAGAATAAGATCAAAAATTTTAAATTCGTAAAGGTAATCTGGGACCGTTACCTTAATTAATGGCAGTCAAAAATGTGTATGTTTTATATTATTTACTTGTTTCCTATTTGTGTGAGCAGTAACTGCTGCATGGACTTCAATGAATCTAAACAATTCTATAACTCATATAACCTGGCAACATTGTGATATTATTTATTTCAATGATTTAGTGTAAAACATAATTTGGTATAATATATAATAGATGGTCGATGGTGCTATGCTTTCTATAAACAGACTATGCTTTTTTTAACAGACACTATTAGTTCATTTCTCTCAACCTACTCACAAATATCACACAAAAAAAAGTTACAGGCTAAAATTATTGTCATTTAATTGATAATGGACGAGCACCAGTGTGGTGTGACTCACTGGGACACACCACAGTAAATATAACTGTGTACAAACATCTCATATCTTCACTACTTAAATTGTAATTGATGTCGCCTTCCATATATAACATCACAATACATGTCACAACAGGTATAGTCTGTTATACTGAAGCTGAGCTTTGAATTAGTGAAAGTAAAAGTAGAGTTAGACAAAAAACTTTTAGAATTAAATTTTATTATATTTTAAATAGATACATAAGTGCTATAAAATAAGCAAAACTTGTAAAGAGTCAGATGGAAATATTATAAATATATGGAATTTTTTTATTAATTAATAACAATTTTGAAAAAACTATATAAATTCTTTTTCACTTGACATTGCGTTTTCAACATTTGATTTTGCTACCAGTACAAAAGGTGAAGTGAGAAAGGTGCGGGGCGGAGTAAAAGCAGAATAAACCGGTCCCAAACTAGAAAAGAATGTTTCATTCAAAAATTTGTCATCACACTTACACTATCCGTGTGCTCTCACACAAATGCAAAGCTCAGGTTAAATCAAAAGCACTATAACATACTGTTTATAATGTAACAGACACTCAAAAGGACTCCTATCCAGAGTAGTAAAAACATTAAAAAAAATGTACACAAACACTTATTATGGAAGTCATGACTTTCTTATTATTATGTTAATTGAGAACACAAAGATAATATTCTCTTAGCCGTCATAAGATAGTGTATGTCCTTGTGGGTGCTCCGGTTAAACAGACATATTGAACAAACAAAGTGTTCAGAAGTTGAACGCTCTCTTAAATATTCATGTCTTTTTTAAATTTCCTTTTATATTATAATAGTGAGCAAAGTTAAAACCTTGTCTTTAAAATTTGTTTTAGAATTAGTCTTTTGTAAATAAGATAACATTTATATGAGGTTAACATAAAAAATAACTTCTGAAAGGTTATGTAGCTACAGCAGCGGCTCAGACACAGTATTAACAAATAATTAACATACACCACCAAACATGGATCCTGTTAAATTAACATATTCTACTCCACCGTGGGATATACTATCTCAGAGATAAGAGACAAGTAATGAGACAAAACTTTATAGCATCCAACTCTCTCTAGTTGTATGAATGTCTCATGTGTTTATACTCTAACAGGGTGCAGGTATCAACTCACAGGGTGTTGTTGTGGAGTGCATCACTGACACACAGCACGTGAGAGTACAGACAGTCCACTTTGCGACCGTAGATATTGGCTGACTGCTGCAGCAACAGAGCCACCTCAGCAAAGTTAGGTGTGCTGTATGAATGGTTGCCGCTGGCCTCCGCCTCTAGAGCCTGCTGCCCCGCCTCCGTCAGGTACTCCTCCAGTAACTGGAATGTTATAACAACTAAGATTAACACTCCAAAGGAACTTTGTGGTATTGTTCATAAAAGAAATTTATAAGACAAATATCTACATAGAACAGGACTGAGAGCCCTCTATGTCCAGATATGATGGTTTTACAAAGTAGTTTATAACTTCAAAATAAAACTTGTTTTCTAATGTATTCAACAAGTCATCTAAGAGATATGCAGTCAAACAATAATATTAATACCCAGTCAGGTTACCTTAGAAGCAGCCGTTCAACATGTCACACACCATGCATGCAACATGCATTTGTTTACATACATAACCCTATCAATATATTACATATATTGTATAGTTTATAAAACTTTCACCTATTGCTGAAAAATATATGAGTGTTGGTATTATTTTGTTTTCTTTCATCTATTAAAAAATCAGAAGTAATAGTTTGTTTAATTATCTCCTGGGAGTATAACAAAACAAAGTCATGTTTAATATGAGGAATGTTTTTGTTTTAGATTTTCCACTAATTCTAAAGACATAAAAAATGTTTTTCTATGTGAAAGTGTCACTAGAGCTAGTGACGCCGGCGGTCTCTACACCTCCAGGCTCACTCACCGCGCTGAGATCCGTGTCGAAACTGCGGCGGACGTCGCTGATTGGCTTCATCAGCTCCGCCACTATCTCCTCCAACCTTTGGGAATTCATTTTCCTCCGACGCTTTCGCTAAGATATATTTCTGAAAACAATGTGTTTCCATTGATAACATTACTGAGAGGCGTCGGGGGCACAACACAAGCACATATTAACTCATAATCGCAACTAAGCAGTGGCGCGAAATTTACTGTCATACGCGATTTTTGATTTCCAAGGATACATAACGATATTATAATTTTTTACAAAGATATGAAAGACAATAAAACGGTTTTTAATATACCCCTGACAAGTTTTCAAGTCGGCATCCATCTTAAAAACATAAGATTGTGTGATTAGGAAAAACGTTATGATAAAGGTGGCCATTTATTTACGTTTTCGAGGGAAACAAAATGTGAATCCAATGTTCGCTGTCAAAACTTCGTTCGCGTTCGCTGTGTATAATCTGTTCTCACTCATGTTTGCTTCTTCAAATTGTCTATGATAATGCTATACAATAATTAGGTTATAATCTCAATATGATAGACTAATAGATCTCAGAAAACTAATGTGTAGCCTATTTTTAGTTAAATTCATTAGCTGTCTTTATTAATTTTCAAATAATAAAAAGGAAAAACAAAAATTTTGAAAAATAAGTACAAATTATTCTCAACTATTATAAATATTTATTTTTAAATTAGCTATGAATTTATACTGTTGTTACTTTTCATAAAAATAATGAATAGAACAATTATGTTTAATTTCTTATTCTAAATATTTTGACTTAACTTATGGAATCAAATGTCACAATTTTTACCTTTGGATCTTTAACATAGTCTGTATTTTAAGCATCTAATGGGAGGAGTGTTTACAAAATATAAATAAATGTTTTACTCGTTTAACTTTTGCTAAAAAATATTATACTTGAAGTGATAAGGCCCTGTGCAACAACTTTCTGTTTTAAAAAATTTATAAGGGAGGTAAATTTGTAAAGAAACGCCGCACACTCTTCGAATAATTCCAATAAAACATGGGCATGTCTCGTTGCTACTCATTGATGAAGTGTTTGCTGATTATATTTAATATAATATTCCTTGTAAGTTTGACTAGTTTTCATAATATTAAAATAAGGTGTAGCGCTAGAAAAATGCTTTATTTTAATTGACAACCTGTTTCTTTGTATAAAGTTTAAGACAGTTATTTTTACTTTAATACAAAACTATAAACACAGCTATTCATTAAAAAAATATTTTAACATTATAACACTGTTAAATGTAAGTGTTAAAAGTATTTAAGTCAATTTAATGGAGTTTTGTTGGCGGTTAAAGTGTTATTCAGACTGTTTGTATAAGTGATAAATAATTACTTCCTGTATTAGGATAAAAAATAGTTACCGAATGTTATACCCTAATAATAATGTGATGAACATTCCGCTCTCCCGTGTCTGATTCAATACTCGTGTCTCCTTATAAAAGTCGGTCAGTAGGTGTGGTGTGAGTATTTCGAGTTAGAACACATATTTACTATTAGCCGCCCGAGACTTCCCGCGCCTCAACGTCTATTATAAAAACATAAATAGTCTAGGAACTATTTCCTTGTCTACATTTATAACAAATTTTATAATAGACCACTTTATTTACTTTTAATTATACTAAAAATGATGGTAGTTCGTACATCATATCTTGCATTCGTTTACGTATAGATGTATATTTGTTAAGTAAGTGTAAGGACACGTCGTGTGTTTATGTTGCAGCTGGTAGGTGTGGGTGCGTGCGTGTTCTCCGGCTGGGCGCTGTGGGACGGGCGCGGCTCGGAGACCAGCGCGGGCCGGGCGGGGCTGTGCGCGCTGGTCGCCTGGGCCGCCGTGCTCACGCTGGGGGCACTGGCCGCGCTGGCTGGTACATAACTAATATTATAACATTTATATGACACGACTATCATCACAGTGGTATATTTACGGTGTTCACTACTTGCAGGTGCTATTCGTGGATCGGCGTCTCTGCTGGCGGGGGCCTTCGCTCTGCTGGCGTTGAGTGCACTAGCTGAAGGTGGCGCGGCGTGGTGGGGCGCAGCTCACTCCGCGCACCTCACACAGGTCCACAGACTAACCTCAACAATAGAAGACAGTATATATAGATCGTTCAGTAACATCATGTTATTATCTTGTAGATGTTGCGAGACCGCCTGCGGCACACGCTGACACACGACTACGGCGTGCTGCCCGCCCGGACACACATGTTGGACGCCATACAGCACGGGGTCAGGACACTGCTTTTTATTTTTATTTGAACGGCACATCGACAGTACATACATTAAGCTCTTAAAACTAAACATTTAGAACTGAACACTTGACTGATGTGTGTACCAATTATAGATGTACACAGCACTGATAAAAATTACTGTCTAACTTACAAAAATATTATAAAAAAATAAGTTAACAAAAGAAATTTCAATAACAAAACTATTATAAAAAAAATACAAATGAAGAAGAAAGGATATCAAACAACAATCAAAATAAACTACTACAGCTAACTACTACTACTACTACTTTTACTAACAGGACTTGACAAAACATCACAAATTTTTCACTTAAACTTCGGCAAGGAATCGGAAAAAACATCAATATTTTGGGTTAATGCACACAGATCGTTATGCTTTAGACATAGTCTCTTAGATCGACGACCTGTCACTGTTCCTGATTCTCAAATCTGGTGTTTTCCTTCCTCAGCTGCAGTGTTGCGGCGCGGAGAGCACCCGGGACTGGCAGCACGCGGCGTGGGGCGGAGGGCTAGAGCGTGACCGGTCGGGCGAAACCATCGACCTGAGCGTGCGCGCGCCCGCCGCCTACTACTGGGTGCCTCGCTCGTGCTGCTCCACCGCCGACCCCGAGGAGTGCGAGGCGGCGCGGCGAGTGGCGGCGGCCTCGGGCGGGGGCGCGGGCCTGCACGGAGCCCCGTGTGGCGCGCGGGTGTTGGACGCCCTGAGCGCGGCCGCTCGGGCTCCGCTGGCGGCTGCCGGCGCGCTTCTCGCCGCTCACGCCGCCGCTCTGCTGCTCGCTCTGGCACTATGCCTCCGAGCTCACCCCGACACGCGGTACGGAACATTTTAAACAAACAAATACACTCATGGGTGGACTGACTCTAAGCCCGAGACAGTAATGTTAACTTTGTGCCTATCTCAGCTGATAAGGAGTCATACTTTTTCAGATACAAGGCCTAAGCGTCCCCCGACACTCGGTCCACACTAGTCCGTGTCTGAGTCTCTTCACTGCCTCACTCTACGTGTAAGCTCTCTACAGCCCGACGTGTTCAATGTGTTTATATAAACCGTACTCGCCACTGACTCGGCCGTCCTCCGCTAGAGGCGCTGGAGTCACTCGTCTCACCGACTTGCATTTATTCGAAGTTCGTTGATTTATTTTTATTTTTTGTTCCTATTTTTTTTGTTTAATTTAATATTATATATAAATGCGCGCCGGTCTGGTCCGGTCCGCTTCCTCTCGTTGCAGTATTCATAACGTACAAATGTTAAGCTGCCTTCGTATATTTTATAATTTATTATGAACTGGACTGATCCATTAAGAACTGATTTATGTATTATGAGTCGCTTAGTAATGTTTACCAAATATTATTTATATGTAAGGAGGTTATCGTCTCGTATATGTTCATGTGAACCGTACTTACCAACTGTTATATTTTGACTGTTTACAAATTATTATTTTATTAAGTAGTTATTAGGTATTAGCTTATTATATATGTGTGTGTTTAGTTTGTTTATGTTGATGTGTATCAACGACACGCCCTCGTGTAGTGTAGTGTAGTGGAGGTAACTAGTTAGTGAACACTGTACATGGACACCCCCCCCCCACACACACATAACACAACCAATATCTTAGTAGTGTCACAAGTCACTATATATCTTAATGAGAGTTTGTATTGAATCTTCCGCTTTTTATGATGCACTTGTTTGTTGTCCTTACAATTAATCAAATTATTAACTTTTATAATGAGTGTCATCATTTGTCTTCATTGTGTTATCTTTCAAACTATACTATTTTATCTTTTCTATATTACACACTTCCTTTATTTTCATTGTGTAATGATCAAGATATATTCATAATGGAATCCAATATTACTTAAAACATAACTAACTTCTACATCACTACATTGAGATTCTTGTATTTTCTCTTGTTTATGAAAAGTTAACCAAATATTCTTTTAATATAATTCCAACTCTCAAAGAAACATCTCATATTTCCATCAGATTTTTGTAACAAAATCATCTGACTGTGAACAATTAGTACACACCACACCCTCCTCGCTCCATGTTAACTTCAACATAGCTTCAGTTAGTCCATCTCACATGTATGAGTATGTGTGTTCTGTGTTAAGACAACTCTTTGTGTGTGTGTATATGTGTACACACTGTAACTCCTCCAGATAATAACTTTATCTGGTCTCTTCTTTCTTGAAGTGGAATAATCCTCCCCCGTGGGTTCTATCACTACAGAGTACTGTCAGGTATAGAATGTTATGAAACAGAACACAGTGAGTATTGAACATTCTTTGGACCTACAAAAGTATGTTTTAGTATTGATTGTATTGAACTACCTTTGAGTACAAAATATAGGCTTGTGTTCATTAAAATAGTAATATATTATGTTATGTATAGTCAGTATAGTATAGTAGAGCCTCGTGGCTCGCGTGTATTGAGTCCGCGGTGCATGTGTCCGCGAGGCTCCTCACTGTGCCTAGTCCGAGTGAACATCGTCACACTACATACAGAGCGTCAGCAGTTTTTCGTTAGTAAATCTTTTCACGTGTCGCTAATAAACGGGTATCGCTCGTGTAAGAGTGTGTCGATGGTAGCTGGGACTCTGATTACTGTTGGTGTGCTTAATTTTATTATTTAACAGATATTTAGTTGTAAGGAGCGCGCTGCGGCCATCGACTCTCGCCCGTTATATATCTACTAGTATGATTGTATACCATACATTAAGAGCTGACCAGTCTCGTGTTATTTCGTGTTTGTATGTAAATGTTTTTCGTATGTGTGTTGGAGATGTTACCTCACCGTGAGGCGGGTGAGGTCGGGAGTCGCGAGCGAGCCAGTGCCATGTCTACAACATAATAATTAATAAATGTATCAATTAAACTATCAAACTGTTATTTGTTTATGATTTTCAGGATAAGCATTTCTATACGATAACACATGGAGATTTTTCCAGATGTATAGTTCTCATCTATTGTAGGAAGTCCATAGATTTTATGCGTAGTAAGTATTATGGTGTAATGTATGAATGTGAGGTAAATCAGTTTATTTTATTATATCAGTCAATGCATTTGTTTCTATACTCTCATGTCGATAGAATAGGAAATTGTATTAAAAAAGACTAATTGCTGTAGTGGTGACTGTAACTAAGCATTAGTTAAAGTGAGTCTTAGACTTTTTTTCCTAATAGTGATGACAAGCGTTCAGTCGCTCCACCTCATGTGGAGTGAGCTGTATCGTTGATAAGTTACAGGAACTGAAGGAGAGTTAATTGCGAAAGAAAACTCTAAAACCAACTTCAGAAAAGTACAATGTAGTTTAGAGAAAACTTTAAAAGTTGGACCATTACGTATACTGAGCTTTCGCGGGAAAAAGAGATCGGTTAAAATCTAATAATAATAAGACGTGCTCTCCAATAATTCCAGTGAACATTCCTTCATGTATTCTGTAGTAAGTAGTTTATAATGGTCGAGGATATAAGACATTGTTGGAAGTTCAGTAGATTGATAAGTATTGGGAAGACCAGAACCAAAAATAAAAATCATTAGAACAAAAACGAAACTTGGAATAAAAGTAAATGTTAAAAACAAACAAACAGTTTGCTGATACTATTTCAAAATTAATTCCAAACTAGGGTATCCACTAGCTGAGCGTCCTTTCCTTTCTCTAATTATCTCGTAGCATCCGTAAAACACTTTCTTCCTGGTGATAGTCCTCATGTTTCGTGGCTTCAGTCTCAGTGCTATATTGATACTTTAGGTGGCAGACTGTAAACTTGAATTTTATAATCAATCTGTCTCGAATCTAAATCACTGCACAAGATTTCTCGTATAGCGAAGATCTTGAGTCATAGGCACTATAGCGGAATTTTAGCAGGATTAACACGGAATTCAAAAATATCAATGAACTTGTTGAAGTTATTATACTTCTGTCGTCAATCTTCAGTACTATCATAAACAGGAGAATCTTACCGTTGTACAAAAAGTAAAAATGTATGGCACATGCTATTAAAGCTCATTCGACAATTATTATTAATTCTCTTTCAATAATGTTATAATTAAATTATCTAAACATTTTGTGGACTCACTGAATATAGGCTACCTACCTACCCGCGTACATCTCGACTGACAGACTGTCGTTTTGATTTAATTTTTATTAATGGATAGAACAGCCTGCGTTTAATTACTAGCTGACCTCACAAGTTAATGAAATATGCTAATTAATATGTATACCATGAATTGAGTTGTTATGAAAAAAATGGATTTCTTTGTGTCATTCATCATCTGATAATAAACAGGAAAACATTGGAAATTAATTACAACTGATGAGAAAATATAAACAATAACTGATTTTCATTTATGAGGCGACTTTGTAGATTTTAATCGATCTTTGAATATAAATAATCTATAATAATATTTTCAAGAATTAATATTAATTTGAATATTATAGCATCTGGAATAACTTTTAATATATTTTCTTTCTACTACTTGTTTATTTAGTTTTATATAGTTGAGCACCTTGCGGCTAAGTCGGATCGACAAGAAAGTTTTGTTATAAAAACTTCGTGCGGGAAGTAACATTGACACCGATGGAGATTCAAGTCCAGAGCAAGTGTCGATTCAATGACCGGCTCTTTTATTGAGTGCAGAGGCAAGTTCTACCTCTGATAGTCTATCTGTATAGCGAGTTGTATATGCCCTGTGGTACTCAAGCCTCTTTGACAAGCGTTGTGTTCCGACGGTTGTATATGTAAAGCAACATCGGTGTATATTTTTCAACAGGGCGTTAACTCCTTTCTAAAAGCGGCGCACCACAACGCGTCTGCTCCATGGTGCTTAGCTTTATGAATTGTTCCTTCGTGGTTCACAAACGACTCGTGGCGGCTAAAATATAAAGAGTTACCTGGTTTGAGATTCATGAAATCTCTTCTACTGTAATTATTTTTAAAATAATCATAAAATTTGAAAGAAACATATCTCCTGTCTTCTTCAAAGTTAATCTCATCTGTCGATAATGAGTTCATTATCAAAAAATCACTACTTATTTACATATTTATGTCAAATATAATATAACTACAAGTTGGTATACTTTCAATCCAAAATCCATACCATGTGTGTGTAATGTTCGTCAACCTATGTGGATACTGTCTGAAGATTTATGAAAGAAAAACTGGGAACTCCATGTATTTGTTTTGATTGAGTAAAACTTGTATAATTATTAATCATTCCTTACTGAAGATTAACAGACTGTTAGCGTGACCTTTTGAAAAACGAAAAATAACTTAAGAATCGATAGTTAATAAATGTAGAATATAATGTTTATTGTGTACTGCAATTTTTTAAATAGATTTATAATAGCATTATAAGTATGTAGATCGACACGTCTTGTAAGAAACTTCCTTAGTTATTTGTGAGAGTATATTTGTTCCACTCATTCGATGTTCCTCTTCGTCCTCAGTATGTATAGGTATGGAGGGTAGAACTAATCTAGTGTGTTACTCAACTGTTGTCCAACAATCGTGTCCACATTACGCGATGTCGGTATGTGAGGGAATCAAATTCTCATTTGCAATAATATTGACAACATTATAAAATGCTTACATCTGTGCTGACTCGTGAATCGTGATGTTCTTCCGTCACCCGATATATTTGTTTTTATAATATTAATAATTATATTAGGATGTTAAACATTAAACTAAGTCATCGGTAACTAAGAGGAGCTCGTGTTTAATGACAGTAAGGGGTCCTCTGTGATCTCGCCCGAGTCATTCATCTTAAATTGTTTCAATGATCTTTATTGTCTCCTGTCGCTGGATGCTGGAACGAGGATCTTAATTTG